GAGGGAGGGGCTTAGTGGCTGCGGCGGCTGGGAGGATCACTGATTGACTTTGTGAGAAGCTGCTTTATGCCGGGGCTAGCCCACCCGCCCCTAAATGCGTTTCCTGGATTCCTCTTTGTGTGGTAACGAGGGCTTCCATTGGGTTGCCTCTATCGCCCGGATGTGCAGGTGATGGAGCTGCCTGATCTGGATGTGGGTGATATGTCTGTCACACACGGGTCATGCAATTCACAGCTGCAGCAGCAGCAGCAGCAGCAGGGAGCATTCGCCCAACCCACACGTAGCGGACCCGCCCCGGCCGCCGCCGCCGCCGCTGTTGCTGTGGGTGACGTCCCGCCGGCGCCGCAGCACACCCTGAGTCCGGCTGCCGCGGCGGCTGCGGCCAAGGAGCAGCTCCGTGCTCGGCGAGCCCTGCTGCGGAATGCGATGGAGATGACGGTGCAAGGTGGGCTGGGTGCGCAATGCGTGTGTGTGTATGTATGTATGTATGTATGTATGTATGTATGTATGTATGTATGTATGTACGTATGTATGTATGTATGTATGTATGTATGTATGTATGTATGTATGTATGTATGTATGTATGTATGTATGTATGTATGTATGTATGTATGTAGGCGGCTGGAAGGCCTCCGCGCGTTCACGGTCGGGTGCTGCTGAACAGGGGATGATGATGGGGGGAGAAATGGGGAGGGAGGGCTGAGGCGGCGGTGGGGAGGAGGGGCGTGGATCGGGAACGAGAATTATTGTGTGGATACCGGTAGCCTATTATCTCTCTATTTCCCCCTGCGTGTGCGTGTCCGCCCGAATGTTCTAGGTTCCCGTCCTACTTCTATGTGGTATATGATGGATGAATTATGTGTGGCTCAAGTGCTCGCCCACCTACCCACCCGCCTACCTACCTATCTCCCTACCTACCTACCTGCCTACCTAGACGCGTAGGTGCCTTGCTTCAGCATGTCGCGCCGTTTTAGACGTCGCAATCACCCCGACCCACTCCCCGACCCACTCCCCGACCCACTCCCCGACCCACTCCCCGACCCACTCCCCGACCCACTCCCCGACCCACTCCCCGACCCACTCCCCGACCCACTCCCCGACCCACACGTGCTTTCGCTTGATGCGACTCAGCCTTGCAGGAGATGCCCAGTACCGCTATCCTACCTCAACCAACACCACCACGCGTGCAACCCCTCCGCCCTATCAGTCCCCTCCCCTCCCCGCCCCCCCGCCCCGCCCCTCCCGCCGACAGGTCGTGTGAGCCACCCCAACCTGATACAGGCAAGTGTGCGGGTGTGCCGGCAGAGACATGCGGCCCAGCGTGTGTCCGGGGGGGGGAGGATACCCGGGGGGGGAGGGAGAACGTCGCCATGTGCGTGTGACTGTGTTTTAATGATCGACCTAAGCGTGCATGTGTATGGGTGGGGAGAAAGTGGGGGAAAGCCAGGGAAAGAGTCGTTGCGGGTGCATGCAGCCCCGCACTACCCACTACCGACCTTCCACTCCATAACGGCCCCCCCTCGTGTATCGTCGTCCCTTCACCCTTCACCTTGTCCTCCCTTTTTCCCCCGGGCTCCTCGCCTCTCTTCTCCGCCCCCTTTCTCTTTCCCCTCTTCTGCCCCTCCCCTCCCGTGCAGTACCTGTCTATCCCTGGAGTAATATCCGTCTATCCATTGTCAGTGGTTCGTCTTACCCCCCCTCCGCCCCCGCTAGGTGTATACCCCCCAAGGTTCCCACTTCCCCCCAAAGGTTCCCACTCTTTCTCGCATATGTTCCCTGTACGTTCCCTACAGGTGTACGCCACCTACACCAATGTGTTGGTGGAGCGGAGGACCCGGGCGGACGGCAGCTGCTTCCACGGCCTGGTGCCCCTGGAGGGCGAGGTGCAGGACCTGGGAATGACACGTAAGTGTGCGACTGTATGTATGTCGACAACGTGCCGATAGCATGCGTGAATGTGACACATGTATATTATACACATTGTATGTATTCTGTAGATGGGGGGGAGGGGTGGAGGGCAGGCGGAGGAGAATTGGGGGGTTAGCGAGCGGGTGGTTGGAGGAGGGTGGAGGGTGGATGTGGGAGCGCCGTCGCCGGGTCGCGGACTACCACCCCCCTGGGGCGCAACGTCCTGACTCGCCGGAAATGGGCTCTCTCTTATCTCGCCTTGTGGGAGGTCGGGCCCATGCACGGAGGACATGCCGGTAGGGTTTAGCATGACGTATGTATGTATGTATGCATGTATGTGGGATGAGGAGAGACGGGCAGACGGAGCGCCACGGTCTTTCATGTATGTGTGTGTGATGTTTTAGTGCTCCGTACATCATGGCGTTCATGCTGAGACGCACGTGGTATGTACGGCACAGCGTGGCGCCTCAGCGGTGCGAGGGCTTTCCAGGAATTCAGTGACCCCACCCCGCAACCCGCAACCCGCAACCCCCAACACGCACACACACACTAAAGAAGCTGAAACGAAGCGGTTCGGTCCCTAGCCTCACCCCCTCGTCCTCTTCACCCTCCTTTTCCTACCGTCGCTGGACCCCTTCACCCGCCCCCCCTTTCCCCCCTGGCCCCACTCACGTGACGACACCTCCACCTGCACACCTGCACACGCAGCTCCCTCCGCGGTGTGTTGCGCCATCGTGGCTGAGCTGGCGGACTGCGGCTCCCTGGCCACCGCCCTGACCACCCGGGCCTTTCCCCGAGTGGTGGGGCCGCCGGGGGGGCCGCCAGGGGGGCCGCCCAGCACACACCACCAGCACCAGCACCAGCACCAGCAGGGGGCCTTCCAACTGGACTTCCGGGTAGGACGTGAAAGTGGGGGATGTGGTGTGTGGAAGTGGGTGCGGGTGCGGGTGAGGTAGGGGTGGCTGCTGGGGCCCTAATGCTGTGTGATGGTGTCGGTGGTGGCGGCCGCGTTGGATAGTCATTGCACTCATGGCACTTGCTGGCTGCTCGCGCTGCGCGTCCGCTCCGTTTTCCTCCTCGTGTCGGTAGATCTCTGTACATCAGTACGTACATATCTGGTTTTCTTGTCGCGCACCCGCGTGGCCACTTGGCCGCCCGCGGGTGCTCCTGCCCGCGGGAGTAAACTGAGTGTATTTCCCCTCCCTCCTTTCCCTCCTCTTTATTCTCTTCCTTACGGCCCTCATTATTCTCCCCTTCCCCCCCCTCGCCCTCCCTTCGCCCTCACCCTCCCCCTCCCCTCGCCACCTCCCGTACAGGGTGTGTACATGACCCTGTTGGATGTGGCCCTGGCTCTGAGACACCTACATTCACTGCACCTGGTGCACAGAGGTGAGGGGTGAGGGGGGGAAAACGGGGGGGGGGGAGTTGGCGAGCGTCCGGACGACATGGGGAGGGCTGCTATTCCGTGCTGTACACACACACCTCGCTTACTCGTATCCCGCCCATCCCACCCATCCCCCTTCCCGCCCGCGGCATTTCTTGATGACTGCACCTCCAGACGTGAAGCCCGCCAACCTGCTTCTCAAGTCCAACCCGCGAGACCCCCGCGGCTTCACGGTGAAGCTCGCGGACTTTGGGTTCGTGCTGCATCTCAACGAGGTGTGTGGAGATGAGAAGAATTGTGTGTGGTTGAGGTTGGGGTTGGGGGTGGGGGGAGATGTGGGGTGGCGTGGGAATGGGGAATGGGGAGGTGTGTCGTCTGGGGGGAAGGGTGGTACCTCGCCGTGCATCTCTCATTCCTTGCGGGCAGTTGCTTCAAAGAGGGGGGAAAGGCCCTCGGCGTTGGGGGCTGGGGAGAAAGCGAGGGAAGCCCGGGGGGGACCAGAGCGTCGAGTGGTGGCCCCGGGGGAATCCGGGTACCGGGGTTTACCGGGCTGCTCATACTGCCGTACACCCGGTCGTGAGCACCTCCGCCTGCGCTCTCGCCTGTTGATAAATTTTGCTCGGCTTGGGAGGAGCGGGGTAAATGGCGTGTGTATTAGTGTGGCCCTCGGCTAGCGTGTGTATGTACATGTATATATGTATGTATGTATGCAGGTGGCGGAAGACGGCACCCGATACGTGTTGGTGGACCAAGCTTGTGGCACGTAAGTACGGCCTTGTGTATTGCTTGACGGGGAGGAGGGAGGCCGGGAAGGACGAAGGCGGGGAAGGGGGGGGAGAGCAAATACCCCATACTGTTGAGCACGTACCTAGGGGGGTTCCCCCGGGAGGTGGGGGGGCCGCCCGCAGGGAGGGGGTTTGGCGCCGGCTGTACTCGGAGTTATGGGACGATGCGATGGGGGGGTTATCCGCACACACGCATACTCACACATGCACACACCCCACGCACGTCCGTATTGCGGCTCGACTTAAAGACGGTTCGCTGCCGCCGTGAGGGAGATGAGGCCGCTATTGTTGCTGCTACTACTACTGCTGCTGCTGTCTTTGTTGCTGCAGTTTCCTAGTTGCGTCGTCCATTTTGAAATCTATTTGTTAACGAAACATGGGGCTGCAATCCCCCTGCCTGCCTGCCTGCCTGTCTTCCTGCCGCTCCTCCCGCCGGCAGGGTGACTCACATGGCTCCGGAGCTGCTGCCCGGAAGTAAGGGGGGCCCGGACCTGTGGTGGTGGCGGTGGGGGGAGGCTGAGAGGTTGTGGGAGTTCGGGGAGCTTGGCTAGCGCGCGGGGGTCATGATAGGACAGCTGGCTCAGCATTGCTCTGTTCTATCACACGTGTACACCTCACCACCACCCCTGTCCGAATACACCCGACCAGTTCCCCGCGCTCCCTGCGCGGGTGGATACCCAGGTGTTGGTGGTGCTAGCCGCCTCTTGGCAATCGTAATACACACATACACACATGTCCTCCGCGATGTTTAGTGGGATGGGAGGAGCGACGCTCCCCTCCCCCGCCGTTGACTGTCTCTGTATGAGCACCTCACTATTCTCGTGTGTGTATGTATGTGTGTATGTTCATTATTGCTGTAAACAATCGAGTGAATACATGAATGAGGTTACGGTGGATGAGGTTCTATGTGTGCGTATGCATGTATGTATGTATTCCCAGAGGCCCGAGTGGAGGCGAATGCGGACGTGTACAGCTTTGGCATCTTGGTGAGTACTGTACGCCCCTTGCCTTGCCAAACCCTGGCACTCTCCCGCCCATCCTCCCGCCCATCCTCCCGCCCATCCTGCCACTCAATCTCATACTCACACACTGGATGTTGTTGTTGTTGTTGTTGGTGGTGGTGGTGGTGGTGGTGTTGGTGGTGGTGGTGGCAGATGTGGGAGCTGGTGTCCGGGGGTGTGCGCCCCTTCCCGCACCTGCCGCCCGACCACATCCCGCGACATGTGTACAAGGGCGCCCGCCCCACGTTCAGAGACCTGGTGCCACTGTCGTACAGGTGGGCTGGCTGGCCTCGCGGTATGTGTGTATATGTCTGTGTCAGCTCTGTAGGCCAGACCGCCTCTGTCTGTCCGTCTGTCTGTTTGTGTGCCTTCTCCCCCACCCGGTGCGGCAACGCCGCGTCAATGGCCTTCGTATCCACAGGGATTCTACCGTTTTCCTTTCCGTTCTAGAAGCTTCTGCTATTCCTGCACTACTGCCGTGCTACCGCCACAGCTTTCTGCCGCAGATTTTAGCTTTAAATTCCCCTTGGCCCGAGTAGTGGTTCTGTGTGCGACTTTCCCGCTTGTGTGAACCCCTCTTCCCTCTTCCCTCCATGTCACCCATGGCGACGGGGTCCCCTGGCGGCTCCTTGCCTGGTGCAGGGGCTTGGCGCAGGCCTGCTGGGCGGCGGACCCGCGCCGGCGCCCCAAGACAGCCGACCTCGTCTCCCTGATCATCTCGCAGCTGCAGGAGCTCGAGTGAGCTTTCGATGGACTCTCTGACAGATTGACTGACAGGTCGACAGACGAATAAACTGGCTGAAGACGTATAGATGACTTGCTGCTCTACCTGGGTAGTGGGGCTGTGGAGCGGCACACCGAAACGAGAACTGCGGACCCATGGAAAAGGCCGCCTGTCTGATGGCAAAAAGGAGGGCGTTGTACTGCGGTGTACGACATCGCAATGCAGTGATGTGTGTGATGTGGTGTTGTTCGCAAGAGCCGCGGCGGGAGGGGGGGCCGCGACGGGTCCCCTTGATGAGGTGGGTGTGCAGCTGCTACAAGTGGTGCAAAGCATCAACGAACAAACCGGCGTTGGCGTCCGCGTTGTACGGCGGAGAGTTGTGGGGAGAAGGTGTACAGTGAAGTATGAATAACAGGTGCGTGTGCGGGCGCACAGTGCAGTAGCATCAGTATTTATTACAATTCTTAAGTCTACATCATTATGTATTCCGACAATGCGTGGGAGGTGTGGCAGAGAGGGCAGAGGGTTGTGTGAATGGTGGAGGCTTCTGTTCAGTCGCTCCGAAATTGGCGCGACAGTGCAGCAGAGCACGAGCGTGCGGTTGGCTGTGTATGTATACGTGTTGTCCCTCCCGTTCTCTCTCTCACGGTGCGGCGCGCACCCGTCGTCATTATTATCATCATCATCATCATCATGGATGGCCTTACTCCACTAAACTTTCTGACGACTCCATTCGATCCACCTCGCGATGGCGGTTTAGGGGAGTCCCCCTCGTATCCCTGTTACCAGCAGTACCAGTAGCGGGTGTACGGCCCCTGCGTAGTGCATGTCCAAAGCCTCCTTATGTGGGGGTGGGGGTGGGGGCTTGGGGTGGGTCAGGTTTGTGCGGCAGGGGCAGGGCCAGGGTGTTTCCCGTGCTCGGCGCAGCTGGTAACACCATACGGCCATATGAGTGAATTTGTGGGTGGATGCGGTAGCACTTATGGGTTGTTATGAGTTGATCGTCGTGTGGAGGGCCCCCGTGGCCCCCGCCGCAGCAGTGTACCGGGTCCAGCTGCTATGTGTGGGTGAAGAAGAAAGAGTGCTCGTGTGTGGCGGAGAGGTGAGAGGGGGTTTCTGGTGGCTCGAGGTGGCCACAACACCGCTGTGTGGTTGTGTCGTTGCGAGAGCTGGGTTGGGGATGGACGGTTACGGTTGCGGTTGCGGTTGCGGTGGTGGTGGTGGTGGTGGTGTGTACCCTGCATGCATGTAGGGTTTATTTGATCCACGGCTGATTGCTTTCCTCACTGGTCCCTGGTCCCCCCTCTCACCCATCACCTCCACACGGGGGGGGGGGTCATGAGGGGAGGTGCGGGGGCGCCCATGCCAGGGCGGCGCCAGTAACTTATATAAAGATTAAGAAAGTATTGAAACCCCTCATGGTATTCTGCACGCTGCCTTTTGTTGGCGTCAGTCAATTTTTGCGCAAAAATGAACATCATGATACAAAAATTGTATAGCATGGCCTGTTTTCGCATTCCAGGCGGCGGTAGTGGGGGCCGGGCCCGGGCCCGGGTGAGTGCACCTGATCCCTGGTGAGTTGCTCTGATGCGCTCTCACATGTGCGGGCGGAGCACATGCGTGCGTGCATGTGCGAACCTCTCTCATTTCTTCAGCTCTCTCCCTCCGTGTCCCCCTCTTGCGTGCCGCCCTCCTCTTGAAGTGCAAACCTTCCTCCTCCTCCTCCTCCTCTCCCCCCTCCGTATTTGCGTTACCTGTGGTGGGTATAGCCTCGTGGTTGCTGCCCAGATAGATTGTGGTAGCAGCCGCCAGACCCGCAGGAGGAGGAGGAGGAGGTGGGGTGAGCTCGCTTGTTGGTGAAGTTAACGAGCGAAGTGAGGTTCGGGGGTGTTGCGGAACAATGGTCGCTAATGGCACCTCTTACCACCCGCTTGCGGGACCTTTTCACGGAACTATCACGCTCCCACTGCATGGGCAGTGACGCCACGTAAGCGCCCTGTGCGTGTACATCATGTGCGTTGTGTGGTTTACCAGCAGCAGCGGATGTCGCAGAGCACTTTCGGCTTCCCGCACACAGGGAAACTGAAAAAACATGATGGCAGGCGAGCGGCATTTTGTGTTCTTTATCATGGCCAAAACACATTATTAGAGCGACGACGACGGTGTGGGAGACATTTCATATTTGAAGTCACGGAAGCATGTGACGGGGCAAAGATTCCAATTAAGAATGACTGCTGGCGGGACAATGGCCTTGGAGAAAGACGCTGATGTGCGTGTGTATGGAAACATTCAGGGCACAAGCGAGTCTTGCATGCATGCATGTAACGCATGTGGAAATTGAGGCTTGGTGTCCGCCGGTTACGCAGAATTGATCGTGTTCGTTGGCCGTTGTGTGAACAGGACGGCTATCCGTCGGTCGTTGATTGTACGGGATCCTGGCGGCGTTAAGGATTTTGCCGTCCAGATAAACGAAACCCGCATCGGGACGCACATGGAGCTGTTGTACTGCGTCCGGCTGCGCTGCGTTTTGCGTTGCGATATATTGTATGTATGTCGTGCATATGTATGCATGTATGTGTGCGTGTGTGTATTTCTGATATTCCCAAAGGAATTGAATGCTGGATGTCAAGTATAGCGCGGTGATAATAATGAGCAACACGGCCCTGAACTGGTCCGGGGTGCACCGCAGCGGCGCGGCGGCGGGCTCCAGTCGACAGCATTGAACCGCCCTCCGCGGGCAGGCAGGGTAGCGAGCTGGGGAGGCTGCGACAGCCCCCTTTTCCCCCGCCCTCCAAAAAATGCCGGAGGAAGAGGAGGAGGAGGAGGAGGAGGAGGAGGAGGAAGAGGATCACGAGAGTCTTGAAGACAAGTCTGCAGAAGTCCGTAACGAGTGGTGAATTTATGCTTTTACAGGCGATACGAGAGCTACAGAGAAGACCAATATGGTCTTTTATAGGCTTTTCCAGGCGATACGCATATGCACCAATTGCGATTTTCCTGCTTATGTCGTTAAAAGTGGCGCCAATACGGCCCTGCCGGAAAACCGCATCTTTTCATGCTGCCAGGGTTGGATTGGTTGGCGCTTGTGTGTGTGTGTGTGTGTGTGGATGTTCACATCTGCCACTGTTGGCGGCGTTTGGTGCTACTTCCCATTTTATGCTTTTGTGTCCGTTGCGGTGTATTACCCCTTGTTGCTGCCCTTACTTTTACGACGGCGCCGTTGGGGCTTCGACCAGTCCACAAAAGGTGGCACATAATTATTTTATAAGAGGCAGAACTGGGAAATTGTTGACACGGATGATGATGATGAGGAGGAGGAGGAGGAGGAAATAAGGGGAAGGAGGAAATAAGGGGAAGGAGGACGCCGTTCTGTCCGCCGTCACCCCAAGGCGAGATCCCATGCGGAGGATTCCGTCATCATCTACACTCGTCGCCACTCGCGTGTGCGCCCTGAGCACCTCGTCTTCTTGGTATCACATACGGCTGTGTGGCTCTCACTCCGCATGGCCTCTATATGGTGCGGTCCTGTGGTCGGTCGGTCGGATTACGCAGTTCAGTGATACCTTACGGCGCCGTCCCATCATCCGTAGCAACGCAGGCGGACAGGACGTCCCCTGTGCGCTGACCCGTCGCGCAATGAACCGAATAATGTGTAACTAAGAGTACAAAAGTAGTTTTGGTGAAGCCAAGTGACTGCACTCGGCAGCAAACATTCCGCAGCAATGCAGTGCCAACGCCATTCCATTTGTGAATGAACTTCACGAAACCCCTTCCTTTATGGCATATCATCTCGGCTGTACGGCGACAGATGCATAACTTGGTACGACAAGGGAATGGAATCACAGGAGATGTAACACAGTAACATGAGAAGTAACATGAAAACTGAATCCACATCACGATTGTCCGAGTGGGCTATCCTTCGGACGGCTTCACCCTCGGAGCGGAACAGCGCCCCAGGGGAAGGAGGGGGAAGGGGGACACCGCAAACACCTGCACCAACCTACAACGCCGCCTTCACAGCTCCGATCGCCAAGACGCAGCAGCACACAAACAAGCCCTACTCCGTTATCACCTCCACGTCTCAACCCCTCCAAGGCTGGCAGCTTCCAACTCCGCATCCTTAGGGCTACTAATCCCCCTCCCCCGCCCCCTCCTCCTCTTTCACCTCGTCTTCGTCTTCTGCCGGCCCCCCCCCTTAACCCACGTGACGTGAGCCACATGGAGACCACCCGCCTGCTGGCCCCCTTCACCCCTTTCTGGCACCGTCGTTCACCGGTGCCGAGTACACCTCCCCGGCCTCCACGGCCACAAGCTCCACCATCAGGTCTTTGCGCGACAACGCCCCTCCCGAACGCAACCGGGAAAGAAACCCCGGGCTACGCGCCCTGAGATCCGCTAGCGGCGGCATCACCGCCGCTGTCAGCGCCCCGCCGTACACACAGCCCGTGTCCAGGCCCGTGGCGTGCGGATGCAGCTGCAGGCGCCGTTTGGCGTCATGGCCAAAAAACACGTGGGTCGGACCCCGCCACAGCGCCCCCCAGGCCTTTCCGCCGTCCTTGGCCTTCTCCACCGCCCTGTACATCTGCCCTGTACTCCGACTGGGGGCCAGGTGAGGAGGGTTGAGGGAGGGTTGAGGGAGGGTTGAGGGAGGGTTGAGGGAGGGTTGAGGGAGGGTTGAGGGAGGGTTGAGGGAGGGTTGAGGGAGGGTTGAGGGAGGGTTGAGGGAGGGTTGAGGGAGGGGTGCTGCGGGGCGGCCGGGGCTGCAGGCCGACGGCATTGACGCGCATTGATACTACGGGAGGGGAAGGACGGGGGATATCCCAGAGGCCCAGGCACGGGCGGAGTCTGCCACTCGGCCTATCCCAACAGGACAGGACGCTATCTTTCCCCCCAATCCAGCCCCTTTAAAGCTATAAGGCTCTAATACTTTCGCTTTGAGAAGGAACCCCAGGCGCCTCACGCCTGACCCCCCCCCCTCGCCCCTATCCCCCCAGCCGCACCTAGGGGTTCCGGAACTGCCTTTGCACGCGTCTCCCGCGCGGCCTGGAGGTGTGTGGACGTTGGGAACAGACAACTGGTACCTCCGGGTCGCGTCCTCCCCCTGGCCCCCTGCCCCTCTCTGCCCCTCCCCCCCGTCCTCCTTCAGCTCCACCACGTTGCGCATTTTGTACATGGCCCACATGTCTTGCTGCTCAATGGGCACGCCGGGCACCAAGCCTGAAAGCATACGTTGTGGATGCGGCGTCAAGTACGGCGTTTGGTACGGCGTTGCGCATTTCGATAGGACAGCTCTTGCAGCCTATACGCCCTCACATACACTGCCCACCAGAGTCCAAGGCATGTGCTGACGTAAGCCACCTGCGCGTACCTGCATGTACGACGGTTATACCGTACTCGGGCACCGAAACTGTGAACGGCAGTCCCAAAAGTACGGCAGCCTGTTCATCTGTCATGTCTTGAGCCCATTTCAATTTGGGGTTTAGTGGCTGGCCGGCTCGGAACTGTAGCCAGGCGGACAACACCGCGTCGTCGTGGTTGCCGCGTACGGCCCAGCAGCCGAGCTTCGGTACGGCATCAAGTATTGCAAGGGACACGGGCCCCTTGTTGACGAGGTCGCCGGCAAGGATCAGGTTGTCAGAGGCGGCGTTGTACCGCAATGAATCCAGCAAGCGGAAGAGCTCGGGAGTTCCGTGAACGTCGCCTGGGGTGGGGGTCGCAGGGGCCCGCAGGGATTTCAACCAGCCGGGGGAGTTAAGCGGGGAAATGGGGGGGGGAGTGCGTTGAAAGCAGTGGAGGATTTCGGCGCCTGCCGGGGGATCGAGCTGAGAAAGGTTACAAGCGTGTGTTTTCAGCAACGCCGACTAGGCAACCTGGCTTGACCAGGCGTGGAACTAGTGGGGCAAGGACAGGAGGGCATCTTTGAAGCTGAAGGTTCATTTGGGCCTCACCAACGATGATTAAGCGGCCAGGCTTTACGTGTTCGATCCGGTGATGGATGACCCGCGGCACGGGGCATTTGTACGGCGTCACATGAGCCGGAAGCCCCGCAGCCGTAGCTGCCCGGCGGAGCTGCGCCAAGCATCTCATTATGGTGGTTACGACTAATGTCAGTGCTGCGATTCCAATGTAGCTGCTCCACCAGAGCTGCATACCGCTGGAATGGTTGGCTCAAAAGGTGCTTATGGGACGAGTTTTGCAGATGTCATGAACAGGTCAATGGATGGAAATTTCAATCCTACGACCAGGTTCCTCAAACCGATGTATCATGGATCATGCGTACAGGTCTGCTTCATGCAAGCAATGCAAGGTTGTGTCGTACCCCAAAACAACTGTCATTGTTTTTTATTGAATTTCAGATGGTGCATTTCGATGCAGACTGCTTTATAATACTTTTCCCTTTGTGCTTGGTCTCGGGGCAACGCTTTTGCAGCCTGGAATCACGGATTTGCAGCAGTCGTTGAGAGCGCTGGGATTGGGCCTATCACTACAACCATTGGAGGTTAATTGTACAGAAGGACGCATATGTGGACAGGCGAAGGACGACTAGCGGTTTTCCGATATTAAGCACAGAAGCATGAGCCTCCGCCTCGATCCCTATACGGACGCAGAGTTTAATTTTGGGAATGAACATCGGAATCGGCCATGGAAGAAGGCAAGCTATGGATAGCCGCTGGTCTGCCAGGCAACTGCTGTAATGACGTTTGTTCGGGGTCTGCAGGTGGCGCTTGCAATAGGTTTATTGTGTTTTGGAACGATCCTCCTATCGATAGGACTTGGTCTGTACCTTACGGGAAAGCAGCAGGAAGGTGGTAAGTTAGCCGTGCGAGTTGCTATTCAAGGGTTTCTTGTAAAGATGCCATGGCTATTGGGAAAGGGGAAGCGGAGGGCCCTGAAGTAGAGTTATTGCCTTGTACGCGAGGTTGTAGACCAATTACAACTGTACTGCGTATGGGTTCTTGGGATTTTGGCTGTAAGAGGAAAGAGGTTTCCTGGGCTTCCCTGGACTCACAGGTCAAGCGTTTGTACTGGGTAAAGCTTACCGCTGCGACCCGCATGGCCTGCCGACCGGCCGCAACCCGCGCGTCCTTTCCCTTCCTCCCACCTCTTCCAGGTCTGCCACTCATCATCCTGGGCTCCCTTGCCTTCATTCCCGGCGCCTACCACACACGATTGGCGTGGCTGGCCTGGAGGGGCCGTGCCGGCTACAGCCTCGACCAGATCCCAGATTTTTAAGAACCGCCGCTTGGAAGATCCTCCTCCTGGCAGGGCAGTCTCTGTGCGTGATTTCCCCGAAGCGGGCTGCGAAAGGGATGAGACGGACGAGGATTGCGAATGTCCTATTTTGTCGGAAGGGCCGCGCCCAAGAGCTGCAGTTTCCTGTGAGGGTGCGCAGCTGCACCTCCAGCTGCCGAATTGACCTGGGAAGATCCACTGGTTGGGAGCGGCTGTGGGGGCTGTTGAGGGCTGTGGGCTGAGGTTCGGTTACAGCAGCGGCAACAGCAATCACAGTTGGTGGGAAGCAAGGGGAGAGCAGACGGGATGCGCACTGCGTCATGCATATTGAAACATTGAATATTGAACATGGCTTATCGAGTGAGAGCAGCAGCGGTGAAGTGTGGCAAGAGGATACGTTAAAACGGGCCTAGACGCGTAGGGGAAATGTGAGGTGAGGCGAGAAGAGATCTGTAGGTTTGATCTGTACTTAAGTGAGCGTAACTCTCGAGAGCTGGTGGTTATGTGCGTTCCGATTATTTCGACATTGTCCGACAGGTGTTCATTATGCGTAACGAAAATCTTCCTGGCGTATTATCGTACATCTATCCTTGGGTATACATATCCTCTTCGCCCGGTTAGGCACGGACATCTGGCTACCAAAATCAACTGAACGTGTAATGCTTTCAAATTACTGCAATCTTCCTCCTGATGTTGGCACATGTTGAGTATCCAGGATGTATGTTACACAAAATAAACAATACACAGGAGGAACGAAGACTATTTCCGGGGATGTCCGGCACTGACGCAAGCGTTCGGCTTTGCGCAAGCCGCGCAGACAGCCACACGTCTGTCGGAATACCAGATTCGAAAATATAACTCGATTAGCATAATATCAGCCGCAATGGCCGCCAACAATATTAAAAACCGTACGCGGGCATGCCCACTGGATGAAAAAGTTTCACCATCCCTTATTCTATTCCACTATGCGCAAGAGGATGAAGTGGAGCAATACAACCACAGCTTAGGAAAGGCTCAGGCTCGACTGAAGCCCGGCGCCAACAAACTGAAACCCTCGCCCTCCCTTCGCCTCGATATCAGCTGATAGATGCAAGGGGGCGAATTTGCTGGTGGAAACGCTGGCGAGACACACAGAAAGGACAAGACCTAGCTCTCTTGAACTTCCTCAACATCAGAAATCAACAGAACACACACAAACACTTACACAAAACAGAAGGCTGCTTTATGCGGTGGCGCACCTTTTATCTTTTATCACGCCAGAGGCGGCAAACGACACACATGTATCCTAAATCTAGGAAAGAAAGCTGCTCATCCCAACCGATCCGCGCTAAACCGGTAAATCCAACCAAAAAACGTGCAGCAGCGAGCAGGGTAGCTTGAAAACGCGCACGGATGAATGTGGAGGACCTGAACCGATGGCTCAACGGATATGAATACTTCAAGCCAGTCTCTTCAGAATCCTAGACGACTAGGTCGAAGCGTCAGGTGCAAAAGCACACCTAATATCAAACACCTGGCGGAGCATGCCAAGGTCCTCGGCACATTCCGGAAGGCCGCGGACACGACAGACCACGGCCGTACTCCTCTTGATGAGAAAATATCCTTAAACGCCGTACAGCCCGTGTGCAAACGTTTCCTTGCCCACCATGCCCCTGCGCCATCCAATCCCTTGATAGATCTTGGCTCTCCATGCCAACCACCAACTACAAACCCTTAGATCCCAGGTCGCCGTCCGTCCAGGGCGTTTAGGTGGACGGTTGGCCAGCGAGGGTGGCGGCGAGCGAGCACACTGAAGGCCTGCGATATTCACACATACCACACAGATCCTGCACCGTACAGCATGCGGCTTCTTTCGTAGGCAACAATTGAGCCTATAGTTGGTTCATTTAAGCAGAGGCATAACCAGTGGTATATTATGGCCAAGAGCCAAACGCCTACAACCCCATGGGGGCAAACAGCAAAAGAATATGGGCAGCCGCTAGTGATCAGCTACATCCAAAATCCGTGATGGTAATGATGATGATATGACGAAGCCTAGCCCTGTCAACGTCCCCAATGCGCCGCCGCCCAGCGCGCATGATATCTGTTTGACCATCGCAATATGACATGCATTAGCATTAGCATTAGCAGCAGCAGCAAAACCTGAATCCTCCTGCGCACCAACTGGCAGAGCACACCCGCACATAATAAACGCGGAATCCGGACCCCACACTCTTTGTACCAGGCCCTAGTGACACGCGGCACCGCGCCTCGCACTAATCAGACTACGTGGCAGGGAAACCTCTCCTCCACACGCACACAGCCAGACGCCGAATGCGCACAAGTTGGTGTCCTTGGCCGAAGGCACGCTTGTATGGGCGAGTTACTTCTCCAACCCACCGGCCCTCGTGGGTATCAATAGGAATCAATGGATCGGCCCGTTGCGCCAAGTGGAAGAAGAAGAACAAGCATCTCCTCGGCTCGCGCGCCGCCGACGGGTCTTAAGACGTAGCGCAGTGGCAGTCGTGCATAAAGCACAGGAAGCCCGCCCGTTAAACCCAACAGCACGCGCATCAACCGAAACAACCCCAAAACGCGGACGCAGCAGAGCAATTCAACTGTAATCGAGACGCTTCTTTAGACACGATAAGAGCAATAAACGAAGTCGACCCTTTCATTACCATTATCAATTTACCGGCGGAAACAGCCGCACGGCAAGGGAAACGCCAGCAAATCACCTACCATACAATAAGTTTGCCAGGCATGGTCGGATGAAGCGCGACACATGCACCGACCGCTAAGATGTGGATGAAAGCCTAAGACTACACACAAACTCATTATATGAAGTAATTTGGTGACGGAAAGAAGCAGAAACGCAGTCCTCAGATACCGGTTGATAAACATGTCGCTGCTATCGAGTGCAGCTCCCCTCGCTTGCCAAACCAAACGCACAAACCAAGTGAATATGTCCACGGAATAATGGGGGAAGCGAACAGGCTTCCCATATGTACAGTTCCAGCGCAGACGCGGACGGACATCAAACGGGACGAGCACACAGCTCACCTAGCCAATCCAACCAGGTACCATTACAGGCGCCATTCGCGGCCACACGTTCAGTGCCGCCGAAATCCCGCCGCATAGATTTGCAGGAACACGGCATAGGACCGCCGCATGAACAGCTCCACACATTGCTCACTGCACGGATAGCAATTGCGCGAGGAGATGCGATAACGACGACACCAATTGGTCCTTGTTTACACCTTGATCCTGCAGCTGCGCCACCAGGCCGTTCAGATACGCCTGGTCTGCACCACTACCGCTTGGAGCCTGATGCAGGGCGAAGTTGGTTGCGCCGTTAGGGTGGATGCCGCTGCCACAGCCCGCGGACGCCGCCGCCATTGCCGCCATGTACATTCCCTTAAGTGCAGCCGTGCCTTCGAACGTCCTTGACGGCGAGCTAGTATTGCCAGAAGCGGTAGCAGTAGCCGAAACAGCGCCTCCGCCTGCGCCCTCCGCCGAACCCGCCTCGACGGACTTAGACGACAGCGGAGTCAGGGTGCCGCTATGCGACGGTGAGCCAGAGCTGATGTGGTCTTGCATGGACGGCGACAGCAAGCGACCGCTGCTGTTGCTGCCACCAGAGTTGCTGCGCCGCATGTTGTCGCCCGAGGCCGCCATTGGCAGCGCCAGTGCCCCAGAAGCTAGGGCGTTGTTCATCAACGGCAGCAGTGACTCCAGGTTCTGCAGATCCTTACTGCAGATCATGCCCAGCTTGTTGCCAGAGTCAGAGACGCGCGCATGGGACGCCGCCATGCCCGCCATCCCACTAGGCAGGGCCATATGGAAGTTGGAACCTGGGTCGCTGATGCGAGCCGGTGGTTGAGGACCACCCAATGCGGCCTCAAAGCCGAAAGCACCGCATGCTCCGTAACCGCCTAGGACCGCGGCGCCGGTTGTGCCGCCTCCTGTCCCCACGCCGCCCATGGGTCCGTGTCGCAGCTGGATTAGGGAGTCCGACTCAACCGAGTTAATGGACTGTGTGGGGTTCAATGAAGACAGGTCTCGCCGGTGGGAAGCGGGCCCAACCAACTCCCGCTGTTGCGGTGGCAGCTGGGACTGCATGCCAGGGAAAGCGCGCTCGAGAGCCGCTGCCGCAGCCGCTTCGGCTGATGGTTGGACTGGTGAGATGGAGCCGGCGGTGCCGCCAACGGTACCTCCAGTGTTCAGCTCGCGGGAGAACGCACGCTCCATAGCGACCGCGGCCGCATTAAGGTGCGCCGATGGGAGATCTCCCGACAAGGCGTGCTGCATCGCGGCAGCATGGAAGGGTGCTGCCATGTTCATTCCCATCCCCATCGCCATTCCCATACCCGCCGCACCGCCCATAACGCCAAGTTCGCTCGACATGCCGCGTTGCATGGTTGCGGCGTTCAAGGCCGAGTTGATCTCGGTAGAAACGGCACGCTGCATAGACAAGAGCATGCTCGCTGCGGTGGCGGCGTTGTTCTCGGAGAGGCCGTTGAGTGAGGGACGCGCACGCGCAAAGGCGCCATCGGGAAGGCCATTCATGGAAGCCCGCGCCGACGCGAAGGCTGTGGTGGTGCGGTCCGACAGGCCATTCATGGACGGACGAGCCCTCAGCAGCATGTTGCCAGGACCATGGGCATCCGGGGCACCAGACATGGAGGCGCGAAGCATCGCAGCGCTGGGGTCACCGGGCAGGCCCGACAAGGAAGGTCGAGCAGACATGAGCTCGCTCACGGACAAGCCGTTCATGGACTGGCGCGCCGACATAATCGCGGCTGCGTCCGACAGACCGTTGACAGAGGTCCGGGCGGATGGGGGTAACGGCTGTTGCAGGGCTTGCTGCAGGGCGGCGCTCAGGTCCGGCATGATGGTCGGCAGCAACGGCGGCATGGGCGCCGGTGGCACCGACTCCAATGTGGATGCCTGCATTAAACCATTCTCTTGCGCCATGAGGAGTTGCACGAGGTACTCCCGGTCATCACCTTCCTTGTCATCCACACACGGCACGCACCGAAGCTCCTCCGCGCTGTGCGCGAAAAAGCAAATAGATCGATTGCAGTTGCGACCAAAGGAGCAGAGGCGAGTCTTGTACCTTCACGTGCAAACACAACGAGACAAAATCAGCAGTGCGAAAGGCTCGTGAATTAAATCCTCAACAAAATCTCCCCTGGACAACCTCAAACGATAGGTATGCGCCATGCTTTACAAGATGCTTGTTGTGAATCGTTCAAGCCTCGACAACTTCAACACGTTCCACCTTTGCGCGCCCAGTAACAAATCACGCACCTGGATGGATGCAGCCAATGCTCAAAGACATTGTGCGCGTAGGTGCATCCCTCCCCGAGAGGACAAGTCTTTTTCTGCGTTTGGGCCGAGGAGGGATGAAAGGCTGGGCGCCAGATACCAGGTAGCGCCACCCCACACCTACCGCTTTCACTAGTGGGCAGAGAACCGCCTTGTAGTTAACGGTACGAGGGCATCGCCTCCGCGCCGTTTCTCCAATGTGAGCGCAGGGGCAAAGCGTCCACTTGTGCGCGTAAGTCTTGGAACAAGGCACCACCTATGAAACAAGGGATTCAACCGTTACAAAAAGCGCAGCCTAAGCATGCGACGCTCAACACAGCCAAGAACTATCTAGCGGACACGCAGCCAACAAAAGTAAGCGCGGCATGTAAGCGCCGGAACCTCACACAAAGTCAAGATAATATCGTTAAGCAAGACAAAGGGCTGACAGTGGCCAAACGTTCGTCAAAGGGCCGAAACCTTGGTTCTGAGTTAACCGCCGATGTGCAGTTGAAGTCCTGTCCAGAGGACGCCCACGTACCTTAAACTCGTCTGTCCAAAAGCTGTCTGGTAGATTCAATGACCTCAGTGCGCTGACGCAATCCTCGCCAGTGTTGCCAGAGAGCCGGCGAAGGAGACTCTCGTCCGCTAGCAGGTGGCAGAGCCTTGTCCCCTGAGCGCAGGGCGCTTGTCCAGGTGCCGAAATTGGTTGAGCAAGCATGCTGTCTCGACGCTGTTATGGGACCGACTCGCTGTAGGGTATATGAGTTCTCGAAGATGAATTACGATGGTTCTAGCGGTTCTAAAAATGTAAAAACAACCAAAAAATGACAGCGCTATATAATTGTTAACGCTGTAGGTTCTATATACCTTGCCTCGGCGGAAAGAAATACTGTGGCATTTCCGTACAAGTACAGAAAGTTAACATGTACGTACTATGCATAGGTGTCTTTTCTTTGGTAGGTAGGCCACCGGGTGTTTTATGAGGAACTGCCAAGAGTTTAGGCCTCGCTATGAAAGATGACGGTCATGCTCGTAATCGAGTCGTCCTCTCCCGTTCTCTCTTGCATCAAGGACACAATACTGACCTAAAAGTCCAGAAGGATGTGTTTTCTTGTTTGCTTGTGGTAAAGGCATAGTGCTATTTTCGCCCACAACCTTCGCATTTGTCGGTCGATTGTTGCTGTTCTATGTAACATTTGCCTTCTGACATGTTAAAAGTTTATCTGTTTATCATCCATATGCAATTATGTTCACGCAGAAGACTCGCAACTTCGCCCTAACCGCCCGGTCGCACCTAGCTTTGAGTTTCTGCTGTGCGCACCTGTGCCGATAAGGACCAAATATATAGGACTATCCTCAATTTTTATTTTGGGTTTGAATGAAGGAGTTTCCAAGAGCCTTGCCTTGCTTACGGCCAACCGACATTCAATCGCCGAAGCTGACCATGTACTCAATGGTTAATGAAAAAATATGAACAACTCAATAGCTTGTCTATTTTCCTGCAGCATCCATAGGTAGTTCCTAGTAATCGAGGTAGTTGGTAAAGGGTTTTGATGGACGGCTTTCTCGCGGAATGGCTGCAGCATACCTAGAGTCCTTTTGCATGAATGGCATTCCATCTTCACATTTTTTTGCGATCGCAGTGACACATTTGCGTTGCCTTGCTTGCTCAGTCGAATACGAGGACACGGCTCTCACACTCCCCACCCAGCTTGGAAGATGTAGAGCAACGTGTTGCAGTTATCAACATTGCTCACAGTGCGACTTATACCTGCAGCAACCCACCGGGCCGAGCTGCATTCATTCCGTGCAGCGTGACCTCCCCTCGCAAGCACGCACTCGACCATGCGCAGGAGTTATCGGCAAGTTGTTGTCCAGTGCTGCTCCGTGGGATCCATACACTTTCACGAGGATTATGTCAGCGACATACCCCCACTGGTCGTTTAACCACCCAGAGATTAAAAAACGTCCAGATGCGCCCCATGGCTGCTTCGAACACATTAACAGTTTTGCACCTAACCTCACGTAACAACGGAATCCAAATACATGATTCCCAATCTCTACAGCACGCATGCCACACTGCGTTGCCATTGTTGTGCGTCCCCGTGTCCCATGCCCAGATTGGGGTCCGGAAAAGTGCTTGTGAGTGAAATTTATCCAGCCAAAGACTCGATCCCTAAATCCCAAACACTTGTTTTACACGGGCCGAGGCTCAGCACTCTTAACTGCCCAACACGGGGCCGGATGGGCCGGATGCCCACCGACCATCACCTGCCCCCCTACGTCACTCCACCCTGCCAGCGCTAACAACCCACCCGATCTTCCGTACACTGCTACAGCTGGGCATAACCCTGGCACCCAGCCCCCCACCTGCCCCCCACGCGTTCCTGACACATCGGCCAAGTCCAACACACAGAGCTGCCGGCGGAAACGTTTTACATGTCATACGTGACGAGAGACAATGTCGTTCGGATCCCAAGCTTGGCCATCAGCAATCCGCAATGTGTCGGAAAACACCATGCGATGGACAGCCATATACCCTCGGCCCTCCTTCATGCCACCACTTTTGCCAAAAACGTCATGTCCAGAATCTTCATGTCGTTGCTCACGTCGCATTTGACAATACCGTCTGCATTGTCAATGCCGATGAGGGTGCCGGTTACGCCCAGCACGTCCTGCGTCTCTGCCTTGATGACCTTGACCTTATCGCGCTTCGAAGGCCGCACAACTGTTAGCGTACGTGCGTCGTGTGTCTCACGCGGGGCCCCGGCTGCGGAAACAACAGATAGGATGCAAGCAAGTGTGCGGCATCAGTACGAAAATGAAGTGAAGGAAATGCGTCGGCGTGCGTGAAGGATGAAGATGACAAGCTTCCAGAAACTTCTGAATAATTCCAGTTGGGAACGGATGGTAAGCGGACCCTGGGGAAACTCGCCATCCAGCCCGTCCGGATCAATCAGATTCACCGTGGGGTTTACAGCAATTGCGATAGCGCGGCCCTCACACGGTCGCTCTCTCGCAATTGCTGTAAACCACGGTGAAATCTAATCTAATCCTACTGGGGCTGCGGCCCTCACGCAAGCCCGCTAGCACGTCGTGGCGCAATCAGGCACCTGCCGACCAGGCACACCCAGATAACCCCTGGCAGGCCCTCCTGTCGTACACTCGCAATGGCCCCTCCCCCTCCCCCGTCCCTGCCGCCCGGTCCCTACCGTCGAGCGTGAAGCCAGCATCCGGCGAGTATACCCCCGGCTGCAGACTGAGCGTCCCATCGGGCTGCGCGGTCCGCACCACACACGATCGGCCATCGGGGGTCTGCACCAGGATGCCACCCCACGTGCCGAAATCCTCCATGATACCCAGCACGGCGGGCGTCCCCACGTCCAGGCCGCCTGGGTCGCCGTGACCACATGCGGGCATGATGCGCGTTAGGGAGGGAAAGGGGGAGTAAGGAGGTGGTTAAGCGGGATTGTGGCGAACAAGGCGGCGCTGGAGGATACGGGGTGCAATACCCCGCCACTACAGCTCATAAAAGCGGCAGCAACCAGCAACCAGCAACAACCCAGGAAAATGAGCTTAAATAAATATCGACTTCTTTGGGCGACTTCGTTTCAACAATGCCCGGGTTCCTGTAGCATGTAGCATTTGTAGTGGGTTATAAGCGATGGACCGCGATACGACTGCGCGGTTACGGTTATGCGACCAGTTGTAACCGGGGTGAGTGTGAATTTTTTGATTTATACAGTAAATACTTGAAGTACTAATGTAATCAAGGCGGATGACGTGTAGAAGTGCAATTACATACCGCTTGCATCGTTACGGCTCAAGGCAGCAGAAAACGTACATAGCCTCACAACGAAATACAGTACTGCCAGTACAGTACGTATCTAAGCCCTGCTTTGCATAAAGGAGTGATGCTTTTTGGCAAGCGAGGATAAACACTGAATCACTGATAGTAATATTCCGCGCTTTCTGCGGCCGGAGAGCTAATCCGAAAGCTAAGTTGATGGAACCGTTTCACTTATCAAGTAAAGTACATGAAGTAAATTTGAAAAAGGTTTACGTTTGTATTACTTCCAGGAGTCCATCGCCGCAACTTTCGCAAACAGCTGCGGAAAGCTTTGTTCGTCAACCGCCAACAGTGAAACTCCTCCCATACTTCTGGCCGGTCGTTATTGCGCCAGCTTAAGCGCGTCTTACGACGTGCTGTCGCAATGCCATTTGCCGGCGGCGCGACAGAGACCTTCCCCTTGCCTATGTCCCGCCGCATGGAATAACCAGTCCATGCTCTAAGAACCATTGAGCTTCGGCACGTACATTCACAGCCCGGTCCTCGCAACGACAAGCATCGGCGAAAACCTTGCCAGCCACTTGACCCCCACCGTAACCTATTGCACCCCATCCTGAAATGCGGGCCGTGCAAGAGACTCCGCCCCCCACATACAAATCTTCCCATGTGTGCGTCCTGCACGGGCACCCTCCCGCACCCTCGCCTAGCGGCTGCCCTAATCTCATGCAAAGCAAATGCGCCCTTGCCCTTACCCGGCGTGCCTGGCGTGTAGATGTGCCCCGAAGGAGTGAAGGCCGGCGTGTAGGCAGTCGGCATGCCCGGCGTGGGCGCAGTGAGCCCCGGCGTGCCCGTAGCGGCGTGTGTGCCGGGTGTATACCCGCCTGCATCGTAGGGCGCTCCTCCCGGCGTCGGCGCCGCGTCCACCCCAGGCGTGGGAGCAGCCAGGTAGGGTGTGCGGGCCAGGCCAGGTGTAGGCGCCAAATTGGGGGTACCTTCGCACCAAGACAACAAGTGGAGGGAGGTCGAGGCGCACGGGGTGGCGGCAACGGGGGGGAAAAAACAGTTCACAGACAATCTTGAAGAACGTGCAATGAGTGTTGGAGCAGCCCGGTCTGGAAGGACTGCACACCGCAAAGGCACATGCCATAATCAACCAGTAGCTGTAGCTTCAGCACGCGTGTAGGGTAATCACCGACACAATTCCCCGGATGGAGCCGAGATGAGCCGGAGTGGAGCACTCAAGACGCGATCCGGTCCCCTCCAGCAGCCCTAACCCCTAAAGCAAGTAACACCTCGTCTTGAATTCCCCTTAAAAACACGGTTACAAGGAGATATACCGCGGGATCAATACATACCTCCGTCCCCATCCTCATCAACCACTGCCAACGTCATCACTGTCCCCACGCCCCGAACCCCCCCGACCGCGCAATTCTCTAGTCCGAGCAGGCACGTACCCGCAACACCGTGAGGGTGTAGATGAAGGTCCGCCGGTGTGGGCGCGTGCATAGCCTCTTGCGGCGTGAAGCCCTGCGGCGTAAGCGCGGGCGTCATGGCCTGCTGCTGCGGCGTGGGGGCGGTGCCGCCGTAGCCGGGCGTGGGCGCAGTCATGGGCTGGTGCCGTGATCCGCCGTCGCCCCAGTAGCCGTCGTTCTCGCCACTCGTGTGGTGTGCGGGAGTGTACGGCGCATGGGCTGGCGTGTACGGCGCGTGCGCTGGGGTCATGGATGGATGTGCGGGCGTCATGGAGTAGTGGGCGGGCGTCTGCATGCCCGGGTGCGCTGGTGTCTGGGGCGGTTGCCTGCGGGGGACAAACACACAAAAAAATAGAAAGAACATGCACACATGCACAGCATCGGAACGGGGAGTGCAGGCGGGGTAGCCAAGGGAGGGTGGTTTCGATCAGTGAAAGCATCGAAACTATGCAGATTAGTGGCCCTCCTGCCCGAGGGGATTCCCTCCTGTTTGGCCCCACTTTCCACCCAACAGCGCCCTGCACCTTGCACCGCCTCCGCCGACCACTTCACCTGGGCCAAAACAGAGTCCTGCACTGTCATGACGTGCCGCACAGGACGCCGCTACGCAGCCCTTGCAGCACCTGATAGACACCGCCCCAGCCCCACTGACTTGTGTCTTCCAGACCCGCAACACCCCTACCCTGGCCTGACCATCACCACCACTCACCCGTCGGCGCCCCACCGGCCGTCGCCTCCGCGCCCTGCAGCGGCCCCGTAACCCCCGGCACCCGCGCGGTAGCCTGCCGTCACCACCGCCGCCGCGGTGCCCGACTTGGGTGCTTCTCCCAGCGTCACGTACTCCATGGGCACAGTCACCGGCCGCCCCGCCACTGCATCGAGCTCCAGCTGAACGTGGGTGGCGGTTTGCTGTTTGACACGGCCTCGGTAGCCGTTGTAGGGACCCTTCACAACACGTACCTGACCCGAGGAAATGGAGGGAAATGGCGTCGCGGGTGGCAATGGAAACACACAGTTGGCTACGTGGGGAAGGGGGATGGGCGGGAATGAGGGGGCCAAGGGCCAGGGCAGCTAGGGGCTGAGGTACGCATATGAGAAACAGCACAGGGTATGCGGCGCTTTGTTACCCGGCGCGGGCGCGGGTGGTAAGGTGTTCAATGCCGTAGAGGTGAGGGGCAATCCGCGAGTTGGTCGAGTGGGGGGGGGGGAGGAGAGCCCGTGGGTAAGTAGGGCGAGCCTGTCGAGACAAGCCGAGAGGTGCTACCCCAATACGTGCGGGCCCATGAGAATGTATAATTTTAAACAGCCGTCCCGTCGTCTTCAACAGTCCCAAAAATGCCGAGCTTCCCCGCTTACCACTTTCCCCACATATTGTGAATGTGGCTGTGCCTGCTGTGACCGCCGGCTGTACGACCCTCCACCGGCCCCGCCCCCGCCGCCGCCGCGGCCGCCACCATAAGAGCCACCGCGCTGCGGCAACGACATTTGGAACTTGCCATCTGCGCCGATGCCGCCACCGCTGCTCGACGGGTCATCGGGTCGCGGCGATGCTGGCGTGTACCGGTGATAGCTTCCACCTCCACCGTACGCGCTACCCCCCGGTGACGGCCCGACGCTGCCCGGGGTGCTTCGGATACTGCCGGGCGTGCCGCCGCCAAGGATGGCGCTGGCACGTGCCGAGTTGAGGGAGCCGCCGGCTCCGCCGCCGCTGGACGCGCCGCGCAGGCGAGTGGAAAAGGAACGCACGGCCACGTAGCCGCCATTCTCCGTAATTTCTTTGCAGTGTAGGAAAAGCGTGCCGCGCCAAATGTAGACGACGCTGCCGCCCCGATCCTTTAAGCGACCCGACTGGATCACCACATAGTCCTTTTCCCGGAGCTGCGGAGAGAGAGATGTAAAGAGGGGCCCGGTGTAAGGGAGGGGTTTCAGTTTGCATTGAAGGGGGTTTGACAATTTAAAATGGTACCGAGGAGTCATGTATACAGAGGCATAGTGTAATTTGCGGCCCGCGTATGCCTGTATCTTTATCCACATATGAGCTATCCAACAACACCGCAACCACTACCCCGGCTAGTCAAGAGCACTGCTTCGAATCCCGAAAGGTATCCCTCCCCCCCGACCCACACCCCAATGCAGTACATGTGCTGACCGGGAGGACGGGAATCCAGACACCCCTCCTTACCGGGTTTCCCGCCTGATCCTGAGTCACTGGCTTCTGCTTGAACGTGACCTTCCGCTGGATGTCTGTCAGCCGGTACAGCCGCACATCGGGCTGTTCGGGGGTGCCGTTGTTGGTTAGGACCTGCGCGAAATCGGGTAACCGACTTGGCATGTGAAAAGGAATTTGGCAGGCTCTGCTAACTCCGGAGAGCCAAAAACCCTCTGCGGTGTCCTACGTGTAGCTCGAAAGAGCAAAGAGAACGGAGAGTGCGCAGAATCCAATCAGAGGCAGCAACCCACTAACGAGCCTGAAAACGTCGCGCAGAAATGTGCATGTCATTGTGTATGAAAGCGACAGGCAGGTGCGTGCGTGCGTGCATGTGCGAGAGAGAGAGAAAGTGTGTGTGTGTGTGCGCGTGTGTGTGTGGATGTGTGTGAGACAGAGCGTGCGAGACAGAGCGTGAGCGTGTATCAACGAACGCATCCAAAGGCCGTAGAAGTTGCGTGTGGCAAAAACATTTTTTTATCGAATCGCCGTCTTGCGTTCGGTGTCGGCCAAGGCAACTGCTCCCGCCCCTCCCGTTCCCGCGCAGATCCACTCCCCCGGAACCCTTTCCCAGGCGATGACATCGTAGTGTAGCTCCCTAACCACTCCCTCTTCCCCCCAGCAAGGCAGGACAGTCCCTTGACAACGCCAATCCTTCCTTATGTTTCGCCATCATCATTGCTAACTGCCCGCAGGGCTGGAGACATTCCCCCCACATCGCGCCCCGCCACCTTACCCTTGCCGCGTCCTTCTCAATCTTGACCACCACACCGGCCGTGTTCTGGTTGATCTGCACCAGGTCATGCAGCTGGTACTCACCCAACATCTCAATGCCCGCGGCCACTACCTCACTCTCTGTCAGGTCCCTGAAGGGGGAAATTCGAACCGGGACGTGCAGGACTTGTGACAACAACACGGTGATGAAATGGCGCGAGTCCTGCAAAGGACTAGAATCCTCTCCTCCTGCCGCTTATGCGCCCCAGCTTACCCCCCGGGCAAGCTCCATGGCTGCCTCCTCATCCAGCCCAACCAGCCAGCACATGACGACCCCCTTTTTCCTCACTCCCTATTCTCCCGCACCTGGCAAACACCTTGATCTCCTCGCGGTTGGTGTCCGAGATGAGGTAGCACAGCGCCTCCTCCACCCGCACCACCATGCCCGTGTCGCCCGCATACTGGCCCGCCAGTACCCGCACACGCTGCCCCACCGAAAACACCTTTGTCAGCTCGTCGGGCTCAAACTCCACCTCCTCCGCAAAGCCCTTGATGTCTGGAATCGCCGTTACTTTAGCGCCATCCGCCGTGAGACCCGTAACACGTGCCGTCAAGTTCTCCAGATCACCTTTGATGATGCGCACCTACTCGGAAAGGAAAGAAGGGGCTCCCAAGGTGAGAGACGGAACGGCGGCAGGGCAATTTGTGGAGACCTAGGGGACAAACATTTGTTGCTGTCAAGGGCGGTTGTACATATTAATGATCAAGCGTCTACATGACCTCCATGGGACGATTGGGGAGGGAGACAGCTGGCAGCACCGGGTGGAGGAACAAAGGCTTTGCAGGTGGGCGGACCCGAATGACTGGGCGACTAAGGCAATGCACAGTTCCGTGGCTTTACCTCCGGCTTTTTACCGCTGTATGTCCTTGTATCATGGTGGTGAACGAGAACAAACTTGTCGTATACGCGTATGGGAAGCAGCACCCGCGCCTCAGACCGCACCCCCTACCCAAACCTCTAGCGCCCGTTCTTGCCTTGTCGCCCTTCATGAAGGTCCCCTTGTGAGCGGACGTGCCGTCGGTGGGCAGGGTAGCCATGAGGGAGGACAGGTCAGTGGCGGGTGCGTCGTCATCGCCTGTGGTGGCGCCAGCGTTGAAGCGAGCCACCTCCTCCAGGCCCGGCAGCGTGTCCAGCACAATGAGCGTCTGGAGGTAACGGGAGGCGCAGACAAGGAGCCATTATCCTGGACGGTGACCGGGGGTCTAGGAGAAACAAACATCACGCAAGATTTGAAGGAAACCGGGGTATCTAGGGGGGGATAGCGGTGGAAGGAGTCCAGGTCGTGCAGGTAAATGACGTGGGAGGTGGGTAGGATTTGCGGATATCGCAAAAGTCCGCTAGGACTAAAGGAAGGCAACCAACAGGAAAGGATCAGCGACATTCACCAGGCCCGGACAGAAGGCCTCAGCCCCGGCATGCACCAAGCAGCAACACCTCCTGGGGGCCCCGCACCACGTACCTTCATCCCCACTCGTCTCAGCAGGTACCCCCCCACAAAGGTGTGTGAGAGGACCTGGTAGGACGGCATGCCGTCCTGCGCGGGGAGCCGCTGGACCAGCAAGCCTGGCCGCGGGAAGGCGTGGGGAAAGACGATTACGGTCAGGCGGCGTGCAGGGAGGACGACATGATACATACAGCATCAGCATTCAGTTCCAGACGGGCCCAACGAGGAGATGTAGGATTAGATGTAGCCATTCAAGGTGCGCCTGAGGCTACAGCGATAGGGCAGGGGGATGTGCCGGGGAAAGAAGGAACAAGGGAAACTGCAATAGACAAGAGGCCGGAGTCAGCCCGTAGGGCCCGCATTAGGTCAACGCAATAGCAGAAGAACAGCGCTTAAACTGCCGACGTTGTGTCAAAGAGTACTGCGTGCGGGAACTGCACTGCTTCACCCACAATCCATGACTGGGTATACACCGGGTACCGCCCCTCCAATCCAATACAACCCCGCAATGAATTCAATTCGCGACCCCAGGCAGGTGCCTCAAACTCATCCGGGACCGGAATTCCTGGGCATATCATGCGCTCCTACCTAGGAAGCTCTTCCCGCACTACCCACCGGCTACACGGGCCTCCTCCGGATTGAACACCTTGGGTATGGGCCGCACTGTCGGTGCTCGACCAAAGGGGTTCTTCTTGCGCTGCTCCTCCGTCTGGTCGGCAGGAGGGAAGTGAGGGCCAAAAGACACATCGGCGGCCGCGCTCTTGGTACACATTTGGCCATTTTGGATTTCAACACAGAAATGCAGATGCCGTGTAGTTGATGCGGTGGCAGGCGGGTGGGGCACTAGCCGCCGAAATCCTCCTCGGAAACCCGCGGGTAGCGCAAGCATCAATGCAGGCATCCACCAAGTTCATTGGCATCCGCGCAGCCCATCTGGATGCGACAAAGCACAAGGCCCCAACCTGCTGCCGAAAGCTATTACACACGGCATCCTATTCAATATTCCACGCCGCAACTTTGTCAGGCCTCCATCCTCCAAAAAAGACAGATGCCGCTTCCCACGCGGTAGTTAAAAATGAACTGCACGCCCCCTATGTTGTTATCATACACAGCCCACACTCACCCTGTTCACCATAGCCGCGAAGTCCAGGCGATGCAGCAACTTGATGGTAGCTCGCCCCGCGACTGGGTCAACATCCACCACCCGAGCCAGGTCGTCCTTATACAGACCGCCGCGCACGCGAACCCACGTGTCGCGAGCTGAAAGGGATAGGTCGTCATGGTGGCGGTAGTGGGTGGTTGAAGAGCAAGGCTAGATAAAGAGATGAGCGGGAAGCCGAGCGCCACAACCCACTTCGGGTACGCGAGGGGGGTAACCTAGGAAACGTAGCCGATTCCCGAACATGGACGCCATCAGTCTTTTCCCAACCGCTTGGAAACCCGGCTCTCCCCCCTCCCATGAGGTCAGTATGACCCCGCTATCCTTCGGACAGCCACAGCCTCAGACTTGAGCCCCAATTCCCCTACCTGCCCTGCAGCTTTTCCCCATGTCGGCGCTTACCCATATCGTCCTTGGCCTTCTTGTTGACAGTCACCGCGTCCACCATTTCATTCAGCGGCACCAGCTTGGCGCCCTTGCCCACGTACACAGTTCGAAGGCCCCGGATGGCGTCCATGACGTGGGACTCCTTGGCGGCCTCCACGTAGATGAAGCCCTGAGAGGGAAAAGGACGCAGCCAGATGCTGTCGGTAATTTGGCAGGCGCGGCGCGGCCAAGGCAGCGTGGCAGGCGGCCAAGGCAGGCCGCCCCGGCAAAGTTTGGTGCATCGAAACGGGGCATAGTTGGCATAGCCAACACCGGGCCAGAAAACGCATACACTGGCGTGAGTCCATTTCCGATGTCTAGGACAAGGCCTGACGTGCTAACTTTACAAGCGCCTAAAGCCTGAGCAGCTTTCCTTACGCCTAGAAGTCCCATCACATTTCATGTTCCTGCACTTCCTTTCCAACGCCGCGCCACTGGCCTTCCCCCCCACATGCCCGCCCCATCCACATGTCCGCCCTCGAACCTTGAACGCTCAACCGGCGCATCCAGGCAAGTGGGCACAGGCCCGTACCCTTACCCGAGCCCACGACTGAAGGACCCACCGGCAAGTGATCCAGTGCCACCGCAGACAAAATCCGCAGAGGTGCACCCCGCTCCGCCATCGTGTAAGACTTCTGCAGCAGCTGCACTACCGCCTCCCGCTCATGGCCGGCCTTGCAGGTCACCAGCCAGAGCTTGGGGTCGTTGGGTGTGGGCAGTAGGCCCTGCTGGCCCACCACTCCCGTCTCCGCCGTGTCCGGAATGTCCTCGCCCTGCACAGGGAGAAGGGTATCGCGGGACCCCGTTAGTTTACCACCCCAACCCATAACGCAGATGGTGGTGAGGTGCTTTGGGGCCGTTAGAGACGCATTAGTGCCCCTTTCCAAACACCGCCGGGCTTCCCGCGATCCCAAGTCTCCCCCCCAGACGGCCCAGAAGTAGGCTAATGGTGCCAGGGGAGAGATATTTTGTGGCGTGGCGTCTTGAGCCTTCCATGCGGAACAGGTGTGAAGTGAGCGGTCCGCTCAACCGCCTTTGCAACCCAGCGGCCGCCCTCCCAAGACGCCACACTCCAGTGTCCCATGCATCAGAGGCAGCAGCCATAGGAACAAAGCCAGGCGCTGGGAGGTCAATGTGGAAATGGGACCCATGCAATGTGGCACCTCCCATGCAGGCGGTATGACACTCCGTCCCTCCCAACCTGCACCCCTGAGCAAGTGCCGTCACTCCGACCCATAGCCTATCAAAGTCTCCGCAGGGCCAGCCGCCAGCGCCGTGCAAAGGCGAAGGGGTTCCGAAGGGACATGCCTAGATGCACCCCTGCGAGGATGGCGATAACCACATATTCCCATGCCTGGCCCCCCTCATGCACAGCTCCCCGACTGGTGTTGGGAAGCGGCCACCGGCGGCCATCCCCCCTGCCAACACCCCATCGGACCCTGAAGTAATGAGGTAGAGGGTCGTTTCCCCGTCCTGTAAGATGCTGCATAGCTGTGCACTGGGGTCCACTAAACCGCCATCGTGCCCTCCGCGTGCCGCACGTTCGGCACATCCCGGGCCCGAATCGGCCAGCCTGCCTCCTACTCGACAGCCAACCTGGGCCGCTCTGCCCTGCGGTCCCGTTCCAAACCCGGCTGCACCCCATCGGAAGCCAATACCACGCACCGCGTAGTCCCTGTAGCGCTCCTCAATTCGGCGGAGAATGTCCTCCTCCCGCGCATTGTCCTCCTCGCGCGTGATGCGCCGGTAGTTCAGCGGAGCGGCTGCTGCGTCCGGAATCTCCACGTCACGGTCATCAATCAAATCCTCTGCGTCCTCCTGTGGACCCCAGCATGCCGCCAGGGCAAGAAATTAGACGACCAACCGGAAAACGGTGGGATCCAAGCCTGTGTGCCGGGCCCCTGGAGGGTCCGCAACCCATTGTGCAAAGGAAGCTAGTGGACTAGATCGATAGAACCCGGGTAGATAGGAGATGCAGGAAGCCGCTCTGGCAGGTGTGTGTTGGGCGGTTGGGGAGAGGTGTCAATATGGACGGGCCCGTGGTCGACTAATGCGTAAAACGCAATACTCCAACGCCGTTTCCATGATACGCGATGCCCAACCCCCATAAATGCAAAGTAAGCTCTAGAGCCATAGCTCCTGTCGCAGGTCCATCGGCAGATCCCAGGGCCGCGAAAACCAGCTTCACCGCGGCAACGGAATTAATTCCTAGCTTAAATTAAGTGCTGGCAACATTTCCGTAACTCACTTCGACCTCCTCTTCCTCATCCTCGTCATCGACGTCGGCAATATCATCAATAAACACCGATCGCCCTTTTTTCTTTTGCTTGTCTCCTTCATCATCATCATCATCATCCTGCAGGTAGAAATTCCTCAGGTGGGGCAAGGGACGCTAAACCGCCGAAAGGAAATAAAGGTTTGTAGCTGGCTCACACCTCGTCGTCCTCCTCAGCGGCCTCATCTATGAAGGATGCCCCTCGCCGCTTCTTTTTTCTGCTCGGCCCCTCGCCGTCGCTGCCTCCTGCATCCTCACTATCCTCAAGTCCGGCAGCTGCATCGTCATCCTCAAGATCCTCCTCCACATCGTCGTCATCATCGTATGTGCGCTTCTTACCCATTACGTTTAGCTTTCAGCTTTTGCAAAACTTTTAGCTGTATTAGGCTTCTAAACGCAAGTGGAAGACTACCCCAAAATGTAGTTTCAACCCTCCTTCATATGCCCTTAGGAAAACTGCAGGCATCTGCATCTGGGTGAAACCGTGCACGAGAGCAGTACGGCCTCCAAGGTCAGTTGACCGTTGACCAGTTACACTGCAGTAATTGCACCCGGCTTCACAACATCATCTTACAAGCGAAAGTATTGCTTGCCTCACACTTCTCTTGTGTGCAAATGGCTTAACACTAAATAGGATGAAACAGAGGACGCCTCACGATGGCGCAGGAAATTTCCTTTCCTTTATCCTATCTATTTATCTGTCACCACTCCATTTGCAAACCTCGAGCAAATTTGCAATGGACCATATCCAACCAAAATCGCGAGGTCTCGGCAAGCGGGACGACCGTTGTGACCCGAACACACCTGGCCCCTGGTCGAACTTTCCAAATCCAGCCATAGCCTAGAGGTGGCTCAAGTCAAGCCGCATGCAAGATCTACACACCTTACGTCAGAACTTGACCCAGTCGTACACCCGCCCTGCAGGCCCACCCAGCTTCCGCAGCCCTTCTCACAAACGGCGACCGCAAGGAGTGCAAAAGCTCTGCATTCCCGTTGCATAAAAAACATGGCCACCCGAGGCGTGCAGGACCAGCTGCCACCTGCCAACTTTCAGCGGCATCATCATCATCATGCATCACAAAAATTGTCTCAGGGGATGCAATACGAGCTGATGGCGCCATAGGTTTTCGCAGTCGACGACAGCGGTCGGCCAGATTCCCCCTGGCCTTTGAAAGTCCAAGTGCAAAACTATCCTTCACTCATCCTTCTTGCCACCGAACAGCCCCCCAAATGCACCAAAGGTAGCCTTGACAGCGTTCCAGTTCACGACCGGCTCATCGTACTTGTCAATCAGCTGCTGGAACTTGGGGCTGGCGCGCACCTTGACCAGGTTCTTGTCCCGGCGAATCTGGTCAAAGTTGTCAAAGCCAGAAGACATCGCGGAGTCCAACGACTTGAGCGCCTCCTCAACCTACAATATGCCCGTCACGACAAACCATAGCAGCCTTGGTGCTATGAAGTCTTGGGATTCCCCTTGCGTGCCTTGCACTTAAATCCGGTTAAAATTGGGACTTGCAGCTCGCGTCAGGTGATCATGATGCTGGACAGCTGCTTTGGAAACGAAGTGAGCGCCGGCATAACAGGGAGCCGTTCAATGCAATCATGCAAGATTCTGCGCTAAGTACTGCAGTGTCATATGCATGAACTATTTGCCGATGTGCAGGTGGACATCATCATGCTCGCAGCATGCTGCTGCTGCTGCTGATGATGATGATGATGATGACGACGTTGGGGATCGTGACGACAAGCGCGTCACTACACCCCGAGGACAGCATTTCGCACGCGAATTGCTTAACACTGGCTTCATGAACGTAACCCTTAGACCGCACAAACAAGATAGAGGGCCACGTCAGGAAATACGTCCTCCAAAACGTCCTGCGTCACTAAACCTGTTAATGAGACTTTCCAGCGGTGCAACCGAAGGGTTGTCCTCAGCATCTGGCACCCAACTACCCAACGCGGACCCGTTCCCCTTCACGTGAACCATATCGCACCTGGTCAAGCATGCTGTAGCAGCAAGCAATGTTGTACTGCGCAACTTTATAAATGGGCGTGTTGCGTGAAAAGTTGTCCCCAACGTAGTTGCGTGGCTCCATGGCAATGATGTTCTCAAACTCCACCAGGGCGCCCTGCACCGCACAACAGAACCCAAACCAACATAGCCAGCCACCAGCGGGCCTCGGTTTCCTACCACGATTTACTGGCAGCCCGACGCGGGCCGCGGGCCAACGTTGGTTGCGCAACAACACGTGTGCATCGCGTAATCCGATCGCCATTTGCCATAGGACATCCCAAATGTACTTAGGGTTCCATCCTAAACCCAACGCCGACACAAACCCAGTGGGCTGGATTTTGGTAGATTTCCACAGCAATGAAGCTGCAAAGCTTGAATCCGCATGCAACATGCTGCCGGTTCGTCACCCAGTTCCACCCTGTCGCTTGCTCGTACGCTGTGCCGACCTAACCACCTAACGAATCACACTACGACGTCCCGTCCTAACTTCGTGTATGCGCAACTCGATGTTCCAATCTCATTCTCTCAAAAAACAATCACTATGCCCTCTGTTTCGGCCCCGATCTAACCCATCAATGCCCTTCCGGGTCCTGGCCCGCAATAACCTTGCAAACCGCAGGCTGTCTCGCTCCGGCCCGCAGTGCTGCTCATCTACACCACTACCCGCCCGTACGTGCCCGCTCCCTGTCTCGCGGTACCCCTCAACCCGCCCACCTGGATGTCGTTCTCCTTGAACTTGGCCAGCGCATCGTCAAACATCTCCCGCCGCTTGCGCTCGTTCTCCTTGCGCTGCACGTAGTTGCGCGCCTGAATCTCCTTAGTGCCCGCGCCGTAGTTGCCGCCAGCGCGCTCCTTCTTCCACATCTTCTCCGCCGCGTCCACGCCATCCTCCTAATCGCGGTCAGGGGGGGTGTGCGTACAGGACGAGCTTGCACAGCGTATCTTTGCACGGAGCCTGCACACAAGCCATCGTCGTAGGTGCCGAGCTAATGCAAGGGGTGCTCTGGACAGCTGCTTAAATTCAGCTGACTGCGTGGCAGTTCTCAATAAAGGCGACCGGGTGCATGACCCGGAGATTAGCTCTTACTTCGGCACTTGTGGGAGGGACTCCAAGGTAGGACCCACCAAAGGTCATTGCGCAAGCCCGGGCCCCCGGCCAGCTACCGACACACCATCACCCTTCGCCCTTTAAAATGCACATGCATTGTCCCGGCTACAGTTAATCACCATCGCCCACCCACAGCGACAGGGTCGCATTGGTGTTGACCACGCTGCTAAACGTTGTCCTCGGCATCAGAGGTTTCGAAGCCCCCCGATTGGTAAATGCAACACCCTATTGCAGGCCAGCAGCGGCTGCTGCAACAACGCCATCAGCTGCAAACTGGGCTGACCCTAGGAGCCCCTTCCTCCCTCATGGTCCTACTGATTTTCAAAGCAAACCGATTTACGTGCGCTTTGGATGTGTGTGGGTCTATGGAGATTTGCCGCAGGGCCGCGCACACCAAGCCCCCGCGTTAATACCCCAAGTCACGGGCCCTTGTGCCACTGCATCACACCTGCCCGCTACCTCTCGCTCCAGGCCCCTCGCGACTACGCACGGCTACCTACCTCCAGCGCGCTGAGGTCGCCAAAGTTGCGCTTCAGCTTCATGTACACAGTGCCGCTGCGGGTGCGGATGGCGTACATGATCTGCGGTGCGGGAGCACAAGTGGTAAATAGCCAAATCCTACGCGCATCTTTTAAAAGATTGACTTGGAAAGGAAACATCGTGCATCGCTGTTTGAAGTTGCTAACGTGCGTCCTAACGTGCTTTGCCAGACACGGACGATGCCACGCAGACCCGTCCAACCCCGACCCCAGAGAGAAAAGTCATGCCGCCAAAGCTGTCAGGAAAAGCAAGGATGCTTAGAAGCAGCAGAGAGACCGTCACCAGGCTCCGCTGCACGTTCCTTACTTGGCCCGCAACTGGAAGTTGAGACATGGAAAGCGAATGATGGCTGGGCTGTGTCGTCAGAAGGAAAGTCAAAAAACCCAAATCAGCAAACCTCGGGATTGCCACCTACCTGACCGAAGTTCTCAGCCTTCCACACCTCCGAGCCGAAGGACGCGCTGATCAACACAATTTTGTCGCCGGGCTGCAGGGGATCGGCAAGTTATTGATTTATTACACGGTGGTAAGAATGAAACGACTTTCGCCCGAGGAATGTGTGCCACTGGGAATGTAGACGGTTGGCGAACACTCACAAGGAAGAGCGTGGATAGTTATTCCTCGCCCTTCCTACTCGCCTGTACACGGGCGTCGACGTTGCCCAGCTTTGGGTTCACATCGATGATATAAGCGCCGCCATCGTTGCCGCGCGCGAACTTGAAGCCCAGGGGCTTCGGCAGGTCAAGCTGCAGCGTCACACACGGGTGTAGCAGTCCACGAGGAGAGAGATGTGTTTTCATCATCGGACGGGTATATCGAGCATGTTACATTGAGGAGAGCAGAGATGCATACCTCAATGTACTCCTCCTCGGTCGTTGTAGCAGGCGGGCCAGTCTTGGTGCCAGCCTGCGCCTGAACCAGAACGTGGCGCCTCGCCAGAACCTGAAAGTATACATGATTACAAGTGAAGCGCCTTATCCAGGCAGGGCGATAACAAGCTTAAAGCCAACGCTCATTTTCTACGCAGGATAATCACCCACACACCTTGGGCCCCGAGGCGACCGCGAACGATGCGACCAGCCTGCAGGATGCGTATACAATAGAAGACAAGATATGATAAAAGGGATTTCAACAGTGCGGGAAAGCAACAACTGACCTGTCGCTCGGGCAGCGGGCGACGGACCGCACCATGGTTGCGCAAGGCAGCGCGCTGACGGTGCTGACCACCTCGCGGCGAAGGGCGGGCTTGCTGGCGAGCATTTTTACGACTGTGACAGTTTACGCACCGCGCCAAAGCAAAGCAAACACTTCTGAGCTGCCTGTCCAATTGACCTCACGTCCGCAAGGCCCCTCTAACCAATCCGAACCTCATCACAAAGGGACAAGGACTGCTTGTCAACGCTATTATCTGTATGCTAAGATTATGATAGTTCTTACGCTTATCTTTTTACTTTGCAATCGTTTTGCATCTTGCAACAGTCGGAAAATGTAACAGGCACTGGTCACTTGCACAAACCCGCAATATAGCTGCGCCAATTCGGGACATAAATTGCTTGTCCATACATAAGCTGGCTTATTATGGCGAGCGGTTGCAGCTAAAATCTGCCAGGCATTCCGCTCTCTCCTGTTGCCGGTCTTGTTTGCTGCTTCGGCGTTGATCTCCTTTCTACACTATGCACAGAGTGAGCTCTTCCAGGGCTCCCTGTTCTCTCCTGGACAACCACTAAGCTTGTCCATAAAGGTGCTCTCAATTGTGGCTAAGGAAAAGCTTACCCGTGTTTTAAGCCAGGCGGGTGAACCTCTCAGCTGACCCAGTATGGCCCTGGCGTAGGGCTTTTTCCCCAAACCGTGGCTGGATTCGGGATAGCAACTGCAATGGGTGATATAAACTCGGTCCCGGTGATAAGGTTATCCTGTATGCTCTGTGTAGTGCACTGGACCGCACCCTTTCGAACCTCACCTGCCCGGCCACCTTTGCTCATGTTTGTTGGTGTCACTATCAGCTCACATATGGACAGGGCCGTGAGGCATCTGTGTACTGGTGCTCGTTGACAGAATCTTCACCAACGGAATGCGCATGCAGTACAAAGCATGTCGTGTTGCCGCTTAAACCAGCTCTTGAGCGTACTTTGTTGGTGTTTACTAAACCCCCCACACGACTCCTTTTGCCTGTATTACTTCGCTTCCAGGGTTTGACAATCACCGTACCAGACCAACACATGCCCCAATGAGCAAAATCAACGTCACGCGCCAATTGAGTTAGTCATATGCGACTTAGTCATGTACCATCACTAACCAGAAACTAGCGTCCGTCCTCACGCCCTGCCCTCCCCTCAGCCACCCAATTTATCCGTTTTGCCTTCAGAGCTCGCAGTGCGTTTAAGCCCCAAAGTTACCTTAAATTTGCAGCCTGGAGGACTGCCAGTATTAAATCGAGTCCCTTGGAGACAGGCACTTACATCTTGTGGCCGTCTCTTGTGGCCGAGAAAGATATTTTCATACGACGCCGTAACGGCAGCAACCAGCATCACCAGCAAATTAGAATGGCCGGTCCCCGTTTCGGGTCCATGTCGAGACATGTCGAGTCCCTCAAGGTCCCTGGGACCTTCCCAAGAACCGCCGCAGGTCAGGCCAATTCGTGCATTTTGTTCCTTAGATTTTCAGGTCGGCAGCGGAAGTCACGAGCTCCCCTACCGGCCACGCCTTCTCCACATCCGGCATCCTGGTTCAAGTCAACCCCATCGCAACATACGGCGTCACGTACGGCATTTATTTGTGCCAGCCTTTGGTCCTGACTGAGCATCAATCGCTGCGCTTGCAGCGCACATTGCGCATCGTGAATAGGATCCGTAAAAAACATATGCCCCTGAGGGCAACCATCCACCATGGTACTGCGGCTGGCCTACACAGCATACGCGCTGCGTGTCAACCCCACAACGCCACCACATCCCCTATCTAAGCCAACAAGGGGGTGCGAAGGCTAGCTTCGCAATGTTGAAAACCCTCTTGGAGAGAGACCTCAGAAGTGGGGCCACAATCGTTTCAGTCCGTGTCATTACCCAGATGCCGCTGGGAAGCGGGGAAAGCAAACCACCATCCCGGCAGGGTGTTGGATATATTAACCACCAAGCAACGGTCCGCCGCCATGTATAGCGTGCAGCCATACTCTGCTAAGAGAAAAAACGCCCTTCAGATTCAGGGCCTACTTGTCCTTCTTCTTCTCCTTGCGCTTGAGGGTGTCTGCCATAGCTCCCTTCATTATGATCACCATGCTCTGAGAAAACTTGGCGTACTGCGTTGGGCTGATTTTTGTTGAAACGTGGCGCTTGCCGTCATTTGCTCGGATGAGGCATACATATTCGGCCTTCGGGTTGGGCTTCTTGCTTTTCCGCGGCTTCATATTCGTCCTCTTCATTGTGACCCACACAGTGCCTGACTTATTGCGTTCATACATTTTGTGTAACTCACTCAGAAACGGATCTGGCTCAAGCAGCACCATGGCAAGTCAATACACTCCAACAGAAAATCGGGCAGCGCTTGGCGGTTCTACTGTATAAAAAAGGTGCCCTGGTTGCGTCCCAGTCGGAGGTGAAAATGCTTTTAGCCGAAATAGCTCTGCTCGGGAAGTGGTCATGTTGCACGGCAGTGGTTTGCGAGCGGTTGCCCAGCCGATTAATTTCAGCTGAAACGGGATATGTAGGCTGCAGCGCTCTAAGCTATCGCAGACACCCGAAGTAACGTTTGCAAAAGCAATGACAAATCGCCACCTACTGTGATGCCCCGTCCCCATTACACTTACGTTCACAAAAGCTAGGCGCAGAACCAGTGTCAAATAGCGGGCGTTATAACGGGAGATATAGACGCCTTAGCATTTTGCACTTTTCCTTAGGCTCGCTTAATATGGCATCGTCGTCACTCGCCTCCCGCTTCAGTTTCTCAAATCTAAAAGCGGGGTTGAAAAAGTATGGCAAAACAGGAATCTATACGTATTTGGGACTGTCTACCTGCGTTACAGCAAGTATGTGGAGCTCTAACTCCCCATTGCCACGTCGGGGAAGCAATACTGTGACGTCACAGGCGTGCCGTCGCTGCCGTGCAGGTTTCTACGTTGCCATAGAGAGCCACATCGACGTTCGATCAATATTAGGTATCAAAAAAGGTGCGTATCCTGCACGTGGGTTTTCAGTGGGTTTTAAGTTTGGTACGGAAGGTCGACGTGCAAGAAGGGGACATCGAAGTTGCCGACAGCCGCGCGGCCTGGAAACCTCCTGAAGTACTCTACGCGGCGTTGTGATGTCTTGCCTAAGGCTGCAGAAGAGGTGTAGAAGAGGCTGCTTCTACACTCATAGGAGGGACGAGAAACGGCGTCCAGCACTCGCCTCGTAATTGCAAGTTGGCCGTAAGCTAGGGAACATATGCAAGTGGCATTCCTTGGCTACGGTCATCAAGCTCGTGTATATGTGGTGTATGGTCCAGTGGCTAGAACACCGCTGGCAACCAAGTTTGTCCAGGGAGTGCTAGACAGGGTCTGTAACACCCTCGTCGCCCCGTACGGCCTGTATTGTACTTTGTTGCTGAAGAGGATGAAGAAGATGGCAAGGAGCCCTCATTTGTGGAGCGCATTTTGATCGGCAAGGGCTCCAACCTGGCGCTTGCCGTCCTGTGTTCCAAAATGCTTATCCCGGTAAAGGTGCCGGCAGCAATAGCGCTCACGCCGTACGTCCAAAGGTGTGTTGGGAGGTCGGACCACCTTAGTACAGATGGGGCCGAAGCAACCCTGCACGCTTGTGGATTGGACGCCATTCCATTCACTCCCGCCATGCCATTCGGTCACACGGCAAAGCTGGGATTGATGCAGGTCGTTCACTGCTAGCACAATTCTAAGGAAGCTACATTCAGGAACGCCCCGCCGCCGCCTTGCTGTGAAGTGTTGTCGGGTGTTGTAAAGTGCCTTACCCTTATGGTGTATGATTCCGTCCTCAACTATATCAACGAGCAACCTGTCGTCGTGTTTTAGCCCAAGTAAGATGTTCGGCCGAGCTGATTAATTGCAGTCTATGTGATTCACTGCCATGCAGCGTGGATCCTTAAGAGATATGGCAGAATTCCTCCCCCAACACGTCGGGCTCTTACAGCAGCTGCCTGAATGTATGCCGGCTTGGGTAATTATACCTCGCAGGTTTGTGGACAAGTTTGCTGGACGTGCAGCAAGGACAGCTCGCCCATAAGGCCCAGCTAGGTTTTTCTGTTGCTTTCGACGGCAACTTTCGAGTGTCTAATGATGCGATCAATGTGGGTCGCATGGCTCCGCGCTTCGTTCAGGCGTTTTGAGAAGGGGGGCTTGCCTCCAGACTATTGACAATGGCGGGGTTCTCCACGTCACATGTGGGTTTCTTTGGGTCAAATGTGGTTGAAGATATGACCTTCCGGCCATATCTCTGACCGCTGCAAATGCTACGTGCTGCAAACACCCGATGTGGGTCACAAATGCCATCTTTGCTAAATGGTCCCTGCTTGGTAGGGCCGGGGACGTGGCTGCCGTGCGCTTTTGCAGCGATTTCTTGGTACTCATCAGAGATTGCTTTGGGTTTATGAAAAAGCTTTGTGTAGCGACGCTGGAGGGGGAGGTTATGGCACCGGGAGGGGGGGGGCTATGGCAGCGCGACGTTGGGGGTATGGCCGGGAGGCATGTGAATGGGCATGACACGCGCCGGACACATCCCGCTGAGTGATGGCTCGCGCAAAACCGGTGTTTTAGTCTACCGCTGTGAGTGTGTATGTGTGTGTGTGTGTGTGTGTGTGTCGCTGCTGGATGTAGGGCTGCCCATGCATACCAGTGTGCGGTGTGGTGGCCCCATACCGGCGGCCACCTGTGCGTGCTGAAGACAGCCTTATAGCCCTAAGGTAGCTGGAGTTTATTTCCAACATTTCAACCCTGTCGCGCTCCGATTGAGCCTGGCTAGTTTCACTAGCATGGGGAGCTGGCCGGCTGTGCGCCTGCAAATGAAGCCTATTTGCTTAAACGTCCAGTTATGCAAAAATATTCTTCATACAATGAAGACCTTCAGTCGTGGCAAAGTCGGATGAATATGTACACCGCCTTCCGTGTTTGCCGGCCCTGTAGTCCGTGTGGTCGGCTACAGGGCCGGTAAATCATTTGCTGTTACCACAACCGGTGTTATGGCAGAATTTCCTGCCTTTGTGACTGGAAGGAATCAGAATGTTCGTCAAAGACATGGACTGCCAAAGACGCCATGCAAAGGACTACAAATCAAACAAAGGACTACAAACAAGTTGTTTGCCACCCCATCGTGTTGAACCTGTACATTTTCAATGAAATAAGCGACCGGGAATCTAAATTAAGCGGACCAAGTTTCTTCAGTCCAACGTCAGCAAGCCGGGCACCCGTACGGCATGCCGGTGAAGGTGATGGGAGTTCCGCAAAGGATTGTTATTGACGCAAAGTCGAATAATGTTTAAATTTTATTCACCTCAGAACGCTCTTGTAAAGTGACCCCCACGGAAAGTATGCTCTACATTTCAACGGCCTACCGATAGCAGCTGCGGCCTCCAGCGCAGAAGATGCCCCGTATTGATGTGTGGGATGTGCCAGCAGAGCAGCCAGAGAAACAGGAGCCTCTTTGGGTCGGCTTCACGCACGCAAAGCTGCCGGATCGCTATGATGTTGGCAAGCAGCTAGGCCAAGGCGGCTTTGGAAGTGTTCGCGTTGTTGTGGAGCGTTGTTCCGGCAAAGAGTATGCATGCAAATCTATTATCAAGCGTCTGAGCGTGCCGAACGTGGGCGCTGGCAAGCAAAACCAGCATCTCGAAAACATTCGTCGTGAAGCCTTAATTCTGCGGCGCCTGCGAGGGGTGAGCTATAATCTATGAGGGGTGTCGCGGATCGCACGTCAGGGTCTTTCACGGCAGAAAACAACAAAGCACGTCGCCGAAGCCCCGCTTGAGGGACAGCGCCCTCTTGAACCTATATCAGGTGGTACCTATGCAGCTGTCGCGATATTACTTGAGGCCGTGTAATTCATGGGGTGGCCCAGAAACTCTCTCCGGCATATCGTCAACCTCCCTTCAACCACGTAGCTGTGATGGGGGTTGAACCGGCAAGCGGACACACGTCACAAGCTGTCGGAAAGAAGCCGCATATCCATCCCTGCTCCTCTTCACCTTTCTCACGACCCCCTTCCACTTAATAATCTCACTCGGCTCATTCTGCTGACGATCTCCTTGGATATCCCGGGGGCCCGGTCGCGGCAGACGCTCAACGTAGTCTATCTGGAGGATGTATTCGAAGACGAGGAGGCGGTGCACCTGGTCATGGAGTGGTGCAAGGTGTGGGGGGCGGGAGCGAGTGTAGGCAGGTGACGGCTGCTGGGGCGGGAGTGCGGAAGCTGGGTGCCAGCACACACGCATGTGAACAAGGTGTACCAGTCAACGGATTTGAATAAAGGGGCTTAAGGCTTTTGATGGTGTGTCGCAAAGTCGGAGTCGGGGCCGCCTAGGCCTGTAAGCTGCCGAAGGACGGCCTGGCGGCCCGCGCTCAGCAGCTTGCAGAACTGAGCCAGGCACTGCCAACATGCGGGCACTTGGATGGGGCTGCAGCGCTGTGGAGGTGGGCAGGGAAGGGGTCTCCGCGTGAGCGTGACCTGGCTCCGCTACAATGTGGGGCCCAACCCCGGTGCGTCCCGTGTATGCCTGCAGGGGGGCGAGCTGCTGCAGAGGATCAACACGCGTCACTACAGCGAGCGCACGGTAGGATCCTAGAACATGTCTAGGGTTGGAGTGGACACCAGCCGCGGCGTTAAGAGGATTTTGGCCGCGTTCGTCTATGACCTATCTTGACCAGAAATGGCAAAACACCTGGGTTGCGTAGCTTTCTGATCTTGCCGCCAGTCTCAATTGTCTGACGGCAGGTGGGCAGACGGACAATCGGTAGGGGCTGGGTAATGAGGCGGCTTGCATGTGGCCTAGTCGTCATCGGCATGTTCGGTCCTCCCTCCCTCCGCGTACGGTACAATTCTCCTGCATACCCACCCACATATATCCACTTACGTCTACACCTGCACCTCCATCTAAGCCGCTCCTCCGTCACTCTCTTCCCCGCACCTCCCTCGCCTCCCTGTTCACCTGCTAGGCCGCCAGCTACATGCGAGCCGTATTGCGCACTCTGGCGCAATGCCACCATCTCCGGATCCTGCATCGGGACGTAAAGCCGGGTGCGCAGCTAGCTGCCAGCGGAAGATAGTGGTACATACTGAGGAAGTGTAGGGTATGGAGTGCCAAGGGATAGTGGACGATAGCGGAAGTGCTTCGGAGCTAGTTTATGGACATATGAGATAGGCTTCGGGGCCTAAGAAGTGTGGGTATCATAGCACATGGGATGCGAAATATTGCTGGCGGAAGGAGATGGATGCAGCTGCAAGCGGGAATGGAGAAGGCTGGTTGGGATAGGGAGGAGACGGGTCTAGTGGACGCATCCGGGCAGAAGCATGTAAATGAGAGTGAGAGGGCATTGCATGGGCGACGCCAGGTCAAGCTCTGTGTGGCGACGTTCGGAACCTTGTGCGGCCAAAGTTTCTTGAAGCCCAATCCGAGGTGTGCACATCGCAGCATCGCCTGCAAGGCAATTAGGTACTAACGTACTAACCCAACCGGCACTACCGTTCCCGCCATCTCCCCCGCTACACTCCTCCGCATGCATCCACCGTCCAGCCTCGGGTTATGTCCGAAGACTCTCCACACTGCACATGTTGGGCCTCCTACCCAGTCCCGGCTCCGCTTCCACCGGCTGGCTCGTGCAGGGAATTTTATGCTGCTGACAGATGCGGACAAGGCGCCTGTAAAAGCCATAGGTGTGTTGGAAGAAGTGTTCCTTGCGGTAGAATCAGACGCCAGGGATGGTGGACCGCGTGGAGGGCATCGGTGCACTGCGTTTGGCTTGGGCATTGCCGCCTTGGGCTGGACTGGTTCCTTCCGTTCCAATGGGTTCGATTTGATGTGTCGTTTTCCATGAACACTTCGATGGGGTGGTAGTTCGACTTCTGGGGTCCCTTGCATCCCTCCGGCTCCCACACCTTCACACCGCGTGGTTGTCCCTGGGGATCACTTGCTTGCCTGTCTGATTCCCTCTTAGGTGCACTGAGTCCTCTCTCTTCCGACCGCGGCCGGTCCCTCTCTCGCCCGACAGATTTTGGCCTGGCCGTCTTCTACGACCCCAAAAAGCTACCGCGCAAGGACCTGGGCCTGGAGGGAACGTGAGTACGAGGATTTCCGCATCGGGAGGGCTTCCGGGTAACATGGAATAAACGCCTTTAGCTGCGTGCGCTGGCTTCGGGGACGCGAGGGCGCATTCGGCGGTGGGGTCCGAGGTTCCATGGCTTCTAATATCACGGTGTATGTGGACGGAGCTCTCTTTTTCTTTAGGGTCACGTGTACTGCTCGAGCTTGCAATAACGGTATCCACGCTTCTGGCTCGCGGCTCCTCGCGCATTGACTTGCCTCGATCTATCACCGTCTCAATCTCCACACATCATGTCCCGCTTTCCGCTGTGGCCTTGGCGCAGGCCGCACTTCATGGCGCCGGAGCAGCTGTCTGGTAAGACCGAGCCCGCCTCGGATATCTGGTCGGCAGGGGTCATGGCGTACCAGCTGCTTTGCGGCTTTGTGCCTTTTGACGACTGGAAGAACACTCGATCGCCTTCGTTGTCGCTGGTCTGGTGGGTGGCGTTGGCGAGGGGGGGTGGCGGGTTCGGGCCGGGACGGCTGCGGTGGCGTCTTGCGTGCTGTGGTGCTTATAAAAGGAGGTGTCTTGGGCAGTGCGTCTTGACACGCTGTCACGCGCAGTCATTTTTTCGCCTTACCATTTGTCAATAAATTGTCTGCGTTTCAATCTCATACAAACCATTTGCCCGTCGTGCGCTTCTGTGTATCTCCCGCGTGGCCCTACCGGCCCTTACTTGGAAATGTCCGCCAGCCTGTGCGCACTGGCGTGCGCTGCTGCCATTTCCATGGTTGACACGTACCCGGGGTCCATTCGTTCTCTTGCTTTTAGCGTTCTTATTTCCACAAGCATTCTTCCCGTCGATGGGTGTTTTTCTCCAAATCCCGAACTGGGGACGCGGCGCCCCTTCCCGCAGGCGCGCTATCCTGACGGAGGAGCCGAAGTTCACTCACCGAGCGTGGGAAGGGGTGTCCGAGGAGGCCAGGGACTTTGTGAGGTCACTCCTGATAAAGTGAGCATGGGTAAAAGGGAGGAAAAGGAAATGGCAAGGGGAGTCTGAATGGGCTGTCCTAGAAAAGTTTGAAAGCTTTAATAATAGCGACAAATACCAAGCGTTAATGGCGATATGATGGTGGTTGAACCTTCTACAGGAAGAGTTATGAATAGGGTCAGGGTAAGGGCAGGATTGCAGGGGCATGGGTATCCGAGTGGCTTGGGATGGCTCTTAATTCTGTCATAATTCTCGTTGCCTGGTCCATGCCGGGCTTCAGGGGTTTCCAATTCAATCCTGTCGCCGTATGCAATGGTCGGTAAACTTGGAACTAGGGTTGGCAGAGTCGATTAAGCCCAGCATCACCGCCCCGCTCCGTGAGCCGCAGGGACCCGGCAAAGCGGCCAACCGCCAAGCAGGCGTTGGGTCATCCATGGCTGCAGGTGCGTGGGGGTGAGGATGCCGGTGATTAGGAGAGTCGTGATGGGGTGGAGCAGCCCACGGGGTGGGGGATTTCGGTTTCTGCCTGGGCCGTCTTCCCTGCTGCCGCAGTCACTTTTTCGTTCTTCTTGGTTTTCCTTCTGAAGTTCCTTGCTGGCTCAACCTACTTGCTGCCAAGCAGGGCAAGTCTGACCAGCGCAACGAGGGCGCGCCGCTGGCTCGTACCGTCGTACAGCGTCTACAGAAATTCGGCGTGGAGAGCGTGCTGAAGCGCACCGTACTGGACATGATTGCCAACGATCTTATCAACCGCCACATGGAGCAACTTAATGACCTTGCGCAGCAGCAGATGGAGCCCGCAGCCCCGCAACAGCCACAGCCACAGCAGCAGATGGAGCCACGGCGCTCACAATACGGCAGCCCAGGGCAACCGGTGTCGGAGGTTGGCGAAGCGCCCCCCGAAGGTGCCGCAGCTGCGGCGGTGGCGGGCACGCCGCTACCGCCACCGCTGGCGGCGGTGGACAGTGCCTCAGGCGCCGTCGGCAACCGCCTCCGCCAGCTGGCGGCGCAGGACTTGCTGCTGCGCTCTGCCGGGTCGTCCGGCGCCACGATGGCCAAGCACGCGACGGTGCACGCCGGCGGGGACGCGCTTGCGGCGCTACGGCGAGGTCAGCAACTCCTGGGCCTACCGCTGCCGTCGCGCCCCCTGCCAGGTGCCAGCAGCGCATCGCCTGGGGGACCTTTTGCCTCTGCGCTGGCGGCGCTGCAACAGCAACATCACCATGGAAGTCACCAGCGCCGCTCACATGATGCTGAAAAGCGGCCGCTGGGCCGCACGATTACGTCCATAAACCCAGATGAGCAATCCTGGGTTTCAATCCAGGCCTCGCAAGAGCCACAGCAGCACCTGCAACTAGGGCCGCAGAAAAGGCAAGAAGAGCAGCCTCCGAACTTTCCGTGGCGCAGTAGCGCGAATCTGCAGACGGGGGTGTCGGCGGGGCTTCCGGTGTCGCAGTCCTCCTCCCGGCCTGGAGCAGCACGGGGGGATTCCTTCTCAGGCCGGCCCAGCCTTCCCCGGGTGACGCCTCTGCCCAGCATGCTGCTGCCGCCGCAGTCATCGTCGCCGCAGCAGCAGGTCCAGGTCCCGCCGCGCCTGGGCTCCCCGGGAGGCTCCAGCGGGCAGGAAGGTGCAAGTCCTCCCGCTGGCGCCACTGCAGGCGGCGCGTCCAGCACCGCCGGAGGCAGCAGTTACAAAGGCCCCGTGAAAGACCTGGCAGCCGCCACTGCCTGGGACATGAATTTTATGAAGAACCGGCTGGCAATGGAGGGATCAGGCCACGCACTGCAGCATTACGCTTGGTAGGGCGGGCATCTAATGGACGTCTAAGCGCATGAGCATAGTGGCGTGGGTGTGCTGGGCTGCCGCTTACTGTGCATCGGGTAGGATATGCAGGAGTAGGGTGATTAGCATGTAATCAGACAACAGGGTGTGAGGTGGTATGTGTGTGTATAAACCGTCCCTTCCACCGGCCCGATCCATGTTGCATGTTCCCAGGCTGTTGAATGTGGGGGAGCGGTCGCTGCATGGCGTGCTGGAACGAAGCTACCACGCTGGTCGCCATCATTCCCCCACGGCAGACGCAATTCTGGGAGCGCCGGCAGGGCCATCAGGGCAGCAGCACCATCACCACAAGCAGCAGCACTGGGGCATGGGAGCGGTGGTTGCCGGCTCGCCGGGAGCAGCGCTGGGGCTGCCGAAAGGTACCGCGGCGATAGCTGGACCGGGGCCGGGGTCAGTGCAGCTCGCAGCCGGAGCGGCCACAGCAGGAGCTGCTACGGTGGCGGGAGGAGGCTCGTTGTTGTCCGGCGGAGGCAGCGGGACAGGTGTGTCAGGTGATGTCGTGTTGAGCGTTAAGCACTTCAATCTTGCGGGCTTGGGAAATGTCTTTGGTGGGTTGCCTGGTCGTCCTGAAGGCTCTCCGCCTCTCCTGCTTTAACACCGTTCCCATGTTCCCCTTTCCTTCTTCATCATTCCCAGGCGGCGAAGCCCTTGCAGCAGCAAGTGCCAACCCCGACTACCTCCGCATGCTTACTCTTGTAGCCCGGCAGCGAGCTGAGCACCGCAAGTATCAGCGCCTATCCCTGGACACCAGCGGCCACCGCCAGACCCAATACGAGGAGCTCGTGGCAGCGGCGGGGGCAGCTGGCGGTGATACGCGGCTCGGCGGGCTGGAGGACATGGCGCCACCGCAGGTGCGTAGGGAGTCGCTTGTGCGCGGAAGGAAGCGTGGGGTGCGTGAAAGCCTGGGGTTACATGTTTCTCTGGTCGCCGAAATTGAGTTGCTGCGGAAAGGAGATACTAAGGGTAGCAAAGTTACTACTCTTAGCTTGTATCTGCATACGTTGGGAAGGGGGCTGGTGTTCGCATGAGGGCCAGCGTTGCTTCATCCTTACCTTGAAGGACATAAGGCGGGATGGGCGTGAGGCTGTGGCCCGTCGGTCGGATGTATGCTTGCAGGAAGCAGACGAGGACGAGGCAGCGGCGGGCGGCACAACCACGGCTTCTGCTGATACCACCGGCACTTTCTCCCCGCCGCCGCCCAGCGGTGCTGCCTCGGCCTTCGCCACTTCCACCTCGCTCCCGCCGCCGGCTACAGACGCCTCGCCATCGCCGCGCAGGGTGCCACAGGCACAGGCTTTGCCTCAGGAGGCAGGCCTTCAGCGACAGAGTTGCGGGGTCGGCGGTACCGCGGCGACGTCCCACCCGCCTTCACCTCGGCAGCAGGCGCCACCGTCCACCACAACATCCGGCACCGCAACACATCCACTCAAGTCCAGCATCCCTGGCCTGGAAGAAGCCGAAGCTTTCAGCCGCAGAAGCGTCCCGGGCCCTGGAACTGGCTTTGCGCACTCCGTTAGTGCCCCCTACGCCACTAGCAGCTACGGCAAGGTGTCATTCTCTGGCTCGGTGCCGCCGGGAGTCGATGACGGCGACAACTCCCTGATGGATTGGGATGATGACAGCCAGCTAGGTCAGCCCGGACGTACCTCTGGACCTGGGTCAGTGGCGGGTGCTGCTGCCGTCGCAAACGCCGCGGATGGCCCCGGCAAGCGCAGCTCCCTGCTTAAAAAGGTCCGTAAGGCCCTCATGAACCCGGTCAAGAGCTTGTTGGGATCCAAGCACCCTCTTGACTCACCCCCTGTGGCCGGCGGCGAGATGATCAGCGGCCGACAGTCGGGCGCCTGCACGGGTGCGACTACGCCGTTGCGCAGTGGCACTGCTGGCGGGACAGGGGCCGGCGGGGTTCTGCTTGCGGGCGCGGTCGGCGGCTCCGGAGCCCTGCCGCTGGCCGCCGTGTCGGTGGCCAGCACGGCAACGGGCGCGGCGGATGAGCGGGGCAGGGGTCGAGGAGCTTACGCGGCGTTCCTTCAGTTCGGCGGCGCCACGGGTGGGTATTATTAGAATTTGAGGGTAGAGGGGGTTACGACGCGGAACCGGAGTGAGCCGGGCGCCGCCCATGGTTCTGTTCGCACGTTGGTTGTTGTTGTGATGACAAGAAGCGCGTGGTACGAGTATCAAGCATGGGGTTCTTGCCAATAGGAAACGAATGTTTCCAAGCTTGCCGACCGCTATCTTGCGGCAATGCTGGATTCGACAGAACGAGGGGCTACCTACTATCCCGACATCACTACAGCTCCGATGTCATTCCGATGCAACCAATCTTTATCAATCTCGCCCAATTCGCATTAATCCCTCCGTTTCCTTTTTCCTTGCTTCTCACCTCCGGACACCACGTTGCACGTCCGACCTCGGCCGTCGACCCGACAACGGCTCAACTCCTCTTAACGCAGGCCCCAGCGTCCAGCCTGGCGACGGCACAGGTGCGTGTTGGGGGTTGACGCCGCTGGGGAGATCACCGGGGAACTAAAGATGGAAAGGGGCTGACGGGAGGGGCATAGGCTAGCGTGGAAGGTGTAATGCCATCATGAAGTGCTACCGGGTTGCGGTCGGGCAGTGTGCCATCATCCCCTGGGTTTGGACAATCGGCTACGACGCGGCACGCGTCCCCTCCTATTTCCACAAATTTCAATGCAATCTTTTGCCCCCAGAGCTGGGCCCGTCCTCGAACCTTGTCCCCACCCCGCCGACTACATCCACTCCCAGGTTCCACCACGCCGCAAGAGCGCAGTGGACACGGCATCCACGAGCGCAGTGCGCATAGCGGACGGGATCGCAGCGCCCATAGCGGCGCCGGCAACGACCGCAGCAGCCACAGCGACCGCAGCATGCGTGAGGGTCGGGAGGGACGTCACATCACCGCCACATACCAACCGGGACCTGCCGGGTACGCCATCCACACCGTCAAGGCGCACAAGCCGCAGCAGCCGCCGGCAGCTGCGGTGGCGGCGCCGCCAGCGCTGCAGGAAGCACCGGCTTCGACGGATGCAGTGAGTCCCGATGTGGCGGCTGGCTGCGTTGACCGGCAATTGCAGGACGGAGTACAGGAACCAGCTGCCTACGCAGCGACCACGCTAGCAAACTCTGGTGGAGGACAGGCGTTGGAGGATGGCGCTGTCCCCGCGTCGGCGTTCGATGCCACGGGGGACAAGGACCGGGAGGAGAGTCCAGCTGGGGACAAGGACACGAGCGGCGGCGGTGTGACGCAGGAAGACCTGGTAAGGTTTCCCTCTCTGTTTGCACCGTGTGGACGTGCGCAAGTACGGCGGCACGTACATGAACAGCTTTGACGGAGCCTGCCCAATTGGTGCCATCTGGGCTCCTCATTTTCGCGCGTGCGGTGGCCTCGTATGCCCCATCACCTGTCTTGCTGTCGATTACGTTGCCTCTGCTTGTGATGGGTGTGCTTAACCTCCTGATAACGCCGGTACGTGCGCTAATTCAAATATATAGCGGATGTTTTTAAGCATGCGTAAATGTGGCCATGACAGGCTCCTGCGTTGGGGCTGCTGCTCGGAGACTCGGCCAAGGTGGCGGAGCTGCAGGACGTCATGAAGCGGTTGCAGTACGACAAGGCAGAGGAGCTAACATACGAGCAGCTGTCGGAAGGGTTGCAATGGCTAGGTGGGCGATATGTTGGCAACGAGTCCGCGGCTCCGCTGTGCATGTTAACCCAAGCAATGCGTGTATCCTCCTCAATGCACGGACATGAGCACCCCTGCGTGCGCGTACATGCTGGATTCCCCAGGTCGCAGCAGTCCCACTACTGCGACGTTTGAGAGCGTCACGGCAGCATAGGTTTGGTTCTGTGCGACGTCATCCTCCCACCCATTTCCATAAGCACCTTCGAGTGCTAAAGGTTAGCACCGCCGTCGCCGCCGCCCCGTTGTTCCTTCACATTCTTCAGCAGCTCACCGCAACTCCGCACCCAAGCGTCGCTTACTAATCCTTTCGCCCTGGCACTCCTGATCAAGCTACGCCACGTGGCGTAGCTGCGCCTGCCAGCTGCGCCTCTTAATAACAAGCTATACCCCGGTTGCCTCCCTCTGCCTGGTCCGGTCTTGGCCGGTGTGCTGATCAGGCTACCGTCTGGAGCCCAGTGAGGTCCAGGACCTGCTTCGACAAGCTACTGTGGGGGGCAATGAGGGACTGACGGCCTCGCAATTCATTGCTAGTCAGGTGTGTCTAAGATAGGATAGTGCAGCTAAGGGGATGGGGCCCCAGGGTGACGTAAGTGACAGCGGCGCATGTCTCATCCTGAAGCCCCAGCGCGTGAACATAATGGGCTATAGCGCCATGCCAGTGTGTAAAATAGAAGAAAATTGAGCTAAGTCTATATTAATTGATGTAAGCCATTAGCATCTTCCATTCAATTTCCCAATTTGCCCAAAACGCCAATTGCAGGTGGACTGGCGCACGTTCCAGGCAAACCACCGTGCTGAATGGATGGACTGCCTCCGCAAGGCCTTTGAGGATCTGGGCGGTGGGCCGGGACCTGACGGCCGAGTTAGTTTGGACCAGCTGATGGCGGTGCTGGCGGATAAGCTTCCTGAAGAGGAGGTGGGAAGAAGAATGCTGTTGTTGTTGCCGTGCCTCTTTGATATAATTTGTAGGGCTGTGAGGGAAGGACATGAACTTCGTCGAACAGTCAGTAGCCTCTGTGCCCCAAACAGGCTTGGGACTGACAGCAGCTCCTGTTGGGCGGTCCAGTTGGGTCCGGCGCTGGAATCAGTACCGGGGTGGGCCAGCGCCGTGCATGGCGGCGAGGCTTGCCCCTTGCGTTTATGGTTCACTCGCTGCATTCACCCATGGCCGTTCTTCCTTTGCTTCATTCCCCGGCCCGCGTAGGTCAACCTTGCTGTCCAGGAGAGCCTTATGGACGCGGCAGTGGAGGCGGACGGCGTCGACTTTGATGCCTTCGTACGCATGATGCGCTGCAACAGTAACGACTCGCTCGCCAGCGCCGGTTCATCTGAGTTGTCGTATGACCTGTACGATCCGCGGCTCAAGGACTCGTCGCTTCATGGGCCCTTGGGAGACGGCGTGCACTACCAACCCGCCCTTGAGACGGTGCCCGACGACCCCGAGTGAAAAGGCACTAATGCTCCAACTATTTCACTGCGAACACGAAGAATACAGTTTGCATGTGTTTGCCTTTGTTTCGTCAGAGAAGCCTGGGGAAAACCCCTTGCATAGGAACGGGTGGCGGCCTGAGTGCCCGGTTGGCGAGAACCAAATGGCGGTGTGGTGGGATGGTATGCAGCTGATCTCGACCGCTCCGGCGCGAGGCCAAGCACGTGAGGCGAGACCGTTGCAATATGGATGCATCCTGCCCCACAAGATGCGGCAGATGCCGCCAATGAGGTAATAGGGAATCTCTGCAAGTCTTTATTGTCTGAAGACATGTGCACGGCTGGACTGGCCGCCTAGAAGTTCATCAGCGAGTGCGCTTATTGATATAGTTGTCGAGATAGCCAAGCAAGCTAGCGATTGCGGATTAGACCTGTTTTACCTAGCTGGTTACTGGGGCCTAACACAGGTGTACGTGTAAGTGACAGCGTGGAGGGAACTACGTGGTTTGTATGTGTATGCGGACGGGTTGCGGACTGGAAAATTATCGGGTGTGCTTCCCTGGAGCTGACAAATAGGATACCATCTGAGGGTGCATTGGAGCTACGAAGTGTATGGATTTTATGCGCTTCTGGTTCAGAAGGAAGAAGAGAGTGAAGAAGAAGCGGTGCAAGGAGATGTCAAGCGACCTTGAGAGCAAGGATTGCAGCTGCCGGAATGTAGTGGAGAGGATATTGAGGGAGCGTGGAGAGCATGTTGACGCACGACGAGGGCGTGGAATTCATTGGGTAGTAGAAGGAGTAAAAAGGAGGAGGAGGAGAGGCCGGTGCTGTAGATGAAATAAGGTCACAGCGGTGGGTGGGTTGGGCATGAGAGTATGTCGGGCCCTGCAAGCCAGTGTAGCAGCGTCCTTGCAATGCCCTGCGCTGCCCTTCTATTGACATTCAGGGTGAGGGGTTCTTGCTAGGCTGCGCAGGGGTGCAAGCAAGCTGCCATATTACCAATGAACTCGCAGGGATTGGTCGACACTGATTGGGCAATGCTGGTTAGCCCACAGGATGAAGAGCCGTTGCCTACCCACCCGGTTAGGGTGTTCAGTACGACGGTTCTGTGGCCAAGCTCCAACCGCAAGCCCATCCGGATACCTGGCAATTAGCTCTTACGGTGGTCAGCAGTGTTACGTGGCGTCCAGTAGGTATTTTTTAATGCGCGTATGCGACTGTCCTTGGCATGTAGCGCGGCAGCGAGTCGTCGTGGGATCGTTGGATATGTTTGGACCTGGGCCATTGCACGAGGTGCATTTATAGGGTTCAGGAACGCGTGGCGTTGAGTAGGAAGGCCGCTTTCACGTGGAAGGCTACGAATTCTCGACACATGGGTTGGGGAAAGATTCTTAACAACCTTCACCCCACGGGGAAGTTACACCACACGGCCGTTTTTTGTAAGTCTAACGTAGTGATAACTTTGCTTAGATTGGAGTCTTGTGAGGGAGGATTTTTGCGCAGCGTCCCCGTGAGTGCTCAGTGCCGGATATGGCGTATATGAGGAGCCGATTGAAGCGACCCATCAAGTAACGAAGTGACGGGCAGGTTCCGAAGGGGTTTACCCCTTGGGACTCTTCTCCGCTAGTCCGGCGGCGTTCACCTTCCGTTGCCGGATATGTGAAGGCAGTGCATTGCTGTAGCCCGCCAGCAGATGCCAGAGCTGGCGGCCTGGGTTGCGCGCATTACAGGAGCCGGCCGTGCTGTCTCTGCAGTTAAAATGACACGGAATGACCATAATCGAGCCTCATATCTCCCCTAGCTGTCTCGGAGAGAACCCTAATCCACACAAGCGACCCAAACACGTCTCAAATAGAAACATCCAGTGACTTCGAATAATTTGGCCTTGACCGTCGGAGAGAGTTCCCAACCATTCGGTTGCAGTTCATGCCAATCCTTGCATGCTTTCAGGTAGATGGATGGGCTTGTGGGCAGCTGAACACACAGCGGGAACGGGAGCGGACGGGACGCTACAGGGCCTTAGATGCACAATCCTCAGAATGTTTCCAAATTGACTGAATGCTTGCGTGTGCGGCAGAGGGGACCAGCCTGCAGGCTCCGCGGCACGGGAAGGACTGAGAGCTCGGCTGTGCAGGAGGCCTGTAGTCCGCAAGTTGCCGCGGCAATTTCCGTGGCTGCGCACTTACCAACTCACACTTGTCCTCGGCCGAGCCCCGCAGTCCCCTTCCGTAAGCTAATGGCACGGTTTTGCACGACAAAACTAGGGTTGGACACAGCTGGAGACATGACACCAGCGATTGACTATCATTGCGATTTTCGCTATCGCCTGGCAAGCATCAGCAACTTCAGCAATACATTCTTGGACTGTCATGTGGGTTTAACACTTCAGCCAGGCGTTTCGATGGTTATTCCAAATCAACAACCGCACCAGAGACAACAACAGAGAATAAAGAAGCGACTACAAGATATAAGGAGCAAACACGTCATTCGCGTCGCTGGGCGGGAGGAGGCAGGGACCGTAATGGAAACATGCAATCCAGGAGTAAGCAAGAATAGCCGGCCTAGACTTGCACGAGCTGGTAACAAGGAAAAACCAGCACCATTCGAATGTTGTATGACATAATGGTTTACAGGGGAACTAAACAGGTCGTCCGAAATCGTGACCCTTGAATACTTTCGAGTTTCAAGCCTTGGCCTTATGTAGAAATTCCTTACAATTTTCTCAGCAGGTTTAAGCTCAGGGTTACCGAGGAACGCCCATGACGTCGTACGGGACTCCGCTGCATTTCGCACTTCCTGTTGCTCTCAGACTTTCCGGCCCAAAAGCCATTTAGTTGATAGTTGATATTCGGAAGCCCATGAGCTTGCGTTAGTCGGTTCATATTTCCGAAATGGGGTGCGGTTCGTCGGTCCCGGTGGAGGCAGTGGACCAGCAGGACCAGCAGCAGAAGCACCATCAACAGAATCCACAGGGCCAAACAGCTCCTAAGCCAGGTGCGAAGCACGTGGTCAACCTTAAAGGGGCGCGGCAGTGCAGACATTTCTTTGATGGCCGCAGGCGTCGGTAACGCGGATAAGGGTCCCGAGGAGTCAACGAAAGCAAAGACAACACGTGCAAGACGTTTGAGCTACATCTCAAATGATGCAAATGGAGCGGCGGTAGGTTGCGTGGGTCCGCTTCCTTGGCCTCGGGCGCGACAAGCAACGCCGGCCACTTTGCGCAGGTGAACGCGCCGCCCGGAGCGGCCGCGCCAGCTACCTCGGGACCCGGTGGACGGTCAGGCAACACAAGGGCTAGGCGTCTGTCCTATGTTACAAATGACGTGAGCCGTGGTGCGCTGGGAAGTGATAAAGACCTCCCTTTTTAACACACATGTGCGCCTTGTCCTGCAGCCTAACGCGACGCCTGCGAGCCTTAAGTTCTCAGGGGACGCAGATGGCAACGAGGAAGGAGAGCTGGAGGGAGCAGATGAGCCAACGGTGCAGGGCCAGCTCGCGCCAGAGGTAGGCCATCCCGCAAGCCATGCATGCAAGATACTCGCCTTCAACCGAAATCCCCGACGCGCTGCAGGAGCAAGAGCGAAGGACTCTTCGTGTTAACGTCGCGTGCATGTCCCGGGCGGGCCGTGAGCCTGGCTTCAAAAAGACCAACCAGGACAATTGTTTTGCCTTTGAGAAGTACATAACGGAGGACCAATCTTTGTTCGGTGCCATGGATGGCCATGGCCCTCACGGTAAGGAAATTTCGATGCCAATTTCGATGCTTGTGATATGAGGCGCACCTTTCACAAAGGTCACGCTGGCCTGTCCATGTCTCGCAGGTCATCTCGTTTCTGGCTATGTGAAGCAGCATCTCCCCATAATACTTGTAAACCATTTAACTCTGGAAAAAGATGTGAAGAAGGCGCTGACGCAAGGCTTCTGCGAAGTTGACCGATCTTTGGCCAACAGCAGGATAGACTGCGAGTTCAGCGGAAGCACTGCTGTAGTGAGCTATCTGAAGGTACGTTCTTGCAGTCAAACATGCTAAAGAAATTGCGTAGCTGGGTACCAAGCTTCTTATGCACCATGCTGAACATACAGATGTTGCTTTATGTAGGGCAAGACGCTCACTACGGCGTGGGTTGGCGACTCCCGTGGAGTGCTGGGTCGTGAGGGCAAGCGGGGTTGGGAGGCCATTGACCTAACGACGGATCACAAACCGACAGCGCCGGAGGAGAAGGCACGTATCCTGAAAGCCAACGGACGCGTTGAACGGTGAGAAGTTTACAGCATTTGACATAAGTAATGAGTTCGCTTACCGGTAGAAAGACAAGGACAGGCGATACGTGTTTTTGCACACAGGCTTGTTGACGAGATGGGACAACCCATGGGACCATATCGGGTGTGGCTGCAGTACGCATGGATTCCGGGCTTGGCCATGAGCAGGGCCCTTGGCGACGTCCTGGCACACCAGTGAGTAACAAAGTGAACTGTACTTACCTATTGGAAACAAAAGGGATATGCGCTTGGGTAGATGGCAGTTGCACATGTCGAGCCCGGTAAAAAACTTTTACCTGGAATGTCAGCCTGGAATGTCGTTATGGTCCATAGTTTTTCAATGTAGTGCGACATGGTTGAACGATAAATGCAGAAGAGAAAAAGCATTTCCAATTTTGGGCGCCAGCCGTGGGTAAATGTGGGCTGGAGTTAGGAGCGCTTCTATGACAGTCGGCTGAAGTTTGGAACGCTTGCGTGACAGTCACTTCGGATATTTCCACGTGTACTAGGGTTGGTGTCACCTCTGAACCTGATCATACCGTGATGGAGCTGACGCCACAAGACAAGTTCATCGTCCTTGCCTCGGACGGTGTGTGGGAGTTCATCTCCAGCAAGGAGGCCGTGGAGATTGTTGCACAGTACGACAGCGCAGAGGAGGCATGTCGCCAGGTGAGACATGCAGAATGTGGGCACTCCACTTGTGTTTGTGTATCACCGTACATCAACGTACAGGAGAAAAAGTGTTGAATAGTTCTACCAAAGCAAGTTGCTGTTGCCTAGCTAACGGCGCGGACAGCACTTGACACGGGCCAAGGATTGAGATCGCTTCAGTGCAAAGGGAGGGTATCCGGACGCTTCCGTGTGTTCGTTCCGTGCTCATGACGTTGGGCGCATAGAAGTTTACCAAGCATGGCAACACCGTCCGCGTGGCTTAACACTTTCGAAATCCATGTGCGGCTCATTCCTATGCGCATGGTTTCCGTTGCGCGGGAAACCGTAAATATATCGTCTTCTGCTGACAACCTGATTTGTCTGATTTGCCGCCAATGCAGCTGGTGGACGAGGCGTACCAGCGGTGGTTGACGGAGGAGGAGGGTGTGGTTGACGACATCACTGCAGTCGTCGTGCGATTCATTCACCCGTCGTAAACAGTGTATTAGGGGCCGCCACGTCGGATTTTCGCCGCTGAACAAGCGTGCTGTGGGTTAGCGTGGTTGGGTGACAGAGACTGGGGTTATCCAAGCTGTTGGTGTCAAAGCTGGTAAGGAACATACTGACACAGTGTTCATATGCCTACATGCGGTGGGCTGAATAGACTATTCTACGAAAACAGGTATGGAAAGGGGGCTTCGTTGAGCCAAGTCCAGTAAGACGATCTCCGCCGCCCCGGCGATATTGCTTGCCTTGCGCCCCGGCCTCGATCTTCAGCGGCTGCCGAATGCAGCGGGAACTCGCGCGAATTGTTTCTTATTGGCAACAGTGTCGCGTCCAATATGTCCCCGGCCAGAAAGGACGGGCCGAGGACGTGCCAGACACCATAACGGAGCGTGTAGGCATTGTTCGGGCTGGGACTGTATGCACCAACAAATACTTCATCTATGTTGTTGACCTGGTGTTAATGCCGTTCTGAACGATCCGGAACCTGTTTTCATGTTCGACGATAGCAGACTATCTCGCATAATTTCCTTTGGATGAGACATTGCCACGGGGATCCTTATTTATTACGGCAGGGTGACGCTGCAACGCGCAACATTTCCCATGTAGCAGGCGTGCGGCAGAGGGGGTGCTATGCTTTTTTGAGTAGGAAACTTCCTACTCGGTACATCGTGCATATCCTTATCGTCCTCGGGCGTCAGACCATGTTGGCTATGCTGCTCATAATGTACAGTGAATGCGTGCATGCTTAATGTGCATGGCCGACCGCTTTCGGAGGCCACGCCTCATGCGGCAGTAGCGCTTATGCCAGAGCACGCCCAATCCATATAAGCTAACGAGACGCGGAAACAGCTCCACGAGTTGGAATGAAGCGATCTGTCGTGTGAACATACCATTTGACCTGGTGGTGCGCCATACACGTGATGCTCAAGGGACGCCATGGGGCGTTCAGTCCGTGTGCCGTTTCATTCCCTTATGCTGACACGGTATATGGCAGTTCCTTGGGCATCCAAATGCTGATACAAGCTAAGCTAAGAACTAAGCTCGGGCCCTGACGGGGAGGAATGGATGAATGTGACGTTGTTGTCCGATGGGCAGTGTAATTTGGAGTGCTTTCCTCGGATAGTGTCCAGAGGCTTGTGTGGCTTGTGCATAGATTTTCTGGCAAGGGCGGCTCGTTTTGTTAGAAATAAGACGCATGGTCGTGGACATAGGTATGCTGGTGCAGTTGGGTCTTCAGTCGGCCGGAGCATGCATACGCGGAACGGAACAATGCCAGTGTCGTACGGTAGAAAGGCACCGTTGCTTCCAAGACATGCTTTGTCCTGTGGCCAGGCGCGTCTCACTTTCCGGGGACGCGGGGGCACTTATGGGAGCGCCATCGATTCTGTTGCTTGTCAGCTTGAGCGTCATACAGTGTGTAATTGTCATCCGAAACAAAATTGTGTCAAGGATGCGATTGTTACAGTGGACCCCGAACGGGTCGAGATTTAGGACTTGGAAGAGTCGGTGGATCATTTCGGGTTGGCTTCCGGGGCAATGTTTTCGCAGCGCCAAACATCCATATTTCTGACCCTTTCCTCGTTGCCAAATTGTTCCAGATGGGTGCTTCGTAATTCGGGTCACTGATGAAGTTCGTCGTGGTGGCACTTGCGGCTGAACTAAGCCATACTCAAGAGCTTAGAGAAGTGTAAGTTGGGGAGAAGTCCCCCATAGCCGTAAGCATGGGGCATCTCCCAAAAAACATGAGAGGGAAATCCGATTGCATGAACTTGAGGAAAGGCGCAGAGCAGCATGCAATGCAATGGATGTATGCGATGGGTCATTAATTCCCTGTTGACAATACCTTTTGCGTAATGCTCTGCGACTATGTTATCCGGATGCAAAGCAAGTTTATTTACTACAAATGGTTGATGCAGCCAGTGGTTTCGGCGTTCATTCACAATTCTCAGAGGCATCTGTCGGGCGCCGGCGTTTCGGCGGGAAAACGTTGCCGTACCACAGCGCTGGCTCCTCTTGACGCCAGATCACACACCAGACAAAATTAAGGAAGATTGCGTTCTTATTTTACTTGGTTTTCTGTAAACTACAAGTCTTCAGGCCTACCAATGACGGTTTCAGAAATTGTTGTGCGCCCCACGGAAGCCGTCCAAAGGCTATTCCAGCAAGCTGGTTGTCCTACTGCTAGTGATACGGATTGGGGAGTTCTTGAATTTTTCGCGGGGGCCATTGCGGCTGTAGGGGATAGCGAGGTGCGTCGATGCGCGTTGAGGCGCCGTTACCCCGCGCAAGACAACAGTGACAGCTAATTAATTTTATTGCTGGCGTTCAGGTTCCCTGCTTAAATGAGCAAACAGCACAGCGGCTGCCACACCACAGCCTTGTGCGCTTCCATGGCATGGTAATACTCAGTTCCGACATCTTCAGGCAGATTTCTTCCAAGCTCGTAACACGACAACAACCTTACCAGGGTGGTATGCAACGCAGGTCCAGGACCTTTTAAACCCGGAATACTATGTGGGCGTGTATTCAAGGTCCGATGGCAAACGGGTCACAACAAAGTTCAGCGACCCGGACATGTCTGAGCTCGACAACTACGATAGCCACGGACAGCCACTCGTCTGGGAGCGCCGCCCGATTGTCTGCGTGCCTATCCCAGGCCTCAGCAAGTGGGCCCTACCAAACGTCAACCGGGCTGCCGACACAGCGTTGCAGCACCCGGACCCCACTGCGGCGGTGACGATGGCTGCAGGTGACCAGTCAACAGGCCAGTCGCCACTGCAAGCCGGCTCTGCCGGCCGGGCCGCAAAGCGGGAACGCTCCGCAGACGCGGGCACGCAACTCGATGCCGATGCGGAGTCCAGCGGCGGCGTTGGTTCGGCGCCGCAAGGCGCCGCGGTGCAGCTGGAGCTGGAGGACTCGATGCATGATACGGATCTCGCAGCAGACCAGGGTCCGGGGCCAGCAGCGGTGGCAGGGTCCGGCGCTGAGGCCGTGGATGGCGGCGTGACCCGGCCCCGCATTCGCCGCCGCGAGGATCGCGCCCCAACCGCAGCGGACGCACCGTCCGTTCAGGCTGGTGACAGCGATAGCGGCGCAGTAACAGCCCAAGTAGAGGGCGCCACCAGTGGCGGCACGGAGCGCCCGCCGGTGTCGAGCGAGGTGCCAGGCAGCTGTATGGTCTACGTGAGTGGGGCCGGGTAGCAGCTTGTGCCGCCGCTGGGCGCTGGGAAGCGTGTACAATGCTTCTCCTTTTCAAATAGAGAGACGTGTTCGAGACTTCGTAACTGTTCTCACTTGGCGATTCGCAAAGAGCGACCCACACGTTCACAGGGAGGGCAGTGCATGTGCTGGCGTGTCGTCCTGCTGCCCGGCTGCTGGCTTGCAGTACTGCTGCTTAGCATGGCCTTGGTTAGCGATGTCGGGCCCAATTACAAGCTATTCAGGATACAGGATGGCGCCGGCAATGTGTACCAGGGCTTGTGTGGAGTGCCTGCCCGTTGTGTGACCTCAGTCCATAAGCATAGGCTTGTTGTGGACGTGCGGGAACTTGATCCACTCTCCTCCAGGTGCAGCAGTTGGACACAGCAGCTCGTACCAAGACCAACCCCTTATCCCTGCTGCTTGCAGCTGTACGACAACGCGCCCGCGCTCGTCCTTCATGAGGTCGTTGAGATCATCGGCATCGTGTCCCACGTGCCTCAACTCGCAGCTTTGGAGTACGACAACCAAGATCCCCTGTTAGATCATGACCTGGCGTCCCTAGAGCTCAGCGCTGAAGCCGCCTGGGGGAACGATGGGGGAGGCCGGGAGTTGGGTTTGGTGAACCGCGCCACGGGAGGGGAGCGGCTCGTGCTTGAGGCGATGCGTGCGGCACATCCACCCACTAGCAAGGTAATCGGATGTCCTCGTGGAACGGCATCTGCGTGTCTAGTCGCCCCGGGGTGTTCATCTGTATGTTCGTCCGGCTGGCAGGTTAGCTACAGCCGATATGTTGTGGGGTGAGGGTGGTGCGGGTGGGCAGGTGCGGGCCGTGCAGGTGGGGGCTCTGGAGCCAAAGTCCGCAGCGAGCTGAGTTGTCTCCCACTGCGTTCACTCATGGACGTGGATGTCACTAAGCTGTGTATGGATGGGCATGCCAGTCTTCCCGTCCCCACAATCCCACCACTATGCGCATTTCAACATCGCCCCTGCGCATGGCGTCAGTACGTCCATGGCCACCGAGCGCTAGATGGCCGGCATCAAGGGTGACTCGACTGGGACGCAGGCAGGTTTGTCCCAACGTCGGCTTTAGATGTTGCTCTCCATCCCTCCCTATCCCGGCGAAAGAACGTTTCTGAGCCGCTGGAGCTGCCCTTGTTTCTATGTCGGCAACAGAATTTCCGATGACATCGATACCGGTAATCCAACCGACACCAACCCGGGCCAACCGAACCGAACGACTTTCTTTTGAACAGGTCATGCGGCTGCACGCTATCCTCGTACGCCGGAGTCCTCAGCTGGTCCCCGTACCACCGCCGATGGCTGAAAATGGGATCAGTACTGCAATGGCAGTAGCGCCGGAGTCGGCAGCAGCAGCACCCGCCGCTACCGGCGCCGCCGCCGTGGAGGCGGCACCTGCGCAGCCAACGGCGCTGACACGCTTCGTCACCTCTGCAACCCCACCCGCCGCCGCCGCCGCCGCCGCTGCCGCCGCGCGACATCGGGATTGTGCTCTGGGGTTGTTGCGATGGGCGCTTGGCGGCGATGTGCTGGCGGCGGAATACGTTTTGATGCAGCTTCTTGGCCGGGTCGCAGCTCGGGGCGACCCGGCGGCATTGGGGCAGCTGACACTCAATCTGTGCAGGTGTGGCGCGGGGGCCGCTTGGTGATCTCAGTGCTTACAGACGTTCACTGGTTGGTCCTTTTTCCTGCACCCGCTGGCTTCATAAAGCATGGGAGCGCTGTTCGTAAAGTTACCCAGCCTGGTGCAAGCAGCACACGCTGGTCCTTGTCCGCCCCAGCACCTTTGAACACTGAACGTGTGTCGGCCTTGCGTACATGCTTTGCGGCGCATTAGCGCAGCGCCAGATCACTCCCAAGACGCAACAGGAAATGACGTCCTTCCGGGGGCAATGCTCCCACTGCGCCGTGTGCACCCATCACAATCCCATGTTCCCCTCCGCCCGGCAGGTGCCCCCGGGGGGGCCGCTCCGCCACGCCTGCCGCTGTCTCCGCAACCGCACATAGCAGGCCGCCGCTGGCGAGCGAGCGGCTGGGTGACGGTCCTGGTTCCCTGTGCACCGCGCTGCATGCCGCCATCAGCAGCTTTGTGCCCTTGAGTGTCGCCCTGCCTCTGACCGTTGAGAGCTGCAACAGGTGCGGGGTGCAAGTGGTGGCGAGAGCGGATGGGTGGGTGGTCATTTGGTGGGTGGCCCCCGCTGCCGGGGGGAAGGGGGAACCGCCGCATGGGGGGGGGGGGCTCCAGTGCCATGACCGTCGCTGCAGCGGTGCTAGTGGCGGAGGGAGCGGAGGGGAAACATCGAGAGCGGGTAACTGGCGGACCGGCGGCTTGTCCGGTGACGACCATAGTTTTTTGTGTATGTGTGTACATGTCTGTGCATACCTGTCGTGTTTGTGTTTAGCGCTGTTCTGCTGTGGCGTGCTCGCGTGGCCTCTTAACGTGCCGCGCCGCGTGACGTCCCGACGTGTTTTATCCCAGGTTATCCTGGGGGCCGCAAAGGGACCCGGCTCGCGAGCGCACACGGCCATCGCCGCTGCAGCTAGCCCCAGGCACTGTCGTACTGTTGGACGAGACACTGATGGCTCCAGGCCAGCTCACCACTCAGGGAGTGGCTAGCATGCAGGTGAGATCCAGGGGGAACCGGGATGCTCGTGTCCCTCTGGTTTCGGTGCGGCTCGGCCCTTCTGTCTGTTGTCTTTCCGGAGGACCGGCTTACGCGGGACGTGCATATGTGCAAACTAGGCGCCGTAATCACACGTGCCTGGCTTGGCCGTGTGAAGCCCAGCTCTCCTCCCATCTACCCCCTCGTTCACCCCTTTCGCTAATACCCCCGGCCAGGCGCTGATGACTATATCTCGGCAGCAGGAGCTCATGTACGACTATGAGACGTTCCAGCACCCGGTGCCCGTAGACTTGCCGGTCATCGTTCTCACGGAGGGGAGGTACGGAATTCGTACGGAGTGTCTTGAATGCTATCCCATTGACATGGCGAAAGCTTATCATGTCTGTATAGTTCATCTTTAAATGAGACATTTTGACATTTTCGTCTGGGACTCCTTTGCCCCCACCAACAGGTCACTGCTACGCGACTCGGTGCACGTTAGAGTACCTCTGAACGCCACGCAAGCTTTTCCAACGGCGGAAGAAGTCCTGGCGGCGACAAACGGCGGCTATGCGACCATCTCCTCGGGCGCCACCGGGCTGTCGGACACCCAGGCGACGGCCAACAGAGCTGAAGGAGGCAGCCCAGCCACCTCGGCCGCCAACCCCACTGCCGTCACCGTGCCGCCAACCTGTGCCAGGATTCCGGAGGCCGAGTTGGCGGCGGTACGGTCGTACCTCTCGGCTGCACGTGCAACAGAAGGGTACGAGTTGGCCGACGGAATGGTTGCCGTACTCGAGCAGTACTTTGTGGACGCTCGGAGACCGGAGAGTCGCGGTAGCAACGGCGCAGCGGCGGCGACAGCGGCATCTGCTGGTGGCGGTTTGACGGCGGAAGAGTTTCACACGAAACTCACGGTACGGTGCGGTACATTTCTGTACATTACCCCGTGTGCGGTCGGGCAAGGCATTGAGGCCCAAGAATGCGGTTTGTAAGGGGAGGGGGCGGGGGCGGTGAGACGGTGAAATTCCGGTTCCCGGTTCCCAGGATGACCATCCTCCACGCGCATTTTGATGTCCAGAAGTTCCTGGCCTGGCCTGGCCTTTGATCCCACCCACCCCCCCGGAAAGCCTGAAGATTGGAGTCTCCTCTCGCGGCGGGTGCCTGAGGGGACTGATTCCTCCTTGGCTGCTCCTCATCAATGCCATCGTGAGCCTTTTCGCCCTCTTTCTGCCCCAAGCCTTCCTGTTCCTTTTTGCGCCCCCTTACCACCCTCTTACCGCCCCTCCTTCCGCCCGCTGCTCGGCCCTGTGCAGCTGGCCCGGCTGCTCGTCCTGAGCCACGGGGAGCGGCGGCTGACGCGGGAGAGGTGGCAGCAGCTGCTGCGCCTGGAGCACATGAGAGAGGCTCGGCTGAGGGTCGGGTCGTAGGGGGATTAGGGATGGGGGGGTAGTGGGGGGGGGGGAAATCCCTGGTTGGCAAACCCTGCGGGTCAGGTTTTCGCGTTGTCGTACCGTCGCACGAGACCTGCCGCCAGAATTTAGCTTGACAGCTTGACTCCAGGCTCTCCGCGGGCTCGAGGGGGCATCTAATGGGGAATGCGGTTGTGTGCTGATTCCTTTGGGTTGGATGGGCTACATAGAGCTGGCCCCGCCGCGTGGCTTCGACTCTGCTAATTGGTTGGTTGGCCTGAGCGCGGTTTACCGCGCTGACGGTCGCAGTTGCTACGTACCACCTGTTCGATGTTCTTGATGCTAGCTACTGATGCAGCGCCGAAGCAAGCGGTGTTGCTCGCTCTGATGGTTTGGTTGCGCGCTTCTTCTGATGTTCGGATGGCGGTGAGTTCGACTGTTTGGTTGTGTTCCGGTAGCAGTGATGGCTGTGATGCTGTGGCAGACAGGGTGGTTGATCCGTTGTACCACATGGATACGGGTCGTACAACCTATGGGGCCCCCGGGGTACAGCTGCAGGGTGGCAAGCACACGATGTGGCTGCGGCTACATGGGGGATGTCCCTGGTTTACTTAATCCTGGAGTCCTGTCCTTCTTCGGCAGTGAGACACGAATGGCCGCAAACCCATAACTGGAGCGTTGGGGACCCCGCGGGCTCCCCCGAGCCGGAATGATGATGGAGGTGACTTGTTGTCGGTTGGGGGTGCTTCTAGACCACGCAGGAAACACACACACACACGCACACACGCACGAACACCTGGGTATCGGGGCTGCTGGGACGCGCCTGTGCTTTGGCAGGCAATGCAATATTAAATACTACTGCGCTCTGTTTCTGCCCCTGCGGGCTGTCGTTCCGTGAGCTTCTCGGAGCTGCCTTTTTTCAGAAGGGCCGCTGCGTTTGGGCGCCGCGAAGGAGTACGTCGGGCGCGGTTTGTGTAATTAAATCCCGATAAGAATAATAAGAATAGCGTTATGGTCGTGTTGAATGAACCAAGAGGTTTGTGAGGTGACAGGCACCCTGGCGGCGTGCGCCGAGTGCACCCTTCCGGCGAGCAAGGAAAGAGCTTACCGCGCCGCTATTTCTCCGGGTTTTGTACTTTGGTGAATTCCGGAGGGGATCCTATGCTATTCGCTTGTGCATGGCCGGCGCTTGGGAGAATACCTTAGGTTGCTGATCCGTAAAGCCGAGAAGGAGGCAGCAGCAGCTAGGTCGCGCATCTGCCGGTCTTCCTTATACGTGAAGGTTGCCTAAGCGCACGCAGCACAAGTTGCCACCAGAGGAATAGGACACCAGCAAAACCACAAAAAGGGCCTAAGGAAGGTAAACACGTTGAGACTGTTTGGGACAAATTTCGTATATGTATATATAAGGGGCATTGCCCGACATTGCCTCAACAGGACTCCGGCAAGGTTAGGAAAACCATAGTCCCTACAAAGGACAAAATTAAATTCACCAGCATCCTATATCATGCTCCAGTGCAGGATCACGTCTGTCAGTCTTTGTCTCCATGCACTCGATGAACTCGATGGTTCCGGTGGTTGACAAACGACGGTCACGACAGTTTCGTTTCCCCTAACCCTGACTTTTCCGAGTGTGAACCATGTATGGAGCACACATATTAATAATATGAATGGGCATCTTCAGCTCGGGTGACATGTAATTGCATGGAAGACTGCGAGCTTACACCTCCCGGAAGCACCGTATCTCTTTAAGCGTGGATAACTCTCTAGACTTGACTCAAGACTCAATTATGTGACATGGGGACTTGAAGGTGTCGGGAGCACCCGCTTCAACGTAAACTTGCAAGTATGGTGGTGTCCGGAGGAGCACAAAGGCTAGATAAGTTCGGATGCTCACGCATTTCATAAACGCACATTTGCCGGTATCCATGCCCTCGCTGAGGGGCTTGGATTGCTCGGAACCAGGTGAGAGTGGTCGCGGAGCATGGCAAAAGAACTCAATTTGCGACGAATAGATACGAACAGTTTCACGTGTTTCCCAAATTAATGTGAAAATGCAGGTTGGGTTCCGACCCTTTTCGACGTCGGCTTGCTGGTGCGGTCCGCGTAAGCGGACGCTCGCGGTTGTCCGGCCGGAAGGATGTGCCTTGGCCCTAGATTTCAAGCCAAAGACTTCAATTTTTCACCAAAATTCCAGACCACTACTGGCTGTTTGCAATGCAGCGCAGCAGCAGGAACCAGGCGTTGATGAGGCACAACCCAAATTAATAGGCGAGGATTCTGCGGCGTTCGATCTAGAGAAGCAAAGCATAAAGTCATGGGCTCTCTTCGGCGTCCTGCTATCAACGGTGTTGGGAGCTCTTTACCTCGTCTGGATTCAGCCCGGTGTAGGCCTTGCTGACGACTATCTTGCCGCCATTGAAGCCGTTGCCAACAGCAGCGAGGCAACCATTGCCCTAATCCTCCTCATCTTCGCGATTGCACACAGCGGCCTTGCGGGTCTGCGGCCGTACGGTGAGCAGCTCATCGGCCCGCGCGCCTACCGCGTCATCTTCGCCCTTGTCAGCCTGCCCCTCGCTGTCGTCGCCATTGTATATTTTATCAACCACCGCTACGATGGCGTACCGCTGTGGGACCTGCGCGGCGTGCCCGGCATCCATGAACTCATTTGGGTTCTCAATTTCATCTCCTTTTGGTTCCTCTACCCCTCCACCTTCAACATTCTCGAGGTGGCCGCTGTGGATAAGCCCAAGCTGCACCTGTGGGAGACAGGCATCATGCGCATTACCCGCCATCCCCAGATGGTCGGCCAGGGTATTTGGTGCGCAGCCCACACGCTGTGGATCGGCAGCAGCTTCATGGTCGTCACGTCAGCATGCCTCATGGCGCACCATCTCTTCGGCTGCTGGCACGGCGACCGCCGGCTAAAGGCCAAGTACGGGGACGCGTTCGAGGATGTCAAGGCGCGTACTTCCGTCGTGCCGTTCGCCGCCATTCTGGACGGCCGCCAGAAGCTGCCGGACGACTACTGGAAGGAGTTTGCGCGCATGCCATACTTCGCCGTAACGGCTCTGACGATCGGGGCATACCTGGCGCACCCGCTGATGCAGGCTGCTAGTTTTTCGCTAAAGTGGTAATGCAGCAACGGTGGTAGGGAAAACACGGGTTGCCGATGGAAGCAAGTCGGCATGGTGCTTTCGCGGTGGTGGCCAGGCTGTTGCGGTTGGTGCTGGCGATATGGGGATGTGGGCAGCTGCATTTCGTGCGGTTTCAAAAGCAGGTATGGTATGAAGACGCGAGAGCAGGCGTGGCAGCGGCCTCGGAGGGGGAGTACCTGTAACGGGACTTTGCGTGCTTACGGATTTAGGCTTTTTGCCTACTAACGAGTTGCATGGGTGGCCAGTGTGGACGATGCAGCGCTTCCAGCTGGCGAGCTGGTACACGCTTGAGGATGGGCATGCAGAGCGGGCTGCGGGCGAGTTTAAACTGTCCATTTAGCTTTCGGTGTCGTGTCACACATGCGCGGATGGGACGCACATGCTGTTTCCAGGCCAAGTCCGGCGATCGGTGGCAGGGTGTGGGGAAGCTATTTGTCACTGATAGAGGGTTACATGTTCCGGCTGCATTTTCTGAAGGCCGCGAGTTAAAGACCCCGGGTCTACGACGGCTTCTCTGTGATGGACCTGATCGCTTGGCTTTAGATCACCGCAGCCCTTCTCTGATCCGGTGGCAAGCCCGTTGAGGCATATAATGTATACACGATACCAGCTGCTTGCATAGGCTGCCTGACTTGTCCAGACTGTTTGATTGATGCCGGCCTTGGATCCGTCTAGGGAGCTGGGTGTTGTCCTTTCGGAGGTTTTGCCGGCACACGGGGCGCGGGTTATCCGCCTGAACCCGTCGTGGTCTTCGACCCTTAGGTACCCCGTTCGGTCGTGTGTCGTCCTTCCTGCGATATCCCCAAATGCTGCACTGAGTCACTGAACATTTCAACAGTTTCTTGGTGACCTATGATGCCCACGAAAGAGAGTGCGGAGTCCCAAAGCTGCAACCGCGAGCCCCTGAATCAGAGGTCGTTTTTGCACCTGAAAACGCCTAACACCTCTCCCAGATGCGCATGCTTGCACAAATGGAACGTCTTTGCCGTGTTGCTAGGTGCATCCTGGAAGGGGAAGAAGTTGGCATCAAGCCCGTGCAGGGATACCCGTGGGCCTTGCACCGGGTCTGCAAGACATACATGGCAGAGACACTTCCCCCATCCGTGAGAACGCAACACCACGTCCCTCCGCACACCTCCCGAATGACCGCTTCCTTTAACACGAGATGGGCGCCCAGGCGGGGATAGGAGAGCTGAACGAACTGCTACGAATGGCCATAGACGTGCGGTGTGGTTCACCCAGCGATACCCCGACCTCTGGCACCGATGGCCCATGTTCCGGTATTCACACCGGAACTACACGCACAAAGCAAGACATCGACACACCCAACCAATTTTCCATACTCCGGATCTAATGGCGTTGCTGACTGGATTTGAATCTTACCCATTTCTGCACAACGTCTGTGCACTCATCACCAGGTAGCACCGATATCACCATTTCGACATCGGCGAAGAATACATACTTAGCGACATAGGTCAGGCACTACTGGTAGAGCACGCACTAATGCCCCCGGGAGATCCCAGGAACGAGACCTGGGATCCTTCCGATGGTGGAAGGTAAAGTGCCCCTAGTCGATGGATTGTGATGACCTGGGATGAAGTTTATTTGAGAGCTGATCAGGAATGGAGTTGGGCCGCCGTCGACCCGGCAGATTCCGTTGGATGCCGGCGGTGGGTGCGGAACCTGAGCGATCCGCTGAGAAGTTGACTAGGGTGACAAGGTCAGGGGGCCCCGAAATACCGGGGGAGGCAGGGTCTGCCGGGTAGCGGCTGCAGGGTGAAGATATGCCCCCCTTGTCCCACACATCAGAAGAAGAAGAAGAAGAAGAAGAAGTACTTAGCTGCTACTTCGCAGGCTACGGTATTAGTCTCGTCGCCATGGAAACGGAACTTCGCAATACATCAGCCCCCTCCAGCAATGCCCTTCACTGCGGGAACACATCACAGCCTATCGCAAATTCGCCCCTTGTACTTATCTCCTAGACCCTGCTCGTCTCCCCACACAAGGGGTGCCCTAGGAAAAAACCACGCATACACAACTTCCTCACGAACAGAAACACGCTCTGGACCATTTCTCCTGGGAGGTGTACACGCAAGCATGGGACCAAGACCACTCATTACTTCCAGTTGAACTCTGTTGCGAAATAAAGCTATTAAGAAGCGCTCAATTGTATTGTATGAACTGTACAAGCAGATCCGTAGCAGGACCGCCTTCACGAGTTGCGGAAAGTCATTTAAGAATTGAAGGCATTAAAAATGAAGCGAATAACCATCTGAATGAAGATGAAATCTGCATATCTGCACCAATCCACCGCACAAGTCCAAACTGCGTCCACTAGCTGTCGCAGACCGACACGTCCTCGAAGATATGACGGAATCAACCGCCAATCACCTGCACCGTCCGCGCAGGGCCGCCAGCCGCAGGGCCGCAAACGATATGGCCAGCATCGAGATGATGGCGTACATGCAGCCCAGCACGATTAGGTCGGTGTTGAGCAGGTCCGAGTCGACTCCCAACAGCGACAGGAACAAGCTGCCCTTGACGGCGGGCAGACCCTGCGGCAAATCCGGGGCACTAAAGGATAGCACCAGCGGCTTGAGCTCATTAATAACGAGCGCCTCCCAACAGAACCTGAACTCAACGAACAACAAGCGACGACGGGGGAAGAAACGGGGAGGCGCGGAAGGGGGGGCACATATGGGGTTAGGACAAAGAAGGCGTGACACAGGGCTGCGACCAGGTGATAGAGCATCGCGGGTGTGAACCAGGGTTGGCTTCGTCAAAGGACTACAGCAGTGGCGAAGTGCAGAAGAGCCAAGCTCAATCAAGGAAGGGATGCAATTGCAGGAGCAAGCGGTAAATATCGGACGGCTACGAGTTTTATACAAGTTACAAGTGCCGCACGAGTGTGTGTGTGGGGTCCTTCAAAGCCGTGAGGCCATGCAATATATATTATTGAAAGATGGTTACACCGTACAACCGACGGCGACTTGGGTCCTGTAAACTAGACCCCTCCTCATCCAGTCACCCGACATCCGTAGAGACAGATCAGCCATCACCACCATCTCAGCATGCGAAACTTAGTCCACCAACTAGACCTCATCTCCACACTTCAGCAGCGATTTGTAAACCTATTTCTCCCGATTAATGTGGGGGTCTGACCAGGAATCGAACCCAGAACCTTCATCTAACTCAAAGGTGTCACCAGACCTGACGAGTTTTATAGTAAGTGCACAAAGAGCACAGCGCTGCAGGCGATGAGGACGCAAAACATATACATGGTTGGATGCCATCATAGAGCGCCCGGGTGCAGCCGAACGGTGCCTGATTCATATGCCACCGTCGGCTGCCTTCCCTCATATTCCCAAGCTACTCATAGCTCCAACGTCAAAGCATACGCAGCCAAGTAGGTTACCGAGCATGCGGAGACAACTGACACCTCTACAGGTAAACGGCCCCCCGCGAGAGCTAGGTAGCAAGGCCAGCTTAGGCAGCTCGGTAACGTACGTGTGCGCACCTGATGGGGCTGAGGTACACAATCCAGCGCAGCCAGGCCACAATGGTGTCCTTATTTGCCAGGAAGCCACTGAACAGGGCGCATATCAGCAGCAGCAGGTTGAGCACTAGCACGGTGCGGCCGGGACTGGAGAAGACGCAGCTCAAGGCGATGCAGGCGGCGCCTGTTCGCGAGGCAGGGAGTGACCAGGGTTGTAAGCGGAAGGGTAAGGAAGGATATGCGCGATAAAATCAAAACGGAAACCAAAAAACGCAGCTGCAACAATAACTTACATTCGATAGGATAGGTTAAGAGGGAAAGCTTTAACTATGCGGGCCACAAACAAAGTGGGAGAGCTGAAAGGACGACATTTGCGGATTGCGAGAGCACAGACCCAGCCGCTTCTGACGACCTTCCTTCCCTCTATAACCGCTAGCACATGCAGGTCCGACGCGCCAGCTGGCGGCGACCGCGCACCTGATAAGCAGGACATGGTGGTGAAGGCGCCTATGAAGGTGAAAAACGCGGCAGCTTGGACACGGAGACCCATCAGCCTGGGACACAAAAAGTTGGACCGTTTGGGGGTTGGCCATTGGCCGAGTTGAAACTTTCTCAACGACTTGACGGCGGTATAACTTATACGGCCTTACTGTTGCAAGGGACGCGCGGACGGGTTGAGGCGCGGTTGCCTGCACACAAGAACTAGAGCCGCCGTGCGGTACGGTAGACAGAGGATCAGGGAAAAAGACAGAATGAGAGACACGCAGACGGCAAGCGCCGCACAACACAAGAGGCCCTGAGGGTAGCCATTGCAAAGAAGCCAACCGTGCGGACGAGCTGTTCCAGTCCCACGGCCCACTGTGGACCCAATCCATGACCCGAAACGCAACCCTTAAGACCCCCACCCCATCCCACCCCACTCCACCCCACTCCACCCACCAGTAAAAAGGCACGCCGAACGCCCAGGCTGGCAGAGCGCGCAGCAGGACGCCGTCCAAGACGAGCTTAACTATGACGTAAGGTACGACGCCGTATGACCGACGCAGCAAGTCGCGATCCACGGTAGCTCGTTCCGGGTACAGTCCGTCCACGGCTGAGGTGGCGAAGCAGGCCAGCAGCATGACCGCGAAGAAGATGGCGCCCACACGATTCTGGGCGCCTGAGGGATCAGGAATAAGGACGGGGCCATTCGAGGCGGATCAGGAGACGCATGCAAACGGGGGGACACGAGCAGATGCATGCATGTCGGGCGTAGGAGCGGGAAAGGGAAGAGATTGCGGTTGCTGCTTTCAACGACGGGTTTGTTTCGGTGGGGACTACGTGTCAGGTCAATCTGTCGAGGGAAGACGAGCTGCTGCCGATCGTTAGCGAACGCAGTGCAGCGGCGGGCAGTGCGTGCGACCGACTGGGCGGTCCTTCCCCGGCCGCTCCGCGATACCACCCATCCCAGGTACCAAACACATGTCCCACCTGACACATTGAGATTGGTGTCGCTGAACACTCCTCCCACCAGCAGCCCTAGCGCCCCCGTCACTACCAGATGTAATGCCAGCAGGGATGGGTTCCGGAGCATGTCCAGTCCGCTGCGCCATGCAACAACGCCCAGCTCCAACCAAAATCGCCGCAACCTCACACTCGCGCCGGATCCGCCTCCTCGCCCGTGTACCAAGGATCGAACATACTTGGTGTCGCCATCGTCAAAGGCTGCCGCTACTGCTGGTGGCGGCGATGATGGCTGCTCAACACCGTTTGCGGTATGCCAGTTGCACAGCTGTGCGGCCTGTGCCGGATCGAACACCAAGTCCAGCAGGTGCTCCGCGATATGCACGTCCGGCGGCGGCAGCGGCAGCCCCGCCGACATCAGCACTGCTGACATACTACCCGGCGGCCCCGCCGCCGCCACCTGGCCGCCAGCCATCACCATTACGAAATCCAACGCCCCGAACAGCGCTGGTGACGGCTGATGTAAGGAAATTATTACCACACGGGGCCCCATGCCGCCGCCACCAGTCACAGCACGGCTGTCAGTCGCCACGTCCCGCAGCACCGCCATGGTCGATCTGGCAGTGGCGGAGTCCAGCCCTGACAGCGGCTCATCCAGCAGCAGCAGCGGCGGGTCGGAGACCAGCTCCATGGAGACGGAGACGCGGAGGCGCTCGCCGCCCGATAAGGAAGCGCCGCCACCGGGCCATGCCATGCGGTGGGCCAGGTAGGAGATGCCCAGCTTCCGGAGCACCGACTCCACGCGTGCCTGCGCACCATCATCATGCGATACCGCGCACAACTGGATTGGCACGTAGTATACACTGCACAAAGACTTCACAGACAAGCCCATTTGCAACCTGCACCTCGAGCGCTCAGTGCTACCGCATCACAGCCATTCTCTGCTGCCACGCGTCTTGTTAACCATATGCCTTATCACAGTCCACCTGGATGTCTCTGCGATTACTGCTGATTCAAACCAAGGATACCTCGCCTCCATCAACCATGGCATCGGCCCAGGTGCCCCTCCACCGCTGCAGACAGGGCCCGTTATGGCGGCGATCCAGGCATTGCCGCACCTGATAACCCCCTCGCGCAGCTTATCCTTACATCACACATGTGCACCCTCACCTCCTATCCTCAGCAATGCTGCCCCGTTCCCTAACCCAGCCCCTGCTACTCCCCAAAGCTACAGCCGGCTTCTCGCGGGATCGCATCGGTGTGGGGTCCCCCACACCTGCACGTGGCCTCGTCCACGCCGCAGCTCCCCGAAACTGAGCCGCAGCGCAGCGCTGGTCGCCACACACTCCGCCACAGTCAGGGAGCGACACAGCAAGTCGTGCTGCGGCACGTGCCCGACCAGTGCCGCCAGGTGCCGCGGCTCCACCACGGTCCGGCCGTCCAGCCGTACGGTGCCGTCCAGGTCCCAGTGCAATCCCGGCTGGATGAGGCCGGCCAGGACGCTGAGCAGGGTCGTCTTGCCCGAGCCAGAGGGACCCATAACTCCCAGAATCTGGCGGGCATGGGGAGTCGAGAAGGGAGTCGGTGCTCAGGGAGTTGGTGAAATCATTTAACGGATGATACTCAAATGATGAGCTGCTGGTGTATTGTTTGGTACTGCAAATGGACAAACATGGGTAACAAAAAGGTACTGTTAAAAGTATTGTTAACGTGAGGAGAGTGGGAGGCATGGAAGGCAACGCACAAGCCATACGGGACGGGGTAAAGATCCATAAGAGGAGGCTTTGGCGCTGGCATACAGGCAGGCTTGACTTCTGTTAGTAGCAACCGCTGGAACTAGTAAGGCAGGATGCACTGCAAGAAACGGTTGCTGTATGTATAATAAGCACTGGGGGAGAGCTATCCAAAGCATTACATACGCTAAGGCTGGCGCCCGGGCCCTGTCCAGGGACACTCCTTACCTCTCCGCTGACCGCTTTCCCCGAGACGTTCCGCAATAGCGTCGCTGCGGGTTGGACGTGCCACGGCCTCAGGGCTGCGCGGCGCGGCCGCGTGCGCAGCTGCAAGCCGTGCCAACTGGCTCAGAAGGTGGGAGCACATCAGGAACGGAGGGCGGGAACGGCAAGGTGCTGACGTGGAAGGCCGGCCCAAAAATGAGAACCGTAGGACGAAGTCTTTGCGTATACCATCGGCGTGAGGCCACATACGCAGCCGAGCAACCAGGAGGCTTAACAACGTGTATGTTCGCGCTAGGAGAACCCGCCTTTCCCATGGCCCTCCGCCCGATCCTTACGCGACAACCCATCCTCAGCCCCAGAGGCCGTCCTCAGCCCCAGATCCATATCTCCAATTTTGCACGGCCGCACAACACAGTGAAAGGACCTCACAAACGACCTGCTCGTGCTCGTCAGAGCATACGGCGCAACCAAACATGGCATGGTCCGCTTACCTCAGCACCTGCACCATGGGTCGGTCGCTGCCCTGCTTCGTGGCGCCAGATTCGGCGGCATTGAGCTTGGCTGCCGGGGGCGGGCCTGTTGGCAGCAAAGCTCCCGCTCCGGTGCCCGCGGCCTGCTGGTGTCTTGCCGCCATTACGCCAATGCCCCTGCCAATGCCGTCTTCTGCGCTGCTAGCAACCTCGCTATGGCTCCTTTCCGTTCCCCTACTGCCCCTGGCGGCCATATCTTCCTGCCGGGGCGTCTCCCCTCCTGGCAACGTCCTCAGTTGCCCCGGCAGCGGCTGCCTCGAAGCCGGCCGCGGCGGAGGGCATGACAGCAGCGGCTGCCCCGAAGCCGGCAGCAAGGTGCACTGCTCGCCAAGCGGCGAGTCTGCCACGTGCGCCACAACGGCAGGGGGGTCCCCACCCACCGCCAGGACTTTTCCTCCGCCTCCGCCACTTCCACTACTGCCGCCCGTCTGCTCGCCTCCAAGTCCTGGCGCCGCTGGCGGCTCTTCGATGCCCTCGCCCAGCGGCCTCGCAGGCCCCGCAGATGCAGCGTCATCATTAGAATCGTGTCCCACAGGCCCAGGGCAAACCCAGTGTCCATACGACGCCATGGCGGCGACGGTCGCGGTAGCAGCTAGCAGCAGCACCATGCTGGGCACCCAGGAGACGACAGGAGCAACGGCCAAGTGCGCCCTCGATTCAAGATCCCCTGCAGCGGATAATATAAGTGATTTGCGGCGGTGGCACCAGCGGCAAGCCAGTTCAGACACGTGTCATAACACCGCATCACTCCTTAAATGATGAAGTACAACTCTCGAGCCCATTGCTGGCCTTACAGCCGCAGCACAGCCTCTCGATAGGAGGTTTCAACCCGCAGAAGATACCGTTACAAGTTACAAGTTCCGCAGAAGATACCGAGGCGGGTCCGCGCCCTGCTCCGTGGTTATGCGTGCTACTCCCGTCTTCACATGCCATCGGAAGGTGTGCCGTAAAATCCGGGCTGTGTTTTGTGTGATGATTGCACTGATGCTGGCCGGTTAGTGTAGGTTATACGACAACGGCAGGTCATCGTAGAAAACGAGAGGACGATACCATTGGGTGCTGTGTCCGCGTCGTACGGTCGGATTAGTGTGGGGGCCCCATCGGCTCTTTGCGCGTCCCTATATACTGGTAACGGACCTGTGCTGACGAAGACGCTTCCGTTGACGGGATCGAGGCACTCGGTCGCCTTGCAGCTGATGGGGATGGCCGGAATAGGCAGGCCGTTGAGCTCGATGCTACAGCTGCTGGTGCCGTCTGCCGCCATCTCAGAGGATTTCGAGGCCTCGGCGCCGCACGCGAGCTTCACACCACTTTCAAGGGTCGTAAACGTGGTCTCGGAGACAATAGCTGCAGGTGCAGCCCACGCAGGGGGCCGGGTAGTGAGAAGGAGGAAGGAACCAACAAGACAGGATTAACTTAGCACTGCAGAAGTCCAAGTCAACCTAGAGAAACGGAGAGGGGATAAGGAGACGGCGTTGTCGCATGACGTGGGGAAATGCAGGCCACAGGAGGAAGCAGGAGTGTTGATAAGGGGCCCTGAGCGCGAGCTGAAAAAGGCCACACCTTTCAGAGGCACAACCCAGCGCCTACTCACACATTGATCGTGCATCCCCCTTCGAGCGCCCACCCAACCGACCCACCACTGGAGCAGCCCCGCGGACAGGCGCACTTGACCACCGGGCAGTGCACCTTGGTGCTGCCGACGGCGAACTTGCAGTCCCAACCGGTACACACCACCACGGCATCAAGTGGCATGTCCGAGGACCGGAATGACAGCTGACAGTAGGGGGTGGAGTTGACCGGGCTGTTGCCGTATGCCAAACCGGAGCCAATGGCCATGTCGCTAATGGAGGATACGCCCCAACCTGAAGAGTGCTTCCAGCGGATGAGAAGGAGAAGAGGAAAACAGGGAAACAAGGAGCGGCGGGTCACCCCGATTTTGCGAGGGCAAGCTCCCGGGTCACGCTCATGCCAAGCTCTTATGGGTATGGCCACAGGGTGAAAAGGGAAACGGCGGTGGAATGCACCCGTGTGCAGCCCTGCCATGAATCCTGGGGTTCAGACACGCTTTACAGGGGGGATTTGGGTTATGAAAGTCACTACGGGGCACACGATGGTGGTCTTCAAAAAAGTGTCCCAACAGAGCAGCTTCGTTCCCCAACGGCCGATGAGTGCATGTCAACCACTAATGGCTTCTTCTCTACGCCCCTTTCACGCAACATTTGCTCCCCCTTGGGACCGCTGACACCTTTGCTGCATCGCCCTTCGGCTTTTTTCTGCAATTTTTCTTTCTACTCCTAGCGTGTGTTTGCCAACTGCTGCATTTTCATTTCTTCAACTTTCCCTACCCGGCTTTGTGGTGCTGCAGTTGAAATTGATGACGGTGCCGACGAAAACCGCCACGGCCGGGTTGAGCACATTACATGTATACTGCTTGGAGGCGGTGCGGGGCTGGTACGCAGGGGACATGGAGCACTGGGCGGTGGAGGAGGACAGACGGGTCTGGCGGTGGGGATCAAGTAGCGTCAAGGGAGCAAGGGAAGGCGAGCGGAGGCACAGGGCACGGTTAGACACGGGACAGGCGGAAAGAAACAGAGGAGGATGTAGGGAAAAGCGGGCAGTTGAAGGGTGCGAAACCATCGGATCCCACGAACATAAATCGCACATAAATCCCACACCATCGGATCCCACGAACATAAACATTTAGTTGATGTTGTTACAGGGTGGTTAAGCTTCACCAGTGGCCTCCTTCCCGAGGCAATTCCCTGCTCTCCCCTGCTAGAGGGGCACCCTAAGCCATTCACCCCATCCGACTTCAGAGTGTACTCTTTGAGTTTGGCAACTCACCACCAGCATCCAACCAAATCTAGCGGATCGACGGCGCCTCAACTTAGTTCCTGGTCAGCTCGCGAGTTGATTTTATCACGTCCTACACCGTCCACAAGATGGGGGGCCACCTCCCATTTCACCACCTCTCAAACACCCGAGAGGTCGGCAGGCGGATTTGAACCCGGGTCGACCGGGAGCAGAAGTCAGGCCTTAACCTCTGCCAGCCGCCTGCCTATAGTTACATTACAAAATTACAAGAACATATGTGATATTAAACATATGATGCATGATATTTGTTACATTCATTAAAGATGCTAACAGAAAAATAAATATTATACTATTAAAAGGTTACATAAGGTGGCGTACATAGGTGGAACGGGACTAGGCAATGCTCAAGGCCAACAGCCCTTATACGCAAGCGAATTTCATATGAGAGTGTAGACACACACACACAGACACAATATAATACCGATATTGGAAGTCCGTGAGAACGAGCGCTGCCGGTGTCATGCCGCTTGTGCCAAGGACGCCCGAAAGCTCACTGGATGCATCACAGCTGAGTCAGCCACCAGCCCTGGAGCCCGCGAGCCAAGGAATCCATGCCTGACTGTGGTTCCCAGTCCCTAGACATCCAGAGGCCCATGCGTTCAAGAGCGACCTCGCGCACCCACTTACTCGGCACGCCGTATCGGAAGTGCACATGAGGCAGCCTCTGCCGGTAAAGCCTGATGGACAGGCGTTACAGTTGGTGCCGGTCGCGTCCCAGTCGTATCCCACGGGGCAAGTACCTGCACGATGTGCCCGCGGTGAGCGTTTGCGTCATTCCAGCAAGCAAACTCCTCAGACCCGAAGGAGAGAACTTCAACGGCGAGCGGCCCAGAGGAGCAGGGTAGCGGGGCAGAGGCACTGCAATTTCCCTACTTCCTCACCTTTCACATAATATAGCCAGGGACAGGGATCGTTAGGGGCGCTGTCACCGTGCCGTCGTCCCATACAGAACCAAACCCTACTCTACCATTGCCACCGATACAACAGCTGCAGCGCAAACAGCACAACCACGACAACTGTCCTGGCTTTAGCACGTAGTATACGGCATTGCCCGCGCGCAAGTCGTGCGGTGATGGCGTCGAGCCCGCCCGATTGTGACTTGACCCCCTGAAAACGGATCTGCTTCCACAGGTGGAATTTTTCTAATTCAACCTCCCAACCTTTCGAACGCGTGCAAATGCCCATAAAATCTTCCAGAAGCCTGGTAGGTTGTGAACTGTACCGACCCACCATTGGAAGGCGACACGGAAACTGCGGTCGTGTTGGCAAGGCACGTTGAGGAATCGGCCGAGATCACCCCGCCGCTGGCGTCACAGTAGCCCCAGGGCAGGTTGCACTGCTGGGAGGAGTCTGCCAGCACGAGCAGGGTGGAGGGTACACATGAATACGTGAGCACGGGCGCTATACCTGATCCCCTGAAAATCTGTCGTCCCTCCGCAAACCTCTCCTAGAACTAAGGTGGCATGATTCCGAGCGCATGGGCGCACGCAATCCACTCCAGGCCTATTTCACCTTTCAGCGTACAAACTGGCAGCCAAGCAGTCACAACTCTGGTGTCCGACGGGGCCCTGAAGCAACATCCATCCCGACACCGCGCATTCCCTATCGCCACATCCAGATCCGGCCCTTATGGTACCTTTCGACCAGCCACAGTCGCATACGCAGTTGGCCGTGCCATTGACGATCTCGCAGCGTCCGTAATCACCACAGTAGCTCGGGCAGTCCAAGATGGCCTGGCCGCCTCAAAGGAAAGGCGCAAAGAAAAACAAGGTTCCCGTGTGGCGCACAGCAAACGTAGGTTGGCTAAGGAAAATACCGGGACTGGAGTACCCGGTACACATGTGTGGCATGCATGTGGGTTGAATGGTGCTCCATTTCATGAGCTCATTGAACGCACAGGTCAGCGCACCTTTTACAACAACATACAAAGGATTCTGATAAGGTAACCACAGAGCCCGTGAGACAACTTCGGTAAAGCACGTTGTGACTAAGGACGGGTGAGGATTACGCCGTGGATGGTCATCGGAAACGAATGGAGCAGTGTTGAAGCAACGGCCTCCAGCCCGTCCGAAGCCAAGCTGACCGGGTCCTGGTCGCAGCCTCCAGCTCTGCCACTACTTCATGAGGTATCCAGTGCGCCATGATTGGCCGTAGATCAAGGCCCACCCATTTAAACACCGTCTCAAGACGCAGTGGGATCCGAAACCCGTACTCCCGAGTATGCCGATGCATTAGAGCAAAGATGCCTTGCCACGTGCATGCGGAGGAACCCGTGCACCGTCCCTCCCTGGCCATCAGCACTGGTAAGTCTCGCATTCATTACGGGATCAGCTGCTGACAGCGCCACCGGCAACTGCACGGCAGGCTGTAGATGAGCAGCTGAATACAAGTGCGCAACTGCGAGCTGACACGGCTTCACCACTGCGACCCACTTTCTGACCAGTGAGCTGTGTACCTGTGAGCCGACAACGCAAGAATCGGGGAAAGCCCTCCTGGACGCTCAGAGCTTATTGTCCAGAGCCCTGCTTAAGAAGAAGCCGAGCCGCCGCACTTCCTCCCAAGCGCCTTCTTGCTCACCATCTTCCCGGGCTTCCCAACCTCCAACCCACCTAGCTACTACGCACCGTTGCCCTAAGGCTGGCCGTCAGCGTCACGTTGGCAATCGACTTCCATGCCACACCCGAGATGTTCAGGTTGCCAACCGCCTGGTACGTCAGCTCCAGGGACGGCACGTCCAGTACCAGCATGATGCTGCCACTGACCTCCTGCGCGGCATGCAGCCCAGGGTTCAAATACGTCAACAGGTAACGGCTGATTGCGGAGCGACCCATTAATTCTGTGAGCGCCCGTGCGCATGGATCGCTCCTGCTCTTGCGCCCTGGCAACTCAGGGGAAACCAGCTCCCCGGGATGCGGCGCCCTTGTGGTTGCGCACCTTGACTAGCAGCACTTTCTTTACAAAAGAATGACGACCGGCACGGCTCGCAGGCATCACGCACACGACGTGCATGAGCACAACCTAGCCGAAATCAGCAATCCGAGAGGACACAAGTCGATGGGAACAGTGTACAACGCACACCGTGGGCTAATGGCCGACTTGCCGACTTTCAACTACATACCTTCAACCCCACATGCCCTGGTTTCCACGGCCAATGTCCCACGCGTTTACCTAACAGTCCGTTGCGATTGCTTCAACCTCTATCTCGTCTGCGTTCTTCGCGCGCTAACGCAAGGGTTCGTTGGAATTCTCGTTTCCTTGAATACTTCCACTTCCAGCCTTGCTTTCCTTCGTTTCCTTGCCTGCCGTCGTGTCGCTTCTTCCTTTGCCCCTTCATATACCTTCTTGTCCGCTCTTCTTCTCTACCCGACAATTGATTTCCACGTGCCGACCTTGCTCGATTAAGTACGCTCTTCCTTTCTTGTGATCTGTTTGTCCTTTCGGCAACCGTGTGGCACGAGTTGCGGTGCGGCAGTTGTAGCCTTCAACCTATGACAACTCCTCTAGTTCGTTTCCCCACGCCGCTTCCTTTCCCAACCGCCATTGCAGCCAACCCCGTACCCTCCATTCAGTGTCTGCCAACCCGCATTACCGCCCACACGTCGTCGCTGGCTGGTTACAATGATACCAAACCTACGAGCCTGACCGTACCATTGCCGGGCTTTGGCACTGCTGTGCGGAAAGCTGCGATCCCTTAACAAATACTCATCCTGGGAAAGGCCTCCAGCTAATCAGTTCACCATTTCGTTCCTGCCGTTCCAGCCCAAAGAGTCAAATCAGAATACGTAGAATGGAACCCGGTACCTGACATCCATGACCGTCCCTTCCTGATCGGACTCCAAGCCAGGCTTCTTAACACCACCGCTGTGCGCCTCGCGCGTGCTCAAGCCACCCAAATTTTTTCGATCTAGCGAAGGTCTCCATGCCATTCCAATGGCTTCTCACCTTGACATGAAAGGACACCGCTACTCCCGACGCGTCGGCAGTGAGGTTCTGGAGGTTATCAACCCGCGTTTTGGTGATAAAGCTGTAACTGCTCAGCCAGCCATCGACCAGTTCCGTACTGACCCCGCCCGTATAAGAGCCGGACTGGCCGCTGGCTGCTGCGAGATCCCGTATGGTAAAAGTGGCGCCCAAGGTGGACACATTGTAGTCGTATTTGGGTGTTTCTGCATCTAATCCTGCTATGATCGTCTGGCCAAGGTTTAAGACAGGGTACACGCTGACAGGCTGCTTGTACGTGGTAGACGGCGGCACGGAGGTCAACGTGAACTTGGACCAGTTTGCAAGCCAAGCCGCGCGATCGGCTGGATTAGGGCAGGCGGGAAAGGCCTGACTGACTGCATATAAGAACCCGGTAAACCCGCGCGGAACGTCGCGGTCAAAAGTCACAGGGGAGGATAGTGGGGTGTTTCCGGACGTAAGCTCGTTGCGGCTGGTAAGCACGACTTTGCTGGCCTGCGCATCCAGTTTCAGGCGAACGACGCATGATGCTCCAACGGACTGAAACACTGTGAAGTCCACTAGGAAAGCCAGCACCAAGGCATGTGCTAACCAAGGCCCTATCATGCCTGTTGGCCAGAGGACGCCACGCTGATAGTGCCAAGCGTGATCTCGTCGAAAGTATAATGGCCAAATACAGCGGAAGACGTAGAATAGGCGTCTCTGTGTCCCACGTACTCCAGGACTTCAACGCCTTACTACGACCCTATATTTGTCCCCTTGCAAGCTCCTGAACTAGATCATATCTAAGAATTTATTGCTGTTAGCCGGATGTGTACATATGCGTATGCGACCGAGGAAAGGAACACAAAAACAACGAGCATATGAAACTTGAGGAATTCGGCTGGTCAATGTAGGGAACCAGATGAACGACATCGGAACAGGAAATTGTTAGCGAATCGAGGTAGGAAAGTGGACAGTCATCTAATAAGTCTTTAACCTTGAATTTGAGTACTGTACGCAATGGAACTCCAGTTGAGCTGTGGTACCCATAGTACCTAGGTTAGGTGACCATATTGTAAAAATCTGTCAGTTTACATATATTCTTTACATCACTGCAAATATACTAAAGACCTCCGTGAACCTGTCTGTATCTCGCTTATTTTGGAAGCACCATAGTCCCTTCCCCATCAATTGCAACCTATAAGGAAGCTCGGTTTTGCATATAGAAGTGGAAGACCTAGTAACCTTTAGAAATTTTAGCATCGGCAACTGGTGGTACCTGCCTACTAGGAGCCATGAGCAATACGGGGGGACTATTCACCGGCCTCCAAAGGCCATTTTCAGCACGTCGAAAGAAAACGGAAGATATGGGCAAGGCCGACGCAGGAGGAACCGGCCTCGGCGAACAGGCTATCAGCGAATCTACAAGGCAGAAAGTTGAGGCAGCCAAGCAATACATCGAGAACATGTATCGAGTAAAGCAAGAAAACATAGGGAACCGTTATGCCAGGTGGGCTGCTTTTCGGCCCGCGTGACAGCGACAGCTGTTGCTTTACATAGACGTTTTTGCTCCCTGTCTTGTCCTCCTCTAAACGCTAGTCTGCCAGTATTTTCTTCTCTTTCGTGACCATAGATGCTTCGATGAATGATGTACAAGAACCGCTCTGTTGCACGCCGTTACCTTTCCAAGAGAAGCCCCGACCCCCATCAACGCTTCCTCCGCGGCTTTATGACCCCACCTCCGCCCTTTCCCTTAGGCGGAGTGCACTCGAGAAGGAGCTGCAGCTTGAGGGTCTGCCAGAAAGTGAAAAGCAGCAGATGCTATCGAACCTGGAGAAACAGGAAAGCAACTTCACCCGATTGCAACGGCAACGTATGACAGCCGATGACTTCGATTCGCTGCGAATCATCGGGAGAGGCGCATTTGGAGAGGTGGGAAACGCTTTGGCACTAAATGGCATATGACCCAAATCGAACTTAGCCTTAGGGAGTGTGCTGTGATTAGGCTGGTGCGTTCGGCGCGTTGGAGGCCAGCATCTTCCCGAGGGATGGGATTTAGCCACTGCAGGGTAACCCCCAATATTGCTGCACGCATTTTTAATACTGGTAATGCGAGAGCGTGACATGCATGTCATGGCGTCTGCGCTGCTGTTCCCGCCCAATGCAGAGGGTCGCCTACTCGGCCGACAACGATGTGCTGACTTGTACGTGAATTGGGAGTAAACCCTCCTCAATTCATACCTGTAACTTATAAGCGGTGCCATGCTCTTGATAGTGGTGCCGGTGATCCGGATTTAGAACCGCTTATGGCATCATCTGGGCCCGTAACTGCTTGAGGCGATGTACCTTCATGTGATGTGTGCTTGTGTGAGCTGCAGGTTCGCGTGGTGCGGGAGAAGCTGACGGGGAAGGTTATGGCGATGAAGAAGCTTAGAAAGGCGGAGATGCTCTCGAGAGGGCAGGTGCGCTTAAACTTGTCCAGGGGTTTTCTTTGGTGCAGTCACAGGTGGGCAGCAGCATCCTGCGCTGTGGTTTCGCCAGCTTTCGGCTTCTACCGCAACACAGTGTACCGGACGTGACCTGCCGCGCACGTGGACGGGATAATAGGTGCATTCTGCACACGCAGACACATACACGCCTGGCACGAGAGGCCCGGTGTAGTCAACCTGCAAGGCACTGGGCCTCCATGTTCACATAGACATAGCCGCCATGCTGGACGCCTGGTCTTGTCCCTATGCCTGTTTGACAATTTGTCTCTGTTGAAATGCAAGCCCACTGTTGCGTTCAGACGGTATCTGTGAGCGTCCCTGGGTGCCTTCAAACGCACAGGGCAGGTTTTGTGATGATAGAGGACCCCAGCCACGCAACTGAGCAGCATTGTGTGCTGCCAGCTCAACGATGCTGCGTCCAATCCTTCAGAAGGTGGCCATCAGGCCTTCCCGCGTTACCCCACCGCATAACCCTACGGCGTTTTGGCGGAACAGTTACCCAATTCCTGGGTTATGTTCGTTGGGCGGACACGGGACATAGAGCGCGCACTCTGACGTGGGAGCTTTGCACACTGCCCGCAGTCGCCGCCTTGCTACTTTGTCTTTGTGTCAGCATTCAACGCTTGCAGGTGCAATTCTACCCTATATAACTCCTCAGTTGTAAACTATCTGCCTCGCTTGGTGCCGTAATGTCCCGCTTTACTGCGCTACCGCTGCCGCACCGTCAGGTTGCCCACGTCAAGGCTGAGCGCAACGTCTTGGCCGAAGTGCAGAACCCGTACATAGTGAAGCTGTACTACTCCTTTCAGGTGCGACAGTCTGCCACTGCCCCTTGACTGAATTAAGCTCGTTACTGTGTAAAATCCCAGCTGTGGGTTGAACCCGATGCGGTGTCAGCTCTTTTATGGGTCGGGACGGAGGGCGTTGCATCGCCAAGCAGTCTGTCAAAGGATTTATAAAGATGGCCGCCGAGGCCTTGAGCAGCCTTCCATCTGTGTCCCCTGTCACTTGCTGCGCAACAGACGTTCTCACATGCGGTGCTTTTGATCGCCTCACATCCCTTTGTTCAAGTCAGGACGAGGAGTATCTATACCTGGTAATGGAGTACCTGGCCGGCGGAGACGTCATGGTGGGTCCGTGGCGGTCTCAGGGATACTTACCATCAATTACGGTTTTCCGTCGTGGACGCAAAGCTTCACCTTTGGCCACGGCCTCGTGCGTCCAAACTGCAGATGTTGCTGATGCGTAAGGACATCTTCACGGAGGAGGAGACTCGCTTCTACATCGCGGAAACAATCTTGGGGCTTGAGTCCATCCACAAAGCCGGTTACATCCACAGGTACGTCAGCTGGCATACGTACATATGCATCCACCATACCGATGCCTACTTCCTGGCTAACTGTTGCAAGCGATTGCTGGGTCCCTGGCACGTAGAAGCGACAAGCCAGATGGAGTACCCATACTGCGTTATGTGCCATACCACGCGGTCATTTTCGGCTCATCCTTGCGCAGGGACATCAAGCCGGATAACCTTTTGCTGAGCCGAGAAGGCCACGTGAAGCTGTCGGATTTCGGGCTCTGCATTTCCGTGGATGTGCATGCTCTTCCCACGCTAGCAGAGGGCGATGAGTACAATGACACGGGGTCAGTGGCACGGGGTTGTGTGTGTTTGTCTGTGTGTGTTACATGGTCGTGGGTGCGTTCCCCGTACCTGCAAACCGCCCAAAATACGAGCCGAGGGCTCAAGGGCTGCCAGATCGCCTGTAAGCACCATCCTACGTCGCACTTCAGACAAATCAAGTGATAAAGGATGCTAACGACCAAAGGGAACGATAGAGTTGCGGTGGGACCATATACGGGGTTGTGACTTGGACCGGCGCCTGTATGTGACCCGGGGTTTTGGTATCTGGTTCCTTTTGACCGGTTCTTGCACCGTCAATGCCGCACCTGCCGCAGCTGGCAGCAGGATGATGGTAGTCAATAGGGGCTGATGGCGTGGATGTGGCATGTAATGTACTAGTAGGGTCTGGCTCGCTGAGGTTCTATTGCAGCGCAGCTCAAACCATTGAAACTTGATATGTTGTAAGAGTGGAATATCGCCTACGTAAATATGTAGAGACACAATTCAACTGCTAAGTTAGAGCTTCGTTGCGCGTTGTTGCCCTGGAAAGTTACGCTTGCTGTCCCCACACCTCTGCAGGACGATGCCGTCCACCTCGATGCGGCCTCAGGCGGAGCAGCTGCTCCAATGGCAAAAGAACCGCCGGCAACTGGTAAGCACCCCTTAGCTTGCAGGCTGGACCCGCACAGGAAATCCGACCTATGAAGCTATGAATCATGGTACCCCTTCCCAGCCGTTGATGTAGGCAGTCGGCATGCCTCGTGTCCATTCGCGTGCTGTCTGCCTTTCCTTGCCTCTCAAGTCAACGTCTAAGGCAATTTCGATGGTGCGGATGTACAGAGCGAGGATTGGCCTTCTGGTTCGCCATAATTATTAACGTACCCAAGCTCCAGCTTGTTTACGGCTTGCTCTTCTCAGTTTGTAGCATAATACCGGCCTTGACACACTGCTTCTATGGGAACAGACCATTACCACACCCACCACCTGCGCACCTACCTTAACAGGCCTTTTCAACAGTCGGCACTCCGGACTACATCGCGCCGGAGGTCCTCATGAAGAAGGGCTACGGTATGGAGTGCGACTGGTGGTCCGTGGGCGCCATCATGTTTGAAATGCTGGTAGGCTATCCGCCTTTCTACAGCGATGAACCGTTGACCACCTGTCGTAAGATCGTCAACTGGCGCATGTTCCTGGCCTTTCCCGTGGAGGCCCGGTTGTCGCCCGCGGCTCGTGATCTCATCTGTCGGCTGATGTGCGACGTGGATGACCGCATCGGCACGCGCGGCGGGGTGGAGGAGATCAAGGTAGGTGTTTGCTTCAGATGCTGTTGGGATTTGAGTTGGGAGTAGCGCTGCCGGCATGGAAGATTCATACGGTGATTGTAGCTCCGTGGTGCCATGCGGGTGGTGACGTCGGTGTGGTTGCATCCTGTGCACGTGTGAACCACTCGCAGAGCCATCCTTTCTTTTATGGGATAGACTGGGCCAATCTATACATGAAGCCGGCGCCCTACGTGCCGAGGGTGGATCACGAGCTAGATACGCAGAATTTTGAGCACTTTGACGAGGACAAGTCCGGGAGCCAAGGCGGCACGGCGGGAGGTGGCTCGGGGCGCGGGAAGAAGTGGTTGGCGAAAGCCGATCCCAACTTCATTGGCTACACGTACAAGAACTGGGACGCGGTTACCCCGCCAGGTATGGCGTGGATGTTTCCCTGGGAGGTTGAGATGATGTAAGGAGTCCCCATGCTCAAGGGTTGCAAGATCATGGCGAGTGGTTGCCTCCAGCGGGGCAAGATGTCACTACATAGCCTCAAAACTGACTCGTATAGGCAGGCCTGCATGCTACCATTGCAGACCTTGAACTGTCACCTGAAGTCATCGTCTCTTGCTCTACGAGGCGCGACGTGGTCGGCGCAATGGACATTTCTCGGCTGTATAAATAACGTGGCGGGTGTTGGTCGCCAGGGTAGCATATCTCATGCAGGGCGAATAACGGAAGGCCTGCAATGAGCGGCATGTTGCTCTAGCTATATAGCTGCCTACCGATACGGGGCATTCCATGATCGGTTCTGCCTGTTCTCCCGTTCTATCGGATCAACTCGCAGGAGAGGAGTCCGTACAGCTCAAGAAGAAAACCGTCGTCCGTCCAAGCCTCGCGCAAGTCCAGACAAATTTGCAAGCCATGTCACTTGCTGGGTCTCAAGTCGTGGCTGCGGCGGCAGCCGGGCCTTCAGGACAGTACTCGCACGCTGCCATGCAGCGCATAGTAGAGTGAAATTTGGAATTCCTTTATGCCTAGACTTAACCTTAAGGCCCCAGCTGAAGTGAAGAATACAGCCGGAGCGCCCTTAAGGACACAAAGACCACGACTCGGAGAGAATGTCTGTCTATGTGGTTTCCCGTCGGACGAGGACGCATGAGGGGTTCGTGCACCAATGAATAAGTGGCCAGGATAAGTGTGTGAAGGGACAGTTCCCTCGACGTGTTGAGCTGTTGAACGTCCGCAACATGGCCCCTGCAGCTATTTAGCTAGAGTGTGTGTCCTACAGCAAGATCATATAGAGTACGCGGCTGACGGGCAAAACCGGATCAGTTTTGAGCAGGTAGGCAAGCAGGCAATATTTGTGGGCATGCCCTTGCGCAAAACCACCTGTTGTCGGGGGTGTACCTGGCAAGAGCGGGCCAGGTACATGTGTGTGCATGTTTTACTGCTTGTGCATCCTCTCATTCAAGTTTTCCTTTTTGATGGTCGCGGCAAAGGTATTTTCTCCTTTGCTAACATGAGCCGTCGCGATGATCGATATGAGCGAGTGGAAACTGCTAGAACCACTAGAAGTTCGACGAGAGACCTCGTTTTTCTTGGTGAGACGGTGTGGGCGGGTAAAGAGTGGCTTGCGGGCAGACATCGCTGTGCCGGTGTTTTAAGCGTTGTGTTTGTTTCCCGTGCCAAGTCGAAGATTAACTTAGTTCCGTATGCTTTTGTTAATCTATTCGTGTGCTTTACGTTTACAGGTGCGGTTGGTTACGCCTCAACCAACTGCGGGGAGGGCGGGGGTTGCTGCTGTGTCATGCGCGCGGTATGGAGGTATACCTCCATCCACTTGAAGGATTGTTAGGGCATTGGTATGCCTTGCCTGGTTGCCGCAGGAAGACTGAGGAACTAGGGATCACGGCCCAGATATGACTAGCTGATTGTTTCCCGGCCTTTGGCCGCTTTCTGACCACTGGACAATGGTGGCTTGGGCTTGCAAGGTCAAAATTATGGCATGCTGCGTCCTCGGGGCATTCTCCAAGCATTCATGTTAAGAATGCAAACTTCCCGTGCGGGGCAACCGCAACACTTCTTATTCCTCTTAGGCGGGATCAAACAACGGGCATGTACCTGTCCCCGCCGTTTCCAGCTCATTGTGACATTCGCGTTGAAAGAAAATATTTGCTTTTCTACACAACTGCAGGACAAATGAGTAGCCAGGCGTCCATCGTATATTCCTTGTGGATTTAAATCTTCCTCGTTGCAGCCGTAACACAGGCCTGATGGCCCCCGGAGCAAAGAGTTTTTTTCTGGTACTGTATCGGTGACTTAGGGTTACACAGGTACTACAGACTGCGCAGCTCACCTACTGGGGCCCGCACGCCAACGCAGAATATCACGGCAAAACCACGTACACACGAGAAAGTTCGTGCTGGAGCCCGCCCTTTGGGTATCATGGATACCATTCCTGTAATCTCCATAGTAAGTTATTTAGCATCTGTAATATGGATACAAAAGGGACTTGGGATGGAGGCGCCAAGCAGAAGCTCCGGTTAGGTTGATTACCGGGCGCCGCCGCGTTCATTCTACAAGTCTGAATATGAAGGCGTTGGAGGGCATTGCCGAGGAGGACACCGAACGAGAAGTTAACATCTTGCAAGATGGTCAGAGCGTTTCTCCATCTGCAAGGACTCGTTCGCAGATGGCGAAGCAATTCATTGAGAATCAGCTTAAGGAAAGGCTTCGAAATGTGGCAGAGCGGCATGCCAGGTACTTTTAACCCTAATTCGACAGCTGGGGCCCCCTGGCTGGTTTACTGCCAAGATTCATGACCCTTCCGCCGTCGTGGATTTATTAGAGGTGCTCGATACGCCGGATTCGGCTAGACGAATAGGGTCTCCCTCAGTGGGCTGGAACACGCGGCTTGGTGTAATCATAATGTCCTGCATGTTCGATGCTCTGGCTGTTCAGCTGTCTCCCCTGCATATTACTCCACTGCGCTGTGCTTGTGGAATTGTGCAGGCGCCGCGCTCTGGAAGCTGTGCTGCAGGGCGAAAATTTGTCCGATGTCAAGAAGATAGAATTACGAAATGCGCTGGAGAGGAGGGAAAGCGATTATACGCGCCTGCAGCGTCAAAAAATGACAGTGGATGATTTTGAGCTGCTGCAGATCATTGGGCGGGGTGCATTCGGGGAGGTACGAATAGATGAGCGAAATGGTGTGCTTGTGGGGACTAAGCGCGTCTTATGAAATGGCATAAGTATCGATGTGCCAGTGGCGCCTTGCTATGCGACCGTTCTGGGACTGGGATAGGATATGGGTTCGCGTCGACCCAGAAGCTGTACCGGCCGGTGGGTTATCTCCACCCTCCTTGCATTGCATGTATATTGAAAACGCCACTCGCACCTACCCGCTTATTTGGAATTGCATGTGATGTGCTCATACCATGTACCGTGCAACCCTGGTAACTGCAGGTCTGGCTTGTGCGCGAGCGGTTGACGAAGAAACTGATGGCGATGAAGAAGCTCAAGAAGGCGGACATGCTGAGGCAAGGCAAGGTGCGCGCACGGAGGTCCTCAACCCCCTGTTTCTGTTGACGCGGCGACGGGTTGTGCTATAAACCTAATTTCATCAAGACTGGACTGACGTCCCCAGATGTCAGTGAGCCGGAAAGAAACGAACCCGGCGTCTAGCCCCTTGGCACCCAAAGTTTCTTGCGGCGAGTTGGTCAGACCCGTTGCGCACGAAATTGTCTGCATGTTCCGCCGAAATTATTTTGCCAGACACATCGTGTGTGGTCTGCGTTCCTGGTTTTAAGTAGACGGCACAGCTTTACCCAGCTTTACCCAAAGCCTGCACGGGAGTTGCTCGCCACAAGGTCGCGTCTTGTTCAAACCCCTTTGGCTAGGTCGAGCACGTGAAGGCGGAGCGTAACATCATGGCTATCCTTCAGGACCCCTACGTCGTGAAGCTCTACTATTCATTCCTGGTACGGTTTGCGCGCTATAGTGGCTTTGACCTTGAAGGGAGGAAGAAATTATATGGCTTGCAAGGGCGGGAGACGCTAGCTGAAAGCTTGCTATTGGGTTTCCTTAGCCTAGCCATGCGCTGAGCAAAACGGTGAACGGTGAACAGCGTTTCGTGGGTCGCCTCACTTCTGGCGGTGCCATGTCGTGTGTTGCGCGGCTGTTCCAGTGCCGTTCTTGTTGTTTATATTACCCCGCCCTACACCTGGAATACCTTTCCTATCTATGGTATCGTCTGTGGCTCGCCTTACCCCTTTCTGCCCGATGCGAAGCGTGGCACGAAACTCATCATGGGTCCGCTTTGGGTCGTGTGTCGCATGTCCCACAGGACGAGGAGTGTCTATACCTGGTGATGGAGTACCTGGCCGGCGGGGACGTCATGGTGGGTCCATGTGTGGCCGCCCAGTAGATAGTACCGTGTAACGATGATGTGGTGCTGCATGTCTGACACGGCTCGTGATGCCAAGTGGTGTGTGCAGACTCTTTGCCTGCGGCGTGTAGTGTTCTCTTCGTTTTTGAAAATTTGGTATATTCATTGAACTGAGGAAAGAGCGAATGAGGAAAGGACATTGAGGTGGAAGAGGAACCTTAACTCCTCCTCCTTAACCCGCCCGTCCTCCGCCTATTTCGCAGACCTTGTTGATTCGGAAAGATATCCTATCGGAGGAGGAGGCCCGCTTCTACATTGCCGAGACGATTTCGGGTCTCGAGGCCATTCATAAAGCGGGGTACATCCACAGGTACGGCCAAGTGCGCATCACCAAAAGCGATGCTTGGGAGCACTCCGTCTGGGGAGGCTGGCACCAGCCGAGTTGCTGTCCTGCTGTTCTTTCCAACCCAGTCGGATGTGCTCGCTTCTCGTGCTGCTCAACCTGCTACTGCGTTTGCAGGGATTTGAAGCCGGACAACCTGCTGTTGACCCACAAGGGCCACCTGAAACTGTCGGATTTTGGACTCTGTAAGCCGCTGCCGGCTTGCACTCTCAGCTTTGTCCGTTCTAGACAGCAGCAAGAGTAAGTGAGGCGACTTTTAATGAAGGGGATGAAGCCTGGTATTCTGCGTGCAGTCTTCCACAAATTGAATAGCGAAATGGGGACAAAAGGTGCTGACGACGTTTTAGGGTAATGTTGCAAACCTTATGCTTGCAGGTTGGCGCTGTCCACACAGACGGCGAATGACCCTGAGCGACTGACTCATTGGCGCCAGAACCGCAGGCAATTGGTGAGGGTTGTTGTCCGTGGTCGGCTTGGAGGTAGCGTTGATTTGCAGGTGGTAAATGGAGGTGCTTTGAACGAGGCTGGGGGATGTCAGATGTGTGGTATACACTCGGCAAGCACGCCGCTGAGCTAAATGACCCTTAGGGATTTTCATGTGCTTCGTCTCAGGGATTCCGTATTCCGGCCAGCGCTGTCATTCTTTGCGGTCAGTTGGATTGTGTGTGACGGTGCGAGGGTTTCCCGAGGGCATCATCGAAGTCCCAATTCCCAACAATGATGTCATGGAGTTGCCGCAGCAGCATATCCGGAGCCTTTGTTCCTGGGCCGGTTCTTTCCTTCTGCACATTGCGATGTAGTTCCAATCCTATTGACCGCCAGCTTTGCGCCAGCTGTCTTTGTCCTTGGCTCGGCAAGGTAAAAGGTGATACATTATTATACGGGACTTGTGCGTATCCGTGTTATGTGTATGTATGATATCCCCTGGCATTCCCCTAATGATATCCCCTAAAGGGATCTATTGCGCCATGGACTGTGGTCTGGCAAATTCCGGTTTGGTATTCCGATTTGGTATCATTCCGGTTTGGTATTCCAGTTGCCTGATAAGATACCAGCAACGATATCGCTTGTACCGTGTGAAGCCCCGGCCACTCTAGTTAGAAATCCATTCCGATTCCCGGTTCGTGAACCCCTTCTTTCTCTGATGGGCGCTGTGAAGGCCTTTTCTAAAGTGGGCACTCCGGACTACATGGCGCCCGAGGTCATCCTCCAACGCGGGTACGGCAAGGAGTGCGACTGGTGGTCCGTAGGCGCTATCTTGTACGAGATGCTTGTCGGATATGCGCCGTTTTACAGCGAGCAGGCGCACGTCACGGAGTGCATGATAGTCAATTGGCGAAAGTATCTACGGTTTCCCGTGGAGGCCCGGTTGTCGCCCGCGGCTCGTGACCTCATCTGTCGGCTGATGTGCGACGTGGAGGACCGCATCGGCACGCGCGGCGGGGTGGAGGAGATCAAGGTGGGTGAGGATGCATCTTGATTGTAGCACTGGCGCAGCTTGGCTTAGCTTGTATGGATGCGTTGCCACTCCTGACGTGGCTTGCTGTGGTGGGCCTTCGGGTTATCCGGTTTGCCTGCATGCTGCTGCGGACGTTCTACGGTGCCATCGCAGAGCCACCCCTTCTTCCAAGGAATGGACTGGGCTAACCTGCACAAGCAGACGCCGCCCTATGTGCCAAGGGTGGATCACGAGCTGGACTTGCAGAACTTCGACAAATTTGACGTTGAAGCGACTAACGGCCCCAGCGGCATGGGAGCAGGCGGCTCGGGGCGTGGCACCAAGGGCTTAACCACCGCGGGCCTGCATTTCATCGGCTACAACTACAAGAGTTGGGAGGCTGTGGCGCCAGCAAGTAGGACGGTGTCTCGTGTGTATACGTGGCTCGGGGTCGCGGGGCCAGGCTAGAAACCCTAAAGTCGGGATGCTATTAACGTGCACTTGCGCATGCCACATTGTTGATCGACTGAGGTTCCCCGGACGTGGAGAGCAGAGGCCCGTGGCTCTACTACGGCAGGAGCACTAGCGCGCATCCATGAGACATGAAGCAACTTTTCTGCATTTTTGCTTCCGGTTTATTTTAACCCGACTATGGCATATATGGACCGTCTTCGCCGCTCTTCAGAGCTCTGACTTTAATGTACAGGGCGCCGAACAGCTGCGTCTTAATCGGTATTTATGCGGCTGTGGATTAGCTCGGTGCATCGGGGCGTTTGCACTGCGTGGATGATTGCTGCTCCCACTAGCAGCGTACATCTGTGATAGCCTTGTTTCATTCTCCCCTTCGGTCCTTGAAAATTGTTGCAAACTCCGTGCAGGTCCAGAGGAGCTTCAGTTGAACCAGTTTGTCCGCAAGCCTAGTGACGAGGAGGTGCAGTCAATCTTGCAGGCCAACGCTTTGGGAGTGCAACTGTGGATGTCGAGTGCGTAAGACCAGCAGGGGAAAGGGTGGACGCTTGCTTTCTAACTCTCGTTGCATTCTGTAAGTTAATGGCGCAATGCTTGCGACCGGCAGTTTGAGGTGACGATGATATTTGTAGATATGAGCTGTAATGGATGATAGTAACCGATTTGTAGGTAAGAGCTGTCATGGGTGATAGTAGCATGCGTTTACAAATTTTACTTACATTCTTGCATTTGCCGCCATGAGCTGGCTGAGCTGGGTTTTGTGACGGCAGGTGCCGATGACTTGCAGGGTGCTTGCCTTCAGAAGCGCCTTGTCTCTTTGCATGTAGCAAGTAGTGCACAGCCATGATCATTGTTCTGCATCGGAGTATCTTTCAAGAGTTGCATTCTTCTTATGTTCACATCGGATTTCCTAGTGTCGCCAGTGATCCTGGCAGTAGCGAGCGGGCTAGGCGTTAAAAGCACGCATTGTTTTGAAAAGCCATACTCGGGGAGTGTCAAGAGATGTAGCGCCAGTGTGGCGTCTCCTGGCTCGTACTCTGTCTTTGCAAGTTTGTAGCTTGGCTTTGAAGCTTGGTAGGTTGGGGACCCGGGTGTGGGCCCCAGGTGGCGGCTGCATGCAGGCGGGCCAAGTGTCGCAACCCGATCAGCTTTCAAATCCAAGGTGCTTTTAAATTCCAAAATCAGTCCCATTTTTGGGTTGCGCTTTGCGGTGGGCCAGTTGCAGCTGTCATGCGGCCCTCAGCTTGGGAGTAGTCGCAGGATGTCATATCGTTTTGTGCAATTTTCGACAGGCAGGTGCAAACAGTAGGTACCCTAACCCAAATTGGGAGATACACTTGAATGGCAGGCTTGGGTTGTCTAGTGCAGAACAGGTCAGGAGTTGCGAGCAGGACTTCGTACTTGGCCAAACAGGAATAGCGCCGATTACTTCGTATGCCTTGATTATGATGGGCGTTAATTCTTTGGCAGGTTTGCTTGGCCACTGTTGCATTGCTTTGCGCCTTCGGCTGGCGCTGCCTAGGGTCTGCGTGGGCGCGTGGGCGTCTTTCGTGTTCACGGCACCCCATGTGATTTTGACAGAGGCATCAGATTTAACTTTGTTGTTGATTCAAAGTTGTTTGTATGAGATAATCAATCGTATTATAGGAGATTGCAACGGCAGCGCTGGTTTCAGCAAGTTTTGGAAGCTTATTTGCGTAGCTGCTGTGCTGCACTTGCAATGAGGTTGGCCGTTTAAGGAGGGCGTTAATTCTGAATGCAATCACAGTAGCAGGTATATGGCGGGAATGGCCTTGCTGGTTTCGTTGCTGGAGGTAGAGTTTTAGGGCAGGTCAAGTGTGGTCAGGTGTTGTCGCAGAACTGAACACCAGAATGTTACACTCCGGGTACTTTTGATAAAAATCTCGCAAGGAACCCTTCCAACTTGATATGTTGGAACAATTGTGGGGAGCTGGAAGGGTCCTGATCATCCTCGCGCGAATGTACATGCCTGTCCCTGCCTGCCTGCATTGCTCACCTAGAACACGGCCGGCAACTTCACCCTACCTGCTTCCTAATAGCCCCGAGCATACAAACCAGAGATAATCGCCCTCGGGGGGCAACCGGAAAGGCATCTATCTATTGCGACACCTCCCCAAATCTTGTCCAAAAAGTTATGTAACGCCACCCATGTCGGTCGGTGCTTCCACACACAACACGCCTAATAAGGTATTGCAAGCAGCAGCAGGGCCCACGCCCACCATGATCTTCGAAGCAGCATATAAGATCACAAGCACTGCATTTCCTCCTGGGGCTACCTGTTGCAATAACAAGCCTTAGCTGCACCAAACGTATCATCCTACACTTCTGCGCTCCTAACTACGTAAAACAACAATATAGTTACACAGTCTTTGTTTCGTTTCATTAGGCAACAGCAGCAGCAGCAACACAAGCACCAACAGGCCAAAGCACCAACACACCAGCCAGCAAGCTAAAACCCGAAACGCGCAATCCGGGCTTATCGGAACGCCCAACAGGGCAACTGTGCAGCACCAACACGACCCGCAATCCGTTATCATTGGTGAAATTAGTTTTAACACTTCATATCGCCATAACAATGTCCACATTGTATATTTGTCTTCAGACCCGCGACAGACACTCAATTGCATCTGCAAAACTTGCTTTGACCCACCCCGCACACGCTATATTAATCCTGCATTCGCCTACAGGGCAGCCTGGAACCCCTGCACACTTCCTGGTCCATTGCACCCAAGGATCTGCAGCACCAGCAAGCAGGGTCCGGATCGTCTCCTTCACGTGATCCGTGTTCGGCGCTCAAGTCGGCTCAGGAAGGCTTGCTCAATCGCACTCCGCTGCGGTGCGGACCACCGCGCTGTTGGCACCCCCGCTGCAGCCTCTGCTGCCCCCGGCGCCGGAACTGATTCTGCCTCGGCCGCTGCGGTACCTCCACCGCTGGTGCCCACCCCTTGAGCGGGCACCTCGGCCACGTCGGCCGTGGCGACATGGTCCGGGGTGTAGAACAAAGAGCCCCTGGGCACGCGCGTCGGTGCCGCTTGCTGCGCCGATGCCGCGGACGAGGTGGCAGCCATATGCTGCCGCCAGTGCGGCCCGGCGGGCATATCAGTAACCATTTGGGGTACCTGCAGCGCCACGGCAGGGCTGAGGATGGCAGCCAGGGTCCCTCCGGCGGTCCCTATCCCCGTGGAGGATGATGGCCCTGCTGCCGCCGCCACGGCACCGTTTTGCAAAGCCTGTCGCAGACGGGACGACGACGACACAACGCTGCCGTAGCCGCCGCCTCCGGCGGTGCTGTTCGGCGCTGACGCCGGCCGCAGTGGACGCTGCTGCTGATCCGGTGATGGCTGCGAGGTGTGCGGGCGGAGCTGCTGCTGCTGCGACTGACGCAATGGAACTGAACTCAATCCAGACATGATGCTAAAGGACGCATCTAGCGTCAAATCTCCCCGGCCGCTGCTGCGCCCCCGCCCCGACGGCGACAGCGACAACATGGACACCGCCCGTGACGCCGGTGGCGGCGGCGTCCCCGCGGCGCCAGCCATGCTGATCGTGCCGGCAGCGCCAGCACCACCGGATCCTGACGTATTCATTGCTGCCAACGTTGCCTCACGCCGCATGATGTGCCCCAGCTCCGCCGCGGCGCTGGCGGGGCGCTCGCGCCGCGGCACCCCCATAATGCTCTTGAATTGCTCGTCACGGCGTGCAAGCGCTAGCTCCAGCGAGCGCTTTTGCTGCTGCAGCCGCTTGACCTCCTTCATGAGCGCCTTTTCTGCGTCCTGGCTCTTGCCCGCCTGGTCCTGCACTGACTTGACCCGACCGGCCATGCGGTCTGCCATTTTGGAGAGCTGCTCAAAAGTAGGCACGACGCGGCCGCGAATATCCGCGCGATTGCGAAAGTGCTGCTGCCACACGTGGTTCGCGACGCGCTGAATACTGGGAGGGACAGAGCCGCGGAAAAGAGAGATTGGTTGGGTGGCTGGAAACTATGAACTAGCAACTTTGCCATGTCAAGGGCGATGAATGCACGGAGGGCTAGCTGGTAGTGCCGACGTTGGTAATGTTGGCGGGTGCAGCGCAGCGGTCATTCTCTAAGGAAAAGCCGTTTGGCGAGGAAGGTACGGACATACGTGTTACGGACAGATTTGGCCTGGAGATCAGCTACCTCACCGCCACATTCTCTGCCCCACCAGGTGTCCCGTTGATGCACGCTGGCATCATGGATCTTTGTCACAACCCGTTCAGCTTACTCGGTAAAATGCCGGATGGCCAGCTTGTTGCTTTTGGCCGTCACAAACTCCTCAATCATGTGCAGCATGGAGAGCGGGTCCTCGGGCTGAATGCCGGCTCCCGCATCCTCAACGCCGCCGTGTGTGCTGGTGTTTCCGGGGTTAGTGCGGCCGCTGCTGGCGGCGCGGCGCGTGGCGGTCCTGCCGGGGCCGCTCGAGCCCATGACGAAGGCCTCCGCGAACTGCGGGTCCTCGGACAGCTTGCCCCACAGCTGCAGCACGGCCGTCTGTAGCGCCACCAGCTGCGCCTGGCGAGTTGTAAGTCGGTGGACCAGGTTCTGCGGAGAGTATTGGAAGGAGGGAGCGAGGTCTGGAAGCAGGGAAGGGGATTCACGAGGAAGACCCAGGTCCTGCTGTAGAGGGGTGCGGGTGAGGTCAACCGGATCCTCCTGCTCCCTCGAGGTGCATGCTGAGCCCAGCTCAAGTCACCCATCCACCCCCACATAACCTCTCATCTTGCCGTCCCCGCACAGCCTTTCACCACCCCGTTAACTGCTCCGCTAGCTGCTCCTGCTACGCCCTGCCTCTGGCCTGTCTGGTCAACACTTCAACTCAAAGTAGCACATCTCTACATGACACACATTCCCGCGGCTACGCCACCCAAGGCTCTAAGCCCGCCTGCTCCATCCCGGCTCTGCACCTCCATGGACTCCAGCTCCTGCCTCAGCTGCTCGTTCTGCTCCTGCAGTCGTGCGCTTCCCTGCAGGTGCTCCGTGGTGAGGCGGGTGGCCACCATCTCCCCCGACTTCTGAGCCTCCGCCAGCCGCTGCTGCAGCCGGGTAACCTCCTCCTGGGTCTGAGGCCGCCGGGTGCGGGAAAAGGAGCGATAGGGAAGGAGGAGGCGTAGGGAGGGGAGGGGGAGGGGAACAGTGAGAGCAAGAGAGTCAGCTGGTGCGTATGGAGAGCACACCGGAACTAGGAGGATACAGAAAACTGCGACGGGGCATGATATGCGGTGGATGCCACGGATATCATCGACCACACAAAACCTCATGAATATTAACATAACGATACGACAGCACACCTCCCCGGTCCTGCCCTCCTCCTCCATGCGGTCTCCACGCGCATTCCCGTGCCCCCGTGCCCGACCGGGTTCTCCGTGTCTCCTTAACCCACTCTGAGCAACTGGTCAAACGTGCCCAGCTTGTCATCCTCAAGGAACTCCAGTCGCGCCACCACTTCCTCCGGGCTGTTGAACGTAAAGCATTCCGCCAGCCGGTCAAACAGAGGCTCCAGCTTCGAGTGCTGCGCCAAACGCCGCTGCGCATCCACCTCGCGTAGCCCGCTGCTGTGCAGCCGCGCGCGAAGCAAATCCACCGCCTGCCGCAGCTGCGCCTCCGTGTCGGCCTGCACCTCCAGCGCCGCCTGCGTCGCCGCCAGCCGTTCTGAAACCGAGTCCATTTCCTGCCGCAGCGCCAGGTACTCGCCCTCCGGAACCGCGACCAGCCCCGAGCCGATACCGGAGCTGCCGATGCCCCCATCACCACCAGCCACGAGGCTGGCAGCGCGCTGGGCAATGCTGGGTGAGCGGCAGAATGCGGATCCCCCCACTGCGCTTCCGCCGGCATTCGATGTTGCTATGGAGGATTGACGCCCAAGGGAGGCGCCGGTGGCGCCGGAGACCGCCGAGCGCGGCCTAAGGCGGCCGGCGGCTGCGGAGCCTCCCCCGGCAGCGCTGCTGTTCGATGAGCGAAGGGGTAGCGCTGAGGAGGGTCGCAGCCGGGGGACCGCAGCTTTGGGACTGCAGCTGCCGCCCACGGACGGTACGGCGGCTCCAGCGGCAGCGGAGACAGTCGAGCCCGCCGCCCGGTTGGCAATCAGGGCGTCTAGCATGGCGCGCGACTTGAATGCTGCCGGCGTGACACCGGATGGCCCATCTGCCGCAGCCGCAGCCGCCGCATCAGCGCCGGTTGCCTCCGCTGCGCCCTCCGCCCGAGCCGCCGCGTACGCCGCCGCACGTCGCCGCTCGCGCACCGCATACTGCATTTCCCGGTTGAATGCACCTGGCCGCAGCAGCACGCCGCCAGAGCTGCCTCCATCGCTTGCCGGCACGCCTACACCAAAGCTCATGCCGCTGCCCACAACGCTTCCCGGTGTCCCACCGCCACCGGCAACACCTGCGCTGGTGCCGACGCTGTCCCTCGAAGCACCGATTAGGATCGACTGTGCACGGATCGCGGAGCTGACCTCCAGCCGACGTTGTGCCCGAGCCGCCAGCGCTGCACATTCATGTTCCAAGCGCTGCATGCGGCTGCTCTTGCGTGCCAGCTCCTCTGCCGTGGGGTCCGAGCTCATAGGGCCTAATGCTTCCTGCGCCCACTTGTTCCATAGCTGCAGGGCAGCCGCCTGGCGTTCCGCTTTGGTGCCGCTGCTTGCCGCACTGGTAACGGACGGTGTCCCGCCCGAGGGCGCATGGAGAGCTGTGCAAGGAGCTCCATAGGACTGGAGGGTGTTGGAGTTTGATTTGGAACGAGGCAGGGAAGGGGGGTGAGCGGCAAGCGAAGGAGAGCGAGATGAGTACATAGCAGTGCCAAGAGGTGTGGGCTTGTACGGGGTAATGACGGATTGGTTGGGTTGGGGCTGGGATTGTATAGAAGGTGAGCGTAGAGGGACAGGCAGCCTTACGCTGAAATGGCAGTGGTGGGCAGGATCGGAATGGTCTGGGTTGCCCTGGCCGGGAAGTCAACGTGTGCACGAGTAACGTGCAAAGCTGAGCGCATTGCGAGCGGCCGGAGCAAGGACCGCAGCACATAGATAACACCCCGCAGGTGTGGTTAAATATACAACTGCCAGGAACCCGCAGTGGGAAGGCTTAGCGCTAGAAAAAATGCCATTGCCCGGCTCTCTACGGTGGTTACGCACTGCTCCAAGAGGTAGCAGCAGGGGGTAACCATGAAGTTAATTTAAGCATACGGTGAAGCTCAATATAGTAAGCAAAAGGTAAAACGGGCCGGGTTAAACCCTTACGCCGTCGGAAGCAATGTTACCTCACCTCACGGCGTTTAGCACTTGTAGGGCGCATCCCCAGCAGCCCGACTTTCTCCTTTACATTCATCTTTAAATCCTCCTACGCTTGGAAACGGGAAAGTATACCCAAGCCCAACCTTAGGCGCCCCCAACCCAGCGATACATAGTGCCTCCTTAGCTATGAACGTTCAGTTCATATATGATATATTTAAATTGTGTTACAATCATTTTGGACGCATTTTGTTTGTGAAGACGTGCATGGCGTTCGAAGTACCTTGCCCGTACGCGTACTCAGTTACAAGAAGGCTTCATGACACAGGCTGGAGATTTGTAGGCTTGTAAAAGCTGTAATATGATTCTCTAAGACGCCCGGTCAAAGTCTAACGCTGAAAGGAACTGGGTGTTGCTATCTAGGCGTCGTCGGGTAGTTCTCTCCCCGCCTATCAACCCAGGTTACCCCTCCTGGGGTTTCAGTACGATGGGTTGTGGCGCTAGCAAAGCGGTAAGCAGCTTGACCGCATCGACTGCTCTGGTGGACATGCCATATGAGCGTTTGCGTTTTGACACCATCAGGACGTATCGACTAAGCCGGAAAAAGTTCAGGCAGAGGACATGGATAACAAAGCATCCAAGCCTGCTGATGAGAGCGCTGGAGAGGTGCGGCCATTGATAAAGTAGCAATTCCAAAAGGCTAGGAGGGACGGGCAAGTGATTTGGGTCTATTTAGTTTGTCTTTGTCTACTTATTTAATTACCTGTTGGACCGCTACTATGGTTGTACCTGTGCTTGAACATGAACATAAATCGAACCTGCAGGAGTTCGCCTTGCCAACGGTAAAGGGCAGCCTGCCAGCGGACGCAAAAATTATCTTTGTGCTTGGTGGCCCTGGCAGCGGCAAAGGCACGCAGTGCGACAAGATCAAGCAGGACTATGAGTGCGTGCACCTCAGCGCTGGTGACTTGCTGCGCGCCGAGGTCAAGAGCGGTAGTGCCGTGGGCAGCAAATGTGAGGAGCTGATGCGCGAAGGCAAGCTGGTGCCTTTCGCCGTGACGCTGAACCTGCTGAAGAAGGCCATGATTGAGAGCGGCGGCAAGTTCTTCCTCATCGACGGCTTCCCACGCGCCCTGGACCAGGCGGAGCAGTTTGAGAGCAACATCATGCCATGCAAGGCCGTGCTGTTCTTTGACTGCCCTGAGGAGGAGATGGAGAAGCGGCTGCTGAAGCGCGGTGAGACCAGCGGCCGTAGCGATGACAACGCTGAGACTATCCGCAAGCGCTTCAAGACGTTTCTGGAGCAGTCGCTTCCTGTGAAGGACCATTACCTGGCTCAGGGCAAGTGCCACGTTGTCAGCGCTGTTCCACACCCCGACGTGGTGTACGAAAGCGTGACGAATATTTTGGACAAACTCGATGCGCCAAAGAAGCAAGCCGCGAAAGCAGATTCCCCAAGAGCAGCAGTTCCTTCGGAGGTGAGCTGTTAATGGAGAGGCACTCGATTGAGGTTATTACTACTGTTGTAGACGACGGCTTTCCATTGGGCATGGTTGAAGGCAGGCTGACCTGTTTGGGGTTTTGCGCCACTTGACGTGTACTTGTACGTTTCCTTCGCGTTTCCTCTATGGCTGCAAAGCCCTCGCTCCAAAGTATTGTTTGGGTGGACTACCTAATGTGCTAGGGAGCTCAGGACCAGTCTCAGAGGGGACAACTACAGGTTCTTGTAGTTTTCTCCCATGCCCTACTATCGGAAGCCTTTGATAAATTAGATGCAATACCCTGTCTGCCATGCCGATACATTCTCGGCAACAAGCCGGTAGAAGAGTCTTCGGGCATGCTAGCGCCTGGCACCGGCGAGTAAAGCATAAAGCATTAGCGTAACGGTATTTGCAAAAGTTTTCAAACCCATGACCTACAGCCGGCTTCTCGGAGTACTGTGGCCGAAATTTGTTTGCGTCGGGTTGACGCGGCATCGACATCCTCTCGTAATCTGTGCTAGGGAAGGATATGGTCATGTTTTACATGCTGTCGGGCTGCTTGCCACGGAGAGGCAATGCCATGGGCTAGTCCACTACTGTCGTGATTGTTTGCAACGCCATGAATGCGCACTGTTCATTCGTGCGTGACTGTCCCATGGGTCAACAGGACTTCGCGCTGCCCCCAGTACATGGCAGCCTGCCGGATGATGCTCAAATCATCTTCGTGCTTGGTGGGCCAGGCAGCGGCAAAGGCACGCAGTGTGCGCAAATCCTTGAGGAGTACGAATGCGTGCACCTCAGCGCTGGTGATTTGCTTCGTGCCGAGGTCAAGAGCGGCAGCGTCGTGGGCAGGAAGTGCGAGGAGCTGATGCGCGAAGGCAAGCTGGTGCCTTTCGCTGTGACGCTGAACCTGCTGAAGAAGGCCATGATTGAGAGTGGCGGCAAGTTCTTCCTCATCGACGGCTTCCCACGCGCCCTGGACCAGGCGGAGCAGTTTGAGGGCAACATCATGCCATGCAAGGCCGTGCTGTTCTTTGACTGCCCTGAGGAGGAGATGGAGAAGCGGCTGCTGAAGCGCGGTGAGACCAGCGGCCGTAGCGATGACAACGCTGAGACTATCCGCAAGCGCTTCCATACATTCCTGGAGCAGTCGCTTCCTGTCAAGGACCATTACCTGGCTCAGGGCAAGTGCCACATCATCAGCGCCGTTCCGCCACCAGGGGAGGTTTTCGAAGTTGTGAAGAAAGTGCTGGACGGCATTTCCGCACCAAGAAAATCTGATGTAAGTGACTTATCAGTTCGTGTCATGTGGGGTCCAATGCGATGATCCCTCCTGCCATGGCCTGGTCTGGCATACATCACGTATGCCAGGCGACTGGCAATTACGGCTCTGCCACACCCCGTGGTGCCGTATCATTGGCAAGAGAATGGGCCCGAATGTCGAGAAACCCCACGTCCATGCGTGCAGTACATACCATATCTATGCGTCGCCACACTCTGCCATTGTCCAACGTGTTAGGGTTCATGCTGGAATTGAGCACTGGGCCTAATGCCTCATTTTTATTTGGATGGTGACATGTGACAGCAGTGCGTGCAATGGCGCAGGTCATGCTTTGGTGACAGTGATACGGAACACAGCTTTCATAATCTTTCCGTGTCCGCGCCAAATGCACATACCCCGCAAACAGGGGAACTGAGTGATGTGCTTCTCGGTTTCGCTTTTGCGCAATGCTACAGTCAGACATAGAATGAATGCGTCATGTGCTTTGGTAATTGCAGGAAATTGTCCTACCGCCTGTGAAGGGCAGCTTGCCGGAGGATGCTCAAATTATCTTTGTGCTTGGTGGGCCGGGTAGCGGCAAGGGCACGCAGTGCGACAAGATCAAGCAGGACTATAAATGCGTACACCTCAGCGCTGGTGATCTGCTTCGTGCCGAGGTCAAGAGCGGCAGCGTCGTGGGCAAGAAGTGCGAGGAGCTGATGCGCGAAGGCAAGCTGGTGCCTTTCGCCGTGACGCTGAACCTGCTGAAAAAGGCCATGATTGAGAGTGGCGGCAAGTTCTTCCTCATCGACGGCTTCCCACGCGCCCTGGACCAGGCGGAGCAGTTTGAGGGCAACATCATGCCATGCAAGGCCGTGCTGTTCTTTGACTGCCCTGAGGAGGAGATGGAGAAGCGGCTGCTGAAGCGCGGTGAGACCAGCGGCCGTAGCGATGACAACGCTGAGACTATCCGCAAGCGCTTCAAGACGTTTCTGGAGCAGTCGCTTCCTGTGAAGGACCATTACCTGGCTCAGGGCAAGTGCCACGTCATCAGTGCCGTTCCGCCGCCGGAGGAAGTATACGAGAATGTGGTAGCCCTTCTGGACAGGCTTGAGGCGCCAAAGCAGTGAGAACTGAAAGATCCCCTGTTCATATTTATGTCCCGCAAGGGCAGTGTGGTTTGCAGGAGCCCAGCTGCCTGTATTGACCGTGCTTGGTGGAGACGGCGATCTGCTGATTTATGCTCACATTTTTTTACGAGTGTCATGAGCGATCACCTTGATGTTGTTACGCTAGTAGGAATGAAACATGAGAGAATATGATAATTATGTCGTATGACCATTCATGCGCATTATCAATCCAATCGGCATAGGCATCGTTTTATGAAGGACTGTGTATTTTGCATCGCGGGATCAGTGGCATCCATCCTCCTCAACATCATCCTAATGTGGCATCTTTCCAAGGCTGCATCTCAACGTATTGGACCATCCTGCATCGTTGCCGACATCTCATGGTTCGAGGAATGGGGTTTAATGTAAAGAGATATTGCAGCTGTCTGTTAACACCCCAACCTTCCAATTGCATATGCACTCAAGTAGCTCCTAAGGAAACCGGATGAATTCGTTCAACACATAATCTTCATGAGCTTCTCATCAAACGAAAACAAGCCAGAAGCAATTTGCCTCTGCGAACTTTTAAACCTATTACTATCGACAAGCCTCTAATAGCCTTGACAGCCTACCCCAATCAACTGCATTGTACAACATTCGACACACATCAGTGGTTTGAAGGACCTGAACACCCGGGAACCGGATCCCAGCACAGCCAGTGCGGCATGGAGGCACGAGGGCCCTTACTATATGGTACTATTTTGGACCATATAGTCCAAAATGCAACAGGCACTGATAATTCACCGCCCTTCCACATGGCGGTTTCTGGCGGGTATTGTACATATATACAGGATGTGCACCATTACCACTCCTCTTCGTCGTAGCGGTTAATTCTAATCGGATCAACCGATGTCCGCCGCTCCTGGGAACGCGCTCGCTGTTCCACAGGCTGAGGGGCCGGGGCCGCTCTATTCCGGTTGATGCACAGCTTAACAGCCGCCACGCCCCCTAAGCTGGCGGCGATAGCGGGGGCATTGGCCACAATTGCCGTAGTGATGCAGACGGGGCAAACCATGCTTGGGAGATAGAATGAAGAGTCGGTCGGCCTACAGTCAGGAAGCGTGAGAAAGAAAAAACAGAACGATCATGTTCAATATACACACTACGAGCGTACTTACAACGTTAATGGCGTGGTCCAAACATTGTGTATGAGTCAGCCATGAGAACCTTAGCTCCTGCTGTCAGGCATAAGTGCCTTGCAGGTCTTAAAGACAGCGCAACACGGTTTCAGGATGAAAAGCTTATGTCTTTAGCTCGACAGGCCTCGCCGAGTGCAAAGGTTTAGCAAACCCTGATTGCGAGAACCGGTATAGCAGGCAAACCCACCAGCACCTGCGCACGAAGGATGAGAAGTCCGCAGCTCTCCGTATGCTTCAGAACCTGAAGGCAAAGCCAACCAAAAAGCGCAACGGTGAGACGAGCAGTCGTGGCGAAGTTGCAACGACGTAAGCCAAATGTCAGCCCCCGAGCTTCGACACGGTAACTAACTAGTTGTAAGTGCATTCCAATGGTATGCCGTTTGCAGCGAAGGGCATATCCAGCAACACATTTCAGGCGGAGGAGTTCAAGTGCAACACAAGCTAACCTGGTCCAGATGTATGGCAGCGAAAAAATATTTCTGGTGATATCGTGGGCAAGGGGTTCTGCGGAAAAGAGTGCTGCTGTATGTATATATTGGTGTGACGCACTATCTGTGACGTCACTTCCTTTAAGTGGCTCAGAGGTCAAGCAATTCCTTCAAAACTCAAATTAAAAAAGGTTTTATAAGAGCAACCACTACTTCCTACTATCCTGCGTACCGTCACGGCTTCTACGTGTACCGGCCGACATGTATGGACTGAAGGTGGTTGGTCTAACGGCAACGATTTTGACCAGATTGCGGAAATTGCTATTATAACATCTTTCCGCCCTACATGTACATAGCTTGAAAGATGGCAGTTTTGATTGCGCACATATGGACAAAACGACCTATGGTCGCAGACTCTAGGTTTGTGCGCTGCGTATGAGGCCTGTATTGCTGAAATCTTCGGCAATAGGACAACATGAGCCGGTTGGGAAAGATATGTCCCCATAATGTTACACGAAGAAGCTGTTTACACTCTCTTATGGGGTCCTTGAAAAGCGGTTGTTACGGCAGTGTTTACACATGTTCTGATATCCATGAAAACAAAGGGGCACAGATTATACATGAAAGATGAAAATTGAAGCCATGTTATCGGAGAGGTTCTGCTGTGTACGGTTACCTCGGTCCTCCTGGTTTCTTTGCCAATAGGGACACAGCTTTCCACGTTGGTAATACACATCGGGAAGTAGCTGCTGCTCTTTGACGAGCAATCGGTGCAAGTTTGTGAAGCGTCTTGTTTAGGCCTTTCCTGAGATGCTTTTGACGGAAAGCAGGAAAGATTATTAAACAGTTTGCAGTGATCTAGCAAACTCGCTACGGCACAAAGATGGTAGGGCAGGGTCTGGGATCGCTGAGGTGCCTTGCCCTTAAGACCATGAAACACGTCAAATGCATTCCCGTTACAGGATAATGTGGCGTTTCCATCAGCTGATGAGCAGCAACGAATCTTGAACGATGCCAGCAATGCGATAAAGCGGAGTGCTTTCCTTATGCGGAAGGCAATCGTGAGTGCTGGATATGGGGTACCTTGTATCGGAAATAGGCCTATTGCAGCATATGGTACGCCACCTCTTCCAGAGGATTAATAATGGGAGCCCGAAATGCACTTTTGGTTCTTCACACCATATCTCTCGACACAACCCCTGGGGACTGTCGGCCCATCGCCCCTCCGACCAAGCGTGCAAGGTCACCTAAGCACATCCCAAGCGTCCTCTTGCTCGCACACCACGTCGCCTAACCGCAATGCGGTGCTGCCTCCTTACCTTTACCGGCTCGACGTCACCTGTGAAATGCTACCTAACGTCCCCAGCCCAGCCCAGCCAGCTCAGCCTACCCCGCTCTCATCCTCTCCATACCGCTCTGTCGCCCTCACCTGCACCATACCCTTTCTTCGCACCACTTATCGAGCTTGCCCGCATGGGCCTCTCTGTGCCCTGCAGGAGGATGACAACATGCGGGACGCGCTCAAAAACGCGGCCGGGATGCTGGCGGAGCTGCGCACGTCACAGCTGCAGCCGCAAAAGTACTACGAGCTGTACATGCTGGTGTTTGACCAGCTGGCGCATCTGGAGGTGTGTTAACGGCCGCGGAGCTGTGTTCTGCTGTGCTGTGTTGCGTACCGTCCGTGCCTTTCCCGCCCCTGCGGCTCGCTGTGTCCTTTACAAGGCCGCGCAGAACCTTACCCCGTCCTTGTCGGCCCCTCCCCGGGTGGGACTGGATGGGAACTTAAGCAGGCATTTTTCGCGGACGAGCGCGGTAAGGGTCGCAGCTACGTGGAGCTGTACGAGCTAGTGCAGCACGCGGGCAACGTACTGCCACGCCTGTAAGTGATGGGGGCTGCGTTGGCCTCGGGTCTGCATCCACTTGTTTGGTGGGCAACGTCGTCCTGGCGCAAGTGCCTGGCTGGAAACTGCTGCGTCCTGGCCCTTTGTGGCTGGGCGCGGCGGGTGCTTATACAGGAAGAAAAGTGGGGAGGACGAGTAGGAAAAATTGAAGCATGGCACAACCCAGAGGTGGCGACTTGCCGTCATCAATAAGAAGCCGTTGCGGATGGGAAGGTTTGATTGGCGGGATGGCTAAACGAATGCAAGTGGGAATTTGGGATAAAGCCCAAAAACGTGTGCCGTTGCTCTCTCCCTCTCTTTTCCTCCCTCTCTCTCTCTCTCTCTCTTTCTCTCTCTCCCTCCTCCCTCTCTCTCCCCTTCCCCCCTCTCTTTCTCCCTTCCTCTTTTACTACTCGCCTTCAATGAGTCGCCGACTGAGACCACCTGCCTTCGGCCCCCCCTCGTTCGCCTCTCGTCCCCGCCTGCCAAAGCTACCTGATGGTCGCGGTGGGCTGTCTGTACATCAAGTCACACGAGGCCAGTCCCAGGGATGTCCTCAAGGACCTGGTGGAGATGTGCAAGGTGGGTCGCGAAAAGGGAGGACCCGGGGGAAAGTGGAATTAGGCGGCAGGGAGGGGAAAGCGGTAGCGGGGCAATCGACGTGCTTCCACACGGCCACCCGGCCTTCCCGGCCCTCTCCCTCTCTCTTGTCGGTGCTCGCCTCTTGCTCTGGGCGCTTCCAAAAAATATCCTGCTGCTGGTGGTAATGATGTTTTCATCTGCTGCTGATACAAGTGCTGTTGCTGTACTGACCCTGCCATTGTCCCTGCAAGTCCGCAATGCGGGCGGTCGCGCCATTGCCGCACTGCTACTGCCGCCCACTCGCCTACCTGCACGGGCGTCGTCCGGCTCGCTCTAGGGCCCCTTCTCCATCCGGGCCCCTTGTTTTGTCTCGGTTTTCCAGGCCCTTACCTCTTTCCTACCCCTGCTGCTTAACCGGTCCCTGCAACCGCCCGCCCCACTCCATTCCCCTCCTGTGTTCAGGGGCGCGGACACATCCCCGGGCCCCTCCCATTCTACACAATTTGCATACTCATGTTATGATCTCCACTCACTGTCCGCGTCCCCCCACACCAACGTCCTCCCTCTCTGCAGGGCGTGCAGCACCCTACCCGGGGGCTCTTCCTGCGAGCCTACCTGTGCCAGCGGGCCAAGGGACTTCTCCCCGACACCGGCAGCGAGTTCGAGGGCCCGGACTCGGGCTCCATCCAGGATGCCCTGGACTTCCTGATGACCAACTTCATCGAGATGAACAAGCTATGGGTCCGGCTACAGCACCAGGGAAGCGCCAGGTGCGGATCAGGTCGGGCCGGGGATCGGCCAAGGTGAGGAGGAAAGTGGGCAGCGAGGGTAAGGAAGAGCCGGTCTGCCAACGCCGACACGACCCAGGCTGTTGGAGAACAGGATTGGTGATGCACATTGGACGGAGAAGGGCATTGTTGAGGCAGGGCATGTGGCTTAGCAGGGCTGTTGTCCGTGTTAGCTACATCTTCGCGGTATGCGTGTGTATGCGTATGTATTACACCTCCTGGAGTTGCGTTACGCCCCGAAGGTGTATTTTTTAGGCACATATGAGCCATGAGGGTGCCCAAGGGCCAGTCTAGGGCTGTATGTCCAAAACGGATAAAACAATTATCGCGATATGTGTATGTGCGTGGACTTGCGGTATCAGGGACAAGGAGAAGCGCGAGCGGGAGCGACAGCAGCTTCAGGACCTGGTGGGCAAGAACCTGACCTACCTCAGCCAGCTGGACGGACTGAGTTTCGAGTTGTACAGGGATCAGGTGGGAACAGGGCGGGGTGAGGGAAGGAGGGAGGGAGGCTGGATTGGTTTTGGTTTAAACGAAGCAAAAACTCGAGTCACACCGCGACATCCAAAGCCGCAAAGGGAAGAGGAGTGGGGGTTAGGATGAAGGAGGCAACAGACGAGCGATTCCCTTCCTTTCCGCAGCGTGTCCGTGTTCATGTCTTACGTCTCCACCACCACCAGACGAGGGTCCAGTAAGCCAGGGGGCAATGTAATCCTGGGGCTGTCGTCAGTAATCCTTCAGCCCCGCTCCGGCCTGCTGCGTCATTCAGTCTGCGTTGCCCCTCCCGGTTGACAAAGTATCGGTCTATCTCTGGTATTAGTATCGGCATCACCCATCTGTGGTTCGTCTTCCGCCCCTGGGTGGTTCGTCTTCCGCTCTCTGGAGACGCGGACTTTGGAAACCCTGTAAGAGAGAACAGGTCACCCTGGGGGCCGCCTTCGGGGCCGTATTGCTTCCTGCTCTCGCATTCCCGAGGTCCATGACGAGTAAGAGTGTTGATCAAAAACCTTCATCAAAAACCCTGCCGTGCTGGGGCCGGCCTTGGCAGCATCGGCATACTAAGCTGATATATCCGACACACTATCTTTCGTTTGCTTTTCCGCCCGTCCTCCTTGCCCGTCCCCCCTTTACCCTCCCCTCCCCCCCGCTTAGGTCCTGCCCCGCGTGTTGGACCAGATCACCAGCTGCAAGGACGACCTGGCGCAGCTCTACCTCATGCAGGTGGGGCCCAAGGGGGGGAAGGAGTAGCATGTGAAAAGGGGGGAGGAAAGGGGAGGTGTTCAGTGGAAGGAGTTATAAAGAGCGGTTGTGGGACCTGCGGGGTACCTAGGGTAATACCTCGCGGGGGTGGGGGGTGGGAAGGAGCTGGACGGAAGGCCGGAGCTTGCTTGGTCGGGCATTCGTATAAGCTTTACGATTAGGGTGAAAACAGGTTGAGAAAAAAGGACGGATGCTGAAGTGCAGGTGTGGGTGGGAGGGTGTGGATCGCTCGGTCGGTCGGTCGGTGTGTGAGTTGATGTGTGGCAACCCGAACCCGGCTGTACTACCTCTAAAGCGTCCGCGCGCAGCTAAATCTGTGTGGGTGGGTGTGCTGCACCTGCCTGTATTGGTCTGATAGGGGAGTGGAAAAGGACCACTTTCCTACACCCCTCTTCTTAGGGTTTTGTCTCGTCGCACATTCGTCCCCTGCTGTTGCCCCGCAGGCCCTGATTCAGGGCTTTCCCGACCGCTTCCACCTGGGTACCCTGGAGACCCTCCTGGGGGCGCTGCCGCAGCTGCAGCCCGGGGTCAAGGTGAGTGTGCGTCGGTGTGTATGTCGGTATTTGTCTGCGTGCGTGTGCATGTATGGATGTGGACGGGGGACTGGGCGTGTGGCGTGCTTGCGGCGGTGAGGTACTCCGCGGCTGCGGAGCCACCGGGATTTGAACCCGGTCAACTTGCGGCCAATACTTGTTCCTGATCTTGGCCCTCAGACTGCCTGGCCCTAAGGTCCCCTTCACTGCTCTGACGACTTGAATCTAAAAGGGGCCTTGCCAGTGCTTCCAAACCCTGCTTACCACCCCCGCACTTATGCTGCTGGTGCCGCCACGGCTGCTGGTGGTGCTGCAGGTCCACAGTGTGATGGCGGCGCTGATGGACCGGCTGGCGAAGTACGCGGCTTCCGCAGCCAGTGGCGCCAGTGACCCACGGGTCTTGGAGGAGTTAGCGGCCATTGACGCCTTCCGCAAGTTCAAGGACGCCATTGCGAGGGTGAGTGTGTGGATCTGAGGGCGGCGGCGGTCCTCTGAGGAGGGAGCGATGAAGTAGGGGAGAGGAGGAGGGGGA